TTTATCTTCCGACTCATAATAGTTCACTTTTGGTACGAATGAAACATCGTTCTAGTCAACTGCGTAAAAGATTGGCTAATATACGAATAGAATAATTACTCACAACTAGCCTTAAATTGGACATTTGGCAGTATGAGGTCAATTTTGCAGAATCCCACCCCACTTAGGACAAATGATCCAATTTGTTAGGAAGATGTTAGGAAAACGTCATTGTCAAATTCCAAATTTTATCACTTGAAAATAAAGCGCGCTTTACAAGGGACCAGTTCTACCGCAATAGTTCAACTTCAGTTCACTTGACTGACCTAATAAATAAATTTCATTCGTCACAATTCAAACACTGCCCAATTCTCAACCAGAGCTGGGTACTACTCGCGAGCTTGAAAAAGCGTTCCAAGCGGAAAAAGCGCTTGCTCGCGAGCACTTTTCGGAGCGGCCGCTTGGTGCTCGATACTCGAGCGTTTACTTAAAGTGCTCGGTGCCGAGCGCTTTGTTCTACCCGCGAACGGTTTTTCCGCTCATGGGCATTTTTTTCGCTATCGCGAGCTCTTTTCCGCTTCTGAGCGTTTTTTTTTGCTCGCGAGCGCTTTTAACCGCCCTCGAGCGCTGAAGGATTAAGCGCCGCTCCCGAGCGCTTTTTCCGCACTTGAGTTTTTTTCCGCTCACGAGCACTTTTCCCAAGCGCTCGCGATAAACTGCTCGAGCTCTTTTAGGAGTGCTCGGAACTCGCAAGCGGTTTCGCTTTGCAAAACAGCTCAATGCTTGCGAGCATTTTTGAGACAATTAGAACGCTCGTCGCTGGAGTGGTTTTTTAGAACGCTCGACCCAGCTCTGTTCTCAACTAATATTTAAACGGTGTACCATCGTACATTTTAATATGAAAATTAGAGAATTGTTTGAAAAACAGTGACTAATTTATTAGAGCCTTTTACGTTTACCAAATCACTGCATGTATGTTTTTCACGGGAACCAATTCGATGTGATAAAAATTTTATTTCATAGATACTGATCCGTGACAGGTTACACCATCCCTTTTGCAATAATTAAAAAAATCGAAATAAACAATTTGACGATGAGAATAATGGAATTTTGATTCCCAATTTTTAAATTGACAATATACAAGACAGATAATAAGGCTATTTTTTCCACATTTAATAATGCTGCTACAATTGTAGAGTGGTTCATAAGCGAATATAATGATTATTTTAGCCGCACCACCGTAAAGTTGATTTGTCAATTTAACATTTTTTTAAAAGATGCATATAGCGATAAAAAATACTATGATGATAGTAAAGTTTACGCGCCCAAAGACGATAAACAAATGACCTGCAAACTTAGCAGCAGTATGATTTTGGGCCAGCCACCGTGAAGTTAGTTCGCTCATTTGGAATTTTTAAAAAAGACATTACGGAAATGTAAACAAACGTAAACAAACGATAAACAAACGATGTGCGTACAAATAATATTAATATGAACAATGGGCGGTGCCAACTTCACGGACGTTCTTCGAATGTTCTTTTTAGGGGAATTTTTCGAAAGAAAAAAAATTCCCCTTATGTGATGGCTTTGTCCGTCTAACTCAAGAACGAAAAGAGACAGCGATGTCAAACCTTCGCCAGTCGATTTCTACGAGTTCAAGGACCAGCGCTATTGAATATGAGCGGGATCAACAGTCTGGTTGCCGAAAACGAGCGGAGTGATTCCCCTACTGAAAATCGTATGCGATTCTTTGTATCTTGTTTCAGTAGAATACTAATAAGTAGGTAACCCTCGTATTTAATGCAACCGAAATACCCTTGACGATAAACGGCTGGTAATTAAGGAAGGGAGCATAGCGTTATCTATCGAAGAGAAAAGAGAATAACAAAAAATGTGTTATAATATAGAACAAAGTGGAACTGTACTGTTACTTAGGATCTCGCTTATTAAATTTAAATAAACTAGTTATTATGACATTTAAATAATGATGCAAAAAGAAGTAAATTATGCGATGAAGAAGTTTGAAAAGTGACTTTTGGAGTCGAATATTGAATGATGATTAAGGCTTATTTACTGATTCTGTAGGGTGATAAATGAAGCTGGTAAGTTCGTTAAATAAATTGTTTAAATTTGCAAACTAATTCTCCCTTTTTCTTTTATGGTCCATAATCAAATATTAAAAATTAATGACTTACGGTACTAATGGCCTTTTTTCCTAAAACAATTAATTATCTCCTGTAACAGTAAGTGTTTAGATTATAATTATAATTTAGCAACACGTAATTAGATAATTTACATGTAAATAGCTGGGACTATCTACACAAAGTGCACAATTAAGAATGCCTGTCGATCTTTAAATATTTATATTTACTTCCAAACTTGTAAATGGAAGTGGCATTTGTCAGTATACGTCATAATGTTACATCTCGTAGGTAAGTAGTTCCTCTCGACCTTCCCTTCTAGCTTACCCCTAATTAACCATTTTATTGAAACTATCTCATTAAAACTGGCTAAACTAAACTAAAAATCGTTACTTCTTTCCAATTTTTTCTATTATATTTTTTACGCAATATCTTGAAGGGAACCGACCGATATTTTTGTACAGATAAAGAAACAATTACAGTACCTTACCTATAGCGCTCTCTCGAAAAGATGGGTTTTCTACAGTACAAATTTGTACGGCCTCTCTCCCAAAGATGGCACCTTCGATAACAGATAGCAGAACTTCTGGATCTCTAGGAAAACTCACATTGAAGTTTTCAGGATTCCTTCGGAAATTGGCGCTCGTGGTGTAATTTATAGGTCAGTGAATCGTCTGCTGTGAAGTAATGTTCGCTTTCACAACACGATCTATTACTAACTTATTCAAACCGATTTAAATGGTAACATTCGAAAATGGAAAAATCTGAAATTAGTCAAGACTGCCACTTTAACTTTTTAATTTATCGGATACGTGCGCTGGCGATTTTTTAAATATTTTATAGGTGAAATTTAACACACCGAAAAAGTCTTCTTTCCGTTAACTATCACGAATATCCTTTTGGTGTAGGTTCAACGAAACGTACGATTAATTTATTCCTTCTGAATTTTCGCTCCCCTTCCTTTTTTGTTTACACGCATATCTTCCATTGCACAGTTTTATGGCACTGAGCTACTTGGTTAATGAAACGTCTTCTTGGTTTAAGATAGATCGGACCGCAATTCTGTGGTTCAAAACCGAAAGCCCTATCGGTATACCTTCTGGACTAATCCCTACTTCTCTTTTTGAATTTAGAGCCCGCCCAAAACGGCGCTAATTTTGGTGTCCTTCCATTTAACCCATTCATAAGATCTCCTTTGTACTACTATGTGATCAAAAATAACAGGTGCTGTCTTGTTCTAAAATTGTTCATGAACCACCTTCAACCAGCGCCACCAACCCCTTTTTCCATAATGCTCTTATCTGCGCATTGTGTTTTGCATTTGGTACCCTAAAACTAACCTAAAACTTTTAAGTTCCTTTCGCTACACCCCCTTCTCAAATCTCATCTTCGACTTTTCTACATTTAGCTCCGGCCCAGGCCCCCCTGGTTGTATATTCTTCCATGAAATATTTATAGTGCTTTTGGCATTTGCATCGTAATTTTTAGGAAGATTCGGTGTCCTCTAGGAAAAAATATGAAAGAGTCCTTAGGGCTGAACGTTTTGAGCAAGAATGTAGCACAGGGGGTCTTGGGGTAAATGCTCTCCTTTTCATTTGTTTACTAGGTTTCTTATGCCTTTCCGTGACCCTAATCTGTAGCGAAAGGCAAGCCCCGTTTTTCCCTTTCTTCTGTTTTTTTAATTGCTACTCAATCCCCTCACTTTTTATCTCATCTCCTTCAACCTCCTCTCTTCCTACCTCTTCCAAAGTCTCATCTTTCTCCTGCTTTCCTTGTAGTAATTTTTTTACATTCCTTTAATTATATCCCCCCTCTATCGTCAGAATTTCAGATCTTTTCAGGGAAACCAATCCTATAGGAGGTTATCCGAAATACGCGGCCTTAGAGTTTTAGAGATACCAATATCTTTGTAGCGCATTTCCACAAAAATAAAAAAAATGCGCTATTGTGGCCATTTTGTCCGTCCGTCCGTCCGCTCGTTCGTTGAGACGCTACTAGTTCTTTATCTTAAGAGCTATTGTTCTACTTTTTTCGCTATTTGGTTCGTTATGGTGTCGAGGCTTGCACCAAGGAAGGAATTTTTTCTGCGTTTATTGCTAAAAAAGTTATTCTAAAAAAACCAACAAACCGTTTTTACATGTTCCATAATTTTACACTTTTGCCGTTTATTAACGATCTCTAGAGATCGTTTATAATTTTGTATTGCTGTCTGTCGTCGTCGTCCGTCTGTTGGTCTGTCCGTCTGTTCCTTTGTCTGCCTATCCATCTATCTGTCCGTGTGAACGATAATTTTGTTTAGAAATGTCCGATCGCTTTGACATCTCCGTTAGTTATGAACTGAATTGCATGAAATACAATATGAGCATATAGCTTTAGCCATATAATACGCAATGCCAAAAGTTGAGTCGAATCGATTCAAAATTCACAGTGCCCTTTTCGCATCTCGACCATTTATAAACCGAATTGCAAACTTTTTTATTTATAAAATTATTTGAATGAAATTTGATACGTAGGCACTTGGAAAAGGAAAAGTTGCATATTCGTGGACGATGATAGTGATTGTAAGCCGAGGCGTTAGCCGAGGCTTACAACTATCAGAGTCCAGGAATATACTTTTCCTACGTGTTGTACATACTATTTTTTAGTCGATAGCGAATAGTTAAACACCAAAAATACGCATTGAAATTGAAATTCTTCTTATAAACTGAAATTGAAAGAGCACCTCAAAAATGGATTGCACCTATGAAACGCTATCTTTCATATTTGTGGCCAAATTTTTACGATTTTAACAGAAGTTGCATCTTACAAATGGGAAATGAATGTAATTGGAAATGCGCTTTTTGTAAATCGTTTACGATTACTTTTTAACTTGTTGAAACTTATTCATACGAGGGAATTTGGCGAATGTTTCAGTACGGATTCGACCTTTCCCGATGAGACAGGTTTTCATGAAATCCTTCCAAATCTTAGATTTTAGATTAAAATCGAATAAATTTACGGAAACCTTCTCCCGGCACCTCCCATTCAAGGGCGCTTCGGTGTAAACATATTTGTTTTTTTTTTCATTTGTGTTGAAGTCATGTTAAACTTTCCATAGCAGTTTTGATCAATTGCCCTCGAAGACCATTGTGGATTGCATTTTCACACGAAGGTAATTTCGGGAATAATTAATTAAAAGTCACCTAAACAAAACAAGAATAATTGGCGTCTTGCAAACCTTTACCACCATAAATATTTATGATACTTAAACTTAATTAGACAATATTCATTTCGTCAGAGGACGACATATAAGGTAGCAAATGCGTCCATGGGTTGCACTGTGGTGTTACTTCGGTACTGAGCAAGTAAGTATTTCTGCTAACTTCAGCTTACTAGATAAGTCCATCGTTTCAGAAATGAAATACATCTTCGTTAGCCTCCTGGCTTTGGCGCACTTCTACCATGCGGTTGCACAGGAGCAGCCTTGTGATTCCTATTACGGCGGAGGCGAACAATGCGACTGCGGACCACTTGCTGCAGTGTTTTGGGTTGGGTCGACTCAAGTTTGCGAATTCAGATGCAGAGATCGATATGGCAGAATGTTCTCATGCGAAGAAGTGGGAAGGCTTTAGATACAATTCCGCATCGATCGATCGTCAAAAGCGCAACGATAATATTATTTAAATAAAAAATACTATATTCTAGAAAATGATAATCTTCCCTGCATTTCCTTTGCATATTGAAACTATTTCTCACATTTTCAGGACTATTTTTGTCACGTCGACGCTTTGAATTCCAATTCTTTAATAAAGTGTGCTACCAAACCCAAAACCATTCTTCCTAGTTGAGAGAAGAAACTCCGGGGCTCTCTTCAAAATTGGGGCAATTCCGATAACCAATTAAGAAAAGAATGGCGCTGACATTGGATTCTCTGCGCTGACGACGTTAAAGTCAAAGTTGGCTGGGCTTGGGATGAACCAGTATCAAACTACTCCTATCTAATTTCTGCCTTGCATCGGTGCATAGGTGTGTGCTCCCGGGGATGGAGTCGATCTCGATTTGGACGACTTGGAAAATGGTCAGCGAGGCCGAATTATACTGGTATGACCTTGCTCGAGCGTTTATTACAGTCCGTGTGGTTCACACCTGGTTCTCCGCACCTGTAGCAGAAAATGCCTACCACAGTGGGTGGGTGCACTCGCGACATTCCTTCTGAGTGTACCTAGGGAATCGGCAAAAGGAACAAGGGACGAGCTTCTGATCTTATGGTCGTCTGTATTTTATGATGGTACTGGTACTTCCTAACATTATCCACTGGTATTCTTTGGGAATTACCAAAACATTTTACTGAATTGGATGAAGATGATTGGAAATCGGCGTCTTCTCTAGGAAGTTTTAGCATCGGCGCGAACAGAATAAGAGGGATCCATTAAACAAGAACTTCTAATATAGCATGGCTGTCTTTGGAATAAAACGCTAACAGGTTTCTTAAAAAAATTCTTTATTGCAACTAAAAAAGGTCAGTGATAGTTTTTTGGAGAATTTTTTGGGTCATCCTACCACAAGCGAAAGTTGGTAGGTACATATAAGAAACGGAAAAAACATTATTTACCGTTTTCGCAAACATTCCGTCGACCCGTTTGGTTAACCATGGCGTAGAAGACACCGTCACAATCTTGCAACAACACGCGAGGATGGTCAAATTCGACAACCTTCCCCCCGTCTATAACCAAAATCTTATCAGAGTCTATCACAGTGTCCAATCTGTGAGCAATCGTCAGAACCGTGCAATCCGAAAAATTCTTCCTAACAGCCGTCTGAATCAAAAGATCAGTCTTTGGATCCACGTTTGCCGTAGCTTCATCGAGGACGAGAATCTTGTTGTTCCTAAGCATCGCACGCGCCAAACACATCAGTTGACGTTGACCAATGCTAAAATTGAGACCACCTTCTGTAATTACCGAATCTAAACCGAAAGGTAAATTACTGACGGTATCTTTCAGTTCGACATTTTCCAGAGTTGTCCATAGAATGGCGTCAGAATATTCCTGAAACGGATCGAGGTTATTTCTCACCGATCCCGAAAAGATGGTCGGCTGTTGGGGAATAATCGAAATTTTGGAGCGCAAGTCACACAGTGGGACAGTCTTGGTATTGATTCCGTCGATTGTAATCGAGCCGGAAAACTCGCTTAATCTAAACAGGGCGTTGATTAACGACGATTTTCCAGCCCCCGTTCGCCCAACAATGCCGACTTTCTCCCTTGGTTTTATTACGAGGTTGATGTCGTTTAAGATCAGAAGATCATGGGAGTATCGGAGTGAAATGCTGTCGAAAACGATTTTGCCGTGTTCCGGCCAGTTTGGCGGAGGTGTAATGCAGTGATCTTCCGGTTCTTGTTCGAGGGCCTCGTATTCCAGAACGCGCTCTACCGACGTCATGGCGTTCTCCATTTCAGCGTATTGCCGGATCACGAACTGAACAATGCCTATCAATCCTAAGCTTTGACTTATGGTTAGCCCGATATTTCCGCCGAAGTTATCTACAAACTTAAAAGAAGGCTTGAGATGCGTGTCTAACACTTACCGCCAGTGATAAGGAGAAGAAATATGGCACAGGTGTTAAACATGGTGCAGGATAGATCAGTCCAATAACCGAAGGCTCTGGATGTTGAGATGAACATGTAAGAGGCGGAAGAGTTCAGATCTTGGTGGTAGTTAAACTCATTTAGCACAACCTGCTGGGCGTTAAAGGCGCGTATCGTTGATAATCCCTGGATCGTGGCGTTTATATAGCCCAAAATCGGGCTCCTAGCTTAGAATGTTGTTTAGTATCTTCATATCATCTTCATTAATACGTACTTGTCGCCTCTATGCGTTTAAGGTTCCTACTTGTTGCGAGATAGAACTTGCGCAAATAGTACAACATTACAATAGCGATGGCAGCTGGAATTAATGAAACGTAGTTGACAACGGCAATAAGAACAATTGCTCCAATAGTCATGAGACCCATCAAAACAGTTTCGTGCATCATCAGTGGTAGCTCTTCATCGATTGTTTGTAGGTCTTTGGAAAATCGGTTCAAGATTCTTCCAGAGTGGTTTAGGTGGAAGAATTTTAATGGAGATCCGAGAACACTTGTAAACATGGCGTTGTGTAATCCGGTTGAAGATTCCATGCACAGACTATGTAAGGTGACCATTGCAGCAATAACAAATACTATGACTCCGAAGATTATGGTTGTGTAAATGTAAATGAATATGTTAATTGGCATGTTGGCCGACGAGGCTTGGACTTGATTCAAATTCACCCTGAAAGCACAACATTACATCAGCTCTACCTAAATTAACACGCACCAGTAAGCGATGAAGTAATCAGATCCACTTGCAAGTACTTGGACTATCACAAATAGAGCAATCACAAAACACGAGATGCTCCAATGGCTTCCCGCTGAGAAGTAGGTTTTGTAGACTGAACTTGCAACCGCGCCACTGGTTCTTTGCTCGTCCGTTGTGTTTGGGACATCTACCTGCTTGGACACCAATGACCCGGTACTCGTGGTTCGGGCTTTAAGAGGATTTGTTTGGCACTCTGTGATTGTTTCACCTTCTCCGTTGCAAAGTATCTCATTAAAATCGACGTTTTGGGCAACTAAGTCTGAAAAGCTACCCTGGGTTGTCACCACACCATTGTTAAGTACAATAATTTCATCGGCGGCCTTTAAATACTGCACTTGGTGAGTAATTAAGATGATAGTCTTATCCTTCAATAGTGACTTGAAGCAGTTGTCGATGATTGACTTTCCAACGCGGGAGTCTACAGCCGATAGAGGGTCGTCCAAAATGTAAATGTCAGCGTTTCTGTAAACGGCCCTAGCCAGGCCGATTCTCGCTTTTTGTCCACCACTTAATGACGCACCGTGCTCGCCCACGATTGTCTGATCGTGGTGAGGAAACAGTTTCAGGTCACGGCTTAAAGCGCAAGCTTTCACCACGTCCTCGTAGCGTTCTTTGTCCATTTTACTGTCGAAAATGATATTCTGTCGAACACTGCTGGTGAAGATCCAAGGTTCTTGAGATGCGTAACTGACACTTCCTGACACTGTTAGTGATCCTGAGCTTAAAGACAACTCGTTTAGGATGGCGTGTGCCAAGCTTGTTTTTCCGCAACCGACCGGCCCGACAACAATCACTAAGTGGCCGCGTCCTATACTGACATTAATGTCAGAAAGGAGCTTGATGGAAGCTTTCTGCACAAAAACGGAGCGGAGTATAATTGCGTTTCCACTTTCGTCTGGGCGAGCGGGTGAATCCTTCTCGGTTTCATCGCAGCGAAGAAACGCGTTTAACCTTTCCAGTGGAATTACGGACTCCATTATCACATGAATTGCCTTTGGCAGGAAGCATACGATAGGGGCTCGCAGGATAGCGTAAAAAGATACTAATTGAAATGCTTTCGCCGCTGTTATATCGTTTCCTAAGAGCACAAAGGCCAAAATTGTTGCAAAAACCGACGTGCGTTGTACAAAAAGTTGGAAACTCGCACACATTCCTTTTACGTAAGAAGAAATACGCGTGAATCTGATTTCCAATCTTAAAAATTGAAGATGTTATGCCAAATTTGAGTAGTAGGCCCTTTACCTGCGACATTCAGACACCAAATTCGAAAAATAGCCTTCCCACTTGTACATTTTGATCACTTGTATGCCGTAGATGATCTCCTTCGTCACGCGTACCCTTTCATCTGTTTTCTTGAGTATTTTCGAACGTAACCGTTTCGAAATTGTTCCCAAAAGGACTGCAACAGCAAGTTTTCAAAAGTCAATATCAAGGATACTCACAATACAGCCCAACGAATGAAATTATAAAGAAAACACCAATTAGCGACGAAATCCCAAACTCTTCGTATAGGAACCATCCAACTACCGCGATTTGAAGCACCGCCACCCAGGTGTAGTGCATCAGTAAAGGAATCTCGTAGAAGCGATTCGAATCGTTTGTAACTAGCGTGAGAATTTTACCAGAACTCATCCCTTCGAAAGCGCTAAGTTTTAGTCTCAGTATCTTTCGATAAACTAAAGAGATGCACGCGATCCTCAGCTTCAAACCCAGATTATGTGCTGCCAGCATGTACGGGTGAATTAAGCTGGAAGATATCAGCGAACAACAAGCCACACCTACACCATACATATACAATTCTTGTTTCCCCACGTTGTCCACGGAGGAGACGACGGTAATAAGTCGGCCTATCAGAACGCATTGTAGAGGCCTAAAAAAATCTTTTTTTACCTACAACTTCTCAAGTCACTCACTTGACAATCACTTCAAGCACCATCAATATCAATCCATTCACGAAGCCTTCAAACCAAAAGGCCCGTATTAGCGGATTTAGGAGCGTCGGCGTCGCTTTCGGTTTTTTACATTTCTCAACCTCCTCTCTCCATAGCTGCTCCAATTGTTCACCGAGCAATCGAGCACGGTGACCGGATAGTGGCTCGTAAACGTCTGCTTCTGTCAACTCCTTTCGCCATCCTTTGAAGAAGATCGGTAGTGTAAAGCTAGACACGACACTGTAATCGCAAGTACTGCAGCCGTGTGGCACTCACAGAAATGTGGGAACGCAAAATGCGTTCGCTTTCTTCCTCGGATTCGTTAGTCTGGTGCTTTTCGACTTCCAGTCCATCACACAACTGAACAAATGTAAGTATAAAATCTGATGGTGCGCGAGGGGAAGGGGAGCGTCACGAGTATTCCATTTTAAGTGTTCTAAAAGTTCCAAAAAAATTGTTGCAAGTCTACATTTTTTCAAATTGTGCTACATTTCAGCTAGATAAGAATTCGACTTTAATCAGTAACTTACATTTCATAGTTATCTTATCAGAAACTAATAAAATAGGCCGACCTTGATTGCTACAGTTTATAATTAACCTATTGAGTACACTTGTTAATATTATAAATTTAATGGTGCCTATTAAATGGCATCACAGTTATATGACGTTAGGTAGCCATCCGGTATACTAATTTACCCGAATTTTTTGCCTTCCCTTTCTTGGGTGTATTATATTGGTATTTTATTTGTTTTTTTTAAATTTACACTGTTCTTTACCCTCAAATTTCCGTCACGGTTTCTCCACAAACTTTCATGAAATTTTTTTCCAGTACTCTTTAATAATTAGTCTCCTCTGGTACTCTCGCACTTCTCTCAATAAACTCTGTCGCGCTATGTTAGGAGCAATTAAATATTTTTTATTAAAATACTAATTAATAATGGAATCGCAAGTTTATAAGTTACCTTTTTATTGAAAAGAAAATATCAAATACACCGCTGATAATGCACATTCCGCATAGAAGCATAAATGAACACAAAATAAAATTAAAGCAACTAGCAAAAAATGATTATATGTACTCGTAATTGGAAACAAAATGAAACACAATCAAAACAATAGAGCTAAATATTTCTCACGGCCTGTAACTTAGGACCTCGCTTATTTAATTTAAATAAAGTACCTAATTATTTTTACATTGAAAAAATGATGCAAAAAAAGCTATTTAAATTGCGTAAATTTGATGAGCAACCACAAACGGTGCGATTGTGGCTAACATTTACTTTGCCTGCTTCTGGTTGACGCCTATAAATAAAAATAACCCCTGAGGGTTCGGGCCCACTCTCGAGCTCAGAACTAGAAATTCCTGAAGATGATTTAACCCGCTGATATCTAGTTGTAACATAAGAAGAGAAGAAAGATCCCCTATCCCCAAAACCTAGTGTGTCAAAGACTTTAGGGCAATCCAAAAGCACTAACCCAGCAAAATCCCCTTTTTCAATAACTCTGAGTATGTTGTCAGTAATGCACAAAAGAGCTGTGGTGCCTTTTCTAAATCCAGATTGCGTTCCTGGTAGAATGTTAAAATGGTCTAGGTGCCGGACAAGTTGCAGAGACATACACTTCTCTAGAAGCTTTTAGATAACGGGCATAATGTTAATGGGGCGGTGATCCGACATCCCTATATCACCGTTCATTCATAAACACCTCTTTCTCTCTCCATTGCATAAGATATATTCTTGTTCTAAAACTCCTCTCTCCCCCGATTCATCCAAACCTTCCTCATCCCAACTGTCCCCTTTTTAGCGCATTTCCACAAAAAAAAAATGCGCTATTGTGGCCACTTTGTCCGTCCGTCCGTCCGTCCGTCCGTCCGCTCGTTTTGCGACGCTACTAGTTCTTTATCTTAAGAGCTATTGTTCTACTTTTTTCGCTATTTGGTTCGTTATGGTGTCGAGTCTTGTACCAAGGAAGGAATTTTTTCTGTACCGCTTACAAAAAAAGTTATTGTAAAAAAACAAAAAACCGTTTTTTACATGTTCCATAATTTTACACTTTTGCCGTTTATTAACGATCCTAGAGATCGTTTATAATTTTGCATTGCTATCTGTCGTCTGCCTGTTGGTCTGTCCGTCTGTTCCTTTGTCTGTCTGTCCATCTATCTGTCCGTGTGAACGATAACTTTGTTTAGAAATGTTCGATCGCTTTTACATCTCCGTTAGTTATGAACTGAATTGCATGAAATTCAATATGGGCATAGCTTTAGCCATATAATACGCAATGCCAAAAGTTGAATCGAATCGATTCAAAATTCACAGTGCCCTTTTCGCATCTCGACCATTTATAAACCGAATTGCAAACTTTTTACTTATAAAAGTATTTGAATGAAATTTGATACATAGGCACTTCGAATAAAGGAAAATCAAACGCCAATTTCAAAATTTGGTTTTGCGCATGCGCAGTGCCAACTTTTTTATTTATGGAAGAATTTAAACGAAATTTGATACATAGGCACTTGGAATAAAGGAAAATCTAGCGCCAGTTTCAAAATTTTATTTTGCGCATGCGCAGTGCCAACTTTTTTATCTATGGAACCATTTAAGTGAAATTTGATACTTAGGCGCTTGGAACAAAGGAAAATCTAACATTAGTTTTAAAATTTAGGTTTGCGCATGCGCAGTTCCAACTTTCTTATTTAGAAAAGCATTGAAATGAAATTCTTCTCATAAACTCACAGTGCCCTTTTCGCATCTCGACCATTTATAAACCGAATTGCAAACTTTTTTACTTATGGAAGAATTTAAATGAAATTTGATACATAGGCACTTGAAAAAAAGGAAAATCAAACGCCAATTTCAAAATTTGGCTTTGCGCATGCGCAGTGCCAACTTTTTTATTTATGGAAGAATTTAAACGAAATTTGATACATAGGCACTTGGGATAAAGGAAAATCAAACGCCAATTTCAAAATTTGGTTTTGCGCATGCGCAGTGCCAACTTTTTTATTTATGGAAGAATTTAAACGAAATTTGATACATAGGCACTTGGGATAAAGGAAAATCAAACGCCAATTTCAAAATTTGGTTTTGCGCATGCGCAGTGCCAACTTTTTTATTTATGGAAGAATTTAAACGAAATTTGATACATAGGCACGTGGAATAAAGGAAAATCAAACGCCAGTTTCAAAATTTGGTTTTGCGCATGCGCAGTGCCAACTGTTTTAATTATGGAAGAATTTAAATGAAATTTGATACATAGGCACGTGGAATAAAGGAAAATCTAGCGCCAATTTCAAAATTTTATTTTGCGCATGCGCAGTGCCAACTTTTTTATCTATGGAAGCATTTAACTGAAATTTGATACTTAGGCGCTTGGAACAAAGGAAAATCTAACATTAGTTTCAAAATTTAGGTTTGCGCATGCGCAGTTCCAACTTTCTTATTTAGAAAAGCATTGAAATTAAATTCTTCTCATAAACTGAAATTGAAGTAGCACGTCAAAAATGGATTGCCCATGTGCAACGCTATCTTTCATATTTGTGGCCGGATTTTTACGATTTTAACAGAAGTTGCATCTTACAAATGGGAAATGAATGCAAGTGGAAATGCGCTTTATGTAAATCGTTTACGATTGCTTTTTAACTTGTTTGTATTTGGTACCGTAAGTACTTAGCTTCTCTTACTCCCTTTCCCTTTGTCCCTCCTTCCTAGATCTCATCATCTTCAATTTTCCGATATTTAACTACCTTCTCTTTCTTTCCCAATAGCACTCCATTCTCCCCATCATTTCCTTCAACTGTTCTACCCGTTGTCATTGTTACTGTGTCGTCCGCGTAAGCGACGAGAGACCATATCCATCCCACTACGATCCCTCCTCTTGGACCCTGTCTTACTATCTTTTTCCATAACTCTTATGTAGAAGTTAAATAAGGTTCGGCTAAGTGGATATCGCTGTCTCAGTCCTCCAGAATAGTCCCGACTCCTTCTGCCTTCCTATCATTTCCCCCATTCTGGTTCAGGTTCAGGTAGTCTTCCTCCAGTCCATAACTTGTTTAATAGTTTCCTCATTTTTTTCTTGATACTATCTGTTGTAAAAAATCCAAGCCTCATTTCCTATTTCATTCCTCCTGTCGTATTTCCTTTCTTAATTTTTTTTAAATTTTGTGCTCAATTTCTTATCTTGATATCTCGTCTCTTTCTACCTCATCCCTTTTTCTCCTGGTTTTCTTCTTTTTCTTTATTTAATTTTTTTGTTTTTCGTATCCTTTTTCCATCTTTTTTTCTTTACATTTTTAAAAAAATTTTTCTCAACACTACTCTTTTCTATTATCTCTCCTTTCCCCTTCATTTACCTGTATTCACGTTATTTCTTTTTTTTTATTCTCCACTCCTCCTCTGCATTCTATTCTATTTCTTCTTCTTGATCACCTAGTCTCCTTTTATACGACTGCAGTGTTTCTTCGTTTCGTGTTTGCATCTTTCTCTTTCTTGAATTTCTTATTTTGCCTTTTAGACTCACTTCCATCGGCTGGTGATCCGACCACATGTGAAATATATGCCCGTCGCCATCTCTCTCTATATTTCCTTTAAAATTCTCCATCCTCTCTTTTCTGATAACTCCAGTAACAGTAACACCATTCACTTTTTGTTCCACTCTCTATCTCTTGATTTTTAGCGCATTTCCATGAAAATAAAAAAAATGCGCTATTGTGGCCACTTTGTCCGTCCGTCCGTCCGTCCGTTCGTTCGTTGAGACGCTACTAGTTCTTTGTCTTAAGAGCTATTGTTCTACTTTTTAGCGCATTTCCACAAAAAAATGCGTTATTGTGGCCACTTTGTCTGTCCGTCCGTCCGCCCGCTCGTTTTGAGACGCTACACTTAAGAGCTATTGTTCTACTTTTTTCGCTATTTGGTTCGTTATGGTGTTGAGGCTTGCACCAAGGAAGGAATTTTTTCGGTACCGCTTACAAAAAAAGTTATTGTAAAAAAAAACAAAAAACCGTTTTTTACATGTTCCATGATTTTGCACTTTTGCCGTTTATTATCGATCCTAGAGATCGTTTATAATTTTGTATAGCTGTCTGTTGTCTGTTCGTTTGTCCGTCTGTTCCTTTGTCTGTCTGTCCTTCTTTCTGTTCGTGTGAACGATAACTTTGTTTAGAAATGTCGGATCGCTTTTACATCTCCGTTAGTTATTAACTGAATTGCATGAAATTCAATATGGGCATAGCTTTATCCATATAATGCGCAATGCCAAAAGTTGAGGCGAATCGATTCAAAATTCATAGTGCCCTTTTCGCATCTCGACCATTTATAAACCGATTTGCAAACTTTTTTATTTATAAAAGTATTTGAATGATATTTGATACATAGGCACTTGGAATAAAATGAAAATCAAACGCCAATTTCAAAATTTGGTTTTGCGCAGGCGCAGTGCGAACTTTTTTATTTATGGAAGAATTTAAACGAAATTTGATACATAGGCACTTGGAATAAAGGAAAATCTAACGCCAGTTTCAATATTTGGTTTTGCGCATGGGCAGTGTCAACTTTTTTATTTATGGAAGCATTTAAGTGAAATTTGATACTTAGGCGCTTGGAACAAAGGAAAATTTAACATTAGTTTCAAAATTTAGGTTTGCGCATGCGCAGTTCCAACTTTCTTATTTATAAAAGCATTGAAATGACATTTTTTTATAAACTGAAATTGAAGTAGCACGTCAAAAATGGATTGATCATTTGCAAAGCTATCTTTCATATTTGTGGCCGGATTTTTACGCTTTTAACAGAAGTTGCATCTTACAAATGGGAAATGAATGCAAGTAGAAATGCGCTTTTTGTAAATCGTTTACGATTACTTTTTAACTTGTTTATATTGCGTTTCTCCCAATTCTTTTCCTCTATCTTTGATTCTATGATCCCCAGGATATCAAATTCTTTTACAAACTCCCACCAGAACATCGTTTTCATTTTCTTCTTCTCCAGTTTTTTTTTCGTTTTTCTGCTTTGTTTCTGTACCCTCCTTCCCCCTCCGCTTCCCTATCTTTTCTTTTACTGTTAGTTCCTTCCTCCACACTCCGCCTTCTCTTCTCCCATTCTTTTCGCCTTTGATCTCACTAATCCATTTTCTTTGTCACTCCATCTGTATTCTTCATCTACTGCACCTAATCTTCTCTATTTCCATCTTACTTACTTGCCGATCATTCCAAATCTCCACAAGATGACACGTCACGAACCCTCGACTTGGACCAATCAACCCCCCCACAACCTGTCATGGAGCAAATGGCCAGCGAATACGAAGACAGTGATATGGAGCAAATGGATAAAAATGGTAAAATAGTCGACGACCAAAACTTCCCACCCCTTCCAAACGCTGACTCGGAAGGCTTCAAACTTCCACCTACAGGCAAGGCCACCAAACGAGGTATGTCAGTATCTTCAGGGTCAACAGTTACCCAAGCACCCAGTATTACAGCGAACACCCAAATCCCCCTCAGAACAAACCCCAAACCGTTAAAAAAAAAACTCAAAACAGGTGATGATAACCCTAATGACGACAGTCTTGACACCCAACTTCTCCCTCTCAGAGATGCTCTTTCTGATCCCAACAATGACTTCCCATTAAACCTCCCACAACTCAAGAGCTTCCTTGAAGGAACTAAAGGCAACCAAAATATACAAAACATCACCCCCGAGTACGTACAGGACCACAACAGGCTGATCTCGATGCTAGAAGAAACTTACAAATTACTGACCGATAAAAATATAAAAAGAAGATTTACAACCTTGATTAAAAAACTTAAAAAACGCGCAAGTGAAGAAAGTGTATCGGATTTAACATCAGATACTGATTTTGAACCCTAAAGTACCTCAATCATAAAGCCCAAATATTTCATGCCTAACAATAATATAATACAATGGAATATAAATGGGTACTTTGCCCCCATAGAACACCTCCAAACCATAAAAAACAAACTTGACCCAGACATTATATGTTTACAAGAAACTAACTTTAAGAATGACTACAAGGCCACTATGAAACATTTCCTTGGATACGCAAAAAACAGAACAAATACAGAACATGCTAGTGAAGGAGTGGCGACTTACATCAGAAACATATATAAATCAGAAGAGATAACTCTAAACGTAAATTTTGGATTTGAAGCTATTACTGTAACATAACATTTTCAAAATCTTATGGTAGATCAGTTGCCTATAAACCAGGTACCAACTTACCCATTTTCTAAATTTTTCAAAAGTCAAAATTGACATGTGTAAAACCATGTGTACGTATAAAATCGACGGTAAAAATATTTCCTGTAACGAGTAAAATTAAAGGTTTTGCAAAAAAATATTTGAGTCTGCGATAAATAGTTCTCCGTACAACCACGGGAAACGCTGTAAACAGTGACAATTTAGCGCCATTTATGTTTCTGTTCTGTGAAGGTCTTATTCTGTGCAGCAAACCTCCGGACGAAACACAGGATCTCTGCAAATCTGAAGCAAATGCGAAACAGTGATAAAATGGTTCCAGAAGTAATTAATTTTATCAATGATTTAAAGCTACGCGACAAACTATAATACCTTATATACCCTGTAACTGTAATCATGATACGTAAGTTATAAGCTGTACCAACTGTGTAGTCGCTAATGCCCACAAGGTGCATGCGACTGTAAATAAATAAATAAAAAAAAAATCAGGTGGAGTAAAAAATGTAATGGTGGTGGTCTCGTGAGCCTGGTCACCATTATCTAGGTAGCTGTATTCGTAGGGTGTTACCAAAACCATCTTCGGAATTTGATGAAGATGATTCGAAGTCAGTGCGTGAAAAGAATTAGTAAATGGGGTTTGGAGTAACATGCTAACTAAGTTCTTAAAAAATTCTTTATTACAATTAAAAAACGTCACAATTTACAGCTTTTTGGAGAATCTTTCTGCATAATTCTAAAACAAGTGAAATTAGGTATAAGAAATGAAGCAAATATTAATTATTTACCGTTTCAGCAATATTCCGCAAACATTCCGCGGATAACTTATCCATTTGGTCAACCATGGCGCGGAAGACACCGTCACAATCTTGTAACAACACGTAAGGATGGGCAAATTCGACAACCTTTCCCCCGTCTATAACCAAAATCTTATCAGAGTCTATCACAGTGTCCAATTTGTGAGCAATCGTCAGAACCGTGCAGTCCGAAAAATTCTTCCTAACAGCCTTCTGAATCAAAAGATCGGTCTTTGGATCCACGTTTGCCGTAGCTTCATCGAGGACGAGAATTTTGTTGTTCCTAAGCATCGCACGCGCCAAACATACGAGTTGACGTTGACCAATGCTAAAACTGAGACCACCTTCGGTAATCACCGAATTTAAACCGAAAGGTAAATTACTGACGGCATCTTTCATCTCGACATTTTCCAGAGTTTTCCATAGAATGTCGTCGGAATATTCCTGAAACGGATCAAGGTTGTTTCTCACCGATCCCGAAAAGATGGTCGGTTGTTGGGGAATAATCGAAATTTTGGAGCGCAAGTCGCACAGTGGAACAGTCTTGGTATCGATTCCGTCGATTGTAATCGAGCCGGAAAACTCGCTTAATCTAAACAGGGCGTTGATTAACGACGATTTTCCAGCCCCCGTTCGCCCAACAATGCCGACTTTCTCCCTTGGTTTTATTACGAGGTTGATCTCGTTTAAGATCAGAAGATCATTGGAGTATCGAAGTGAAATGCTGTCGAAGATGATTTCACCGTGTTTCGGCCAGTTTGGCAAAGGTATAATGCAGTGATCTTCCGGTTCCTGCTCGAGGGCGCCGTATTCTAGAACGCGTTCAACCGATGTCATGGCGTTCTCCATTTCAGCGTATTGCCGCACCACGAACTGAAGAATGCCCAATAAACCCAAGCTTTCACAAATGGTCAATCCGATATTTCCACCGAAGTTGTCTGCAAGACTAAAGTCAAGTATGGGCCAAGTGTTAAATACCTACCATCATTGATGAGAAGCAGAAATATGACACAAGTGTTAAATATGTTGCAGAATAGATCAGTCCAATAACCAAAGGCTCTGGATGTCGAGACGAACATGTAAGAGGCGGAGGTGTTCAGATCTTGGTGGGCGTCAAACTCATTTAGCACAACTTGTTGAGCGTCAAAAGATCGTATCGTTGATAGCCCCTGGATTGTGGCATTTATGTAGCCCAAAACCGGACTCCTAGCTTAGAATTCTTAGTGATCATTACCATTCGCGTTAATACCTACTTGTCGCCTCTACGCGTTTCAGGCTCCTACTTGTTGCGAGATAAAACTTACGCAAATAGTACAGTACAACAATGGCGATGACTGCGGGAAGTAAGGACAAATAATTGATGACTGCCATGAGAACAACCGCTCCTAAAGTGCTCAAACCCAAGAGAACAGTCTCATTGATAATCAATGGCAGCTCCTCATCGATTGTTTGTAGATCTTTGGAGAATCGGTTCAAGATTCTTCCAGAGTGGTTTAGATGGAATAATTTTAATGGCGATCCGAGAACACTTGTAAACATGGCGTTGTGCAAGCTGGTTGAAGATTGCATGCACAGATTATGTAAGGTGACCATTGCAGCAACACCAAAAACTATTACCCCCAGGATTAAGGTCGTGTAAATGTAAATGAATATGGGCATCGGCATGCTGATCGACAAGTTTTGCGCTTGATGCAAATTCACCCTGAAATTACAACATTACATCAGCTCTACCTGAATTAATACGCACCAGAAAGCGATGAAGTAATCGGATCCACTTGCAAGTACTTGGGCTATCACAAATAGAGCAATCACAAAGCACGAGGTGCTCCAATGGCTTCCCGCTGAGAAGTAAGTTTTGTAGACAGAGCTTGCAACGACACCACTGGTTGTTTGCTCGTCCGTTGTGTTTGGGACATCTACTGGCTTGGACACTAATGACTCGATGCTCGCGGTTCCGGCTTTTAGAGGATTTGGTTCGCACTCTGTCATCATTTCCCCTTCACCGTTGCAAAGTATCTGATCAAAGTCGACGTTTTGGGAAACCAAGTGTGAAAATCTGCCTTGGGCTGTTACCGTACCATTGTTAAGTACAATAATTTCATCAACGCTCTTCAAATATTGCACTTGGTGAGTAATTAGGAGCACAGTCTTATCCTTCAGCAGTGACTTGAAGCAGTTGTCGAAGATTGATTTTCCAACGCGGGAGTCAACAGCCGATAGAGGGTCGTCAAAAATGTAAATGTCAGCGTTCCTGTAAACGGCCCTAGCCAGGCCGATTCTCGCTTTTTGTCCACCACTTAGTGACGCACCGTGCTCGCCCACGATTGTCTGATCGTGGTGAGGAAATAGTTGCAGGTCGCGACTTAAAGCGCAAGCTTTCACCACGTCCTCGTAGCGTTCTTTGTCCATTTGACTGTCGAAAATGATATTCTGTCGCACACTGCTGGTGAAGATCCAAGGTTCTTGAGATGCGTAACTGACACTTCCTGACACTGTTAGTGAGCCTGAGCTTAAAGACATCTCGTTGAGGATCGCGTGCACCAAGTTCGTTTTCCCGCAACCGACCGGTCCGACGACGGCTACCAACCGGCTGCGCCCGATATTGATATTGATGTCCGAAAGAAGGCTAGTGAAGCCTCTCTGTACGAAAACACGGCGAAGGACGATTGCGTCGTCCAGATGGACTTGCGGATATTTACGCATTTCATCGCATCGAAGAAACGCGCTTAGCCTTTCCAGTGGAATTACGGACTCCATTAGTACATGTATTCCCTTTGGCAATTGAAATACCACCGTCCCTCGCAGGACAGCGTAAAACGACACCAATTGAAAGGCGTTCGCCGCCGTTACGTCGTTGCCTAAAAGCACAAAGGCCAAAATCGTGATAAAAACCGAGACACGTTGCACAAAAAGCTGAAAACTTGCAAACATCCCTTTTATGTACGAGGAAAGACGCGTAGATCTCAGTTCCAACCTAAAAACGAAAATCGTCTGCAAAATCCTCAACAGTAAGCGCTTTACCTGCGATACACAGAGACCAAATTTGAAAAGTGACTTTCCCAGTTGTACATTTTGAGCACCTGAACTCCGTAGATGATCTCTTTCGTCACGCGCATTCTTTCGTCTGTCCTCGCAAGGGTTTTGGAACGTACATTTTTGGCAGCTCTTCCTAAAAGCACTACAAAAAGTTTGCTAACGCGACACTTAAATACTCACAATAAACGCCCACGAATGAAATTACAAAGCAAATACCAAACAGAGACGAAACTCCAAACTCTTGATATAAAAACCACCCGATTACGACAATTTGAAGCACTCCAATCCAAGTGTAATGTATTGTGATGGGAATCTCGTAAAAACGATTGGAATCGTTTGTGATTAGCGTGAGAATTTGGCCCGAGTTGATCCTTTCAAAGGCGCTCATCTTCAGTTTGAGTATCTTCCGGTAAACTAAGGAACTGCAGGCGACTCTCAGTTTCAAACCAAGGTTATGTACCGCCAGCATGTAAGGGTGAATTAACGACGATATCGTCAACGAACACAGAGCCACCCCTGCGCCGTACAAATAAATTTCTTGCCTCTCAACGTGGCCCGGGGAGGACGCGGCTGTTATCAGTCGACCGATAAGAACGCACTGGAGAGGCCTGGAAAGGATCCTAGGTCAATGGCCATTTCAGAAATCGCTCACCTTATAATCACTTCAAGCGCCATCAATATAATTCCAGTTAGCAGGCTTTCAAACCAGATGAGCTTTACTAGCGGATTTCGCAGTGAGGGTTTCGTTTTCGACTCTTTACATTTCTCAATTTCTTCTCGCCACAAACTTTCCAATTTGTCGCCAAGCAGACGTGCACGATACCCCGAAAGCGGTTCGTAGACGTCCGCTTCAGTTAGTTCCTTTCGCCATCCTTTGAGGAAGATCGGCAAAGTAAAGCTAGGCGTGACGCTAAGAGATGGAAGGATCGTTGTGGAAGCGATACTTACAGAAATGTGGGAATGTAAAACACTCTCGCATTCTTCCTGGGGTTCGGTTGTCTGGTGCTTTTTGTTTTGTAATCCATCACACAACTAAACAACATTGTATCGTGGAGTTTACCTAACGTGCTGATAAAACTTATCTCTACAGGTAATTCAAACTATCAATGTAGATCTTTAGCATAACAAGTTTGTGATCTTTGAAATGTGAGGGCATTATCTATATTTTTGGGCCATTCCTATGAAGTAGGTAATAAGTACTAGGTACTTATCTAATCGCTAATGATTCTATTTGTCTTACTAAAGTGTTTATGGTTTCAATTAGAGTATTTTTACTGAAGGCTATTGAGTTTCGATTTCACAGTTCATAAGCAGACTCTTATTGGGGTCTATCAACTTGGCCATTGTAAAGGATTTCTCAGTATATTTTGACCCTCGCTCGAGAAACTGGCGCCAATTAGTACAGTGCAATTAGATCCAAACCTCAACATCCAAAGTAAAAGTTTCCCTCCAACTGCAAATTGTTCTATACAGTCCACAGATTCTTTGGTAAAAAGTTACACCATTTTAAGCGTCTGGTTTGGGGAGGGAAGTTGGAAAATTAGTAGTTGTGATAAGTTTTTCTTAAATATTTAGAAAACTATACGATTTAGTGCGAAAAGTGCCGTATACAAAAATAATCTACAGTAAATTGCGAACAAAAATGGCCTCGTATATAATCTTGCTAAATTGAACCGTTCCAGAGTTACGGAGGATGTAACAGTAGAAATTTTTCATCTTTTTTTTTAGATTCTTTTGGAAAAAATATGAGATTATCACTAAGGAAACTATTTTTTTTTGTTAAAACCGGTTCAAACAAATTGCACTTTAGTGACCGGTGGTATGTTACTGATAAGTCCTTGAAGGAACGATAACCTTACCACCTTCTCAAGGGGGGCCATTTTTTCAAGAGACTTCCACTATGAGGGACAGTAATCCCTGGGGAGTTGCAGGATGTGTTGTTATTGCTCTCAGGTGTTCGACAATCTTCCATCCCCACTTCAGCGGGTTCTTCTTCTCATGCGGCCACTGTTACACCTGATGGTAACTACTTCTAAATGAATGTTATACCCAGGTAGCTGCTGAAGTGGAGAGAAGCGCAGCCAACTTGAACAGTGAATGTATAGGATGCTTTGAAATGGCTTGCAAGTAACACTGGTAACGAAAACAAGCCAGATCTTCAGTGTTCTTTACTTCAAACATAATTTCATTTTTCCAGAAAATCGAAAAAATACGAAAAATGTCTACTTTTACACCCTCCATAACTCTGGAATCGTTCACTTGAGCAAGATTATACAGAAGACTATTTTTGTTCACATTTAATGTAGATTATTTTTTGATATCGTACTTTTCTCGCCAAACCCCATAGTTTTCTAAATATTTAAGAAAAACTGAACTACTAATCCGCCAAACCCCATAGTTTTCTAAATATTAAAGAAAAACTCCAAAAACTACTAATTTACCAACTTTCCTCCCCCCTCCCATTCAAACCCGACGCTTAAAATGGCGTAACTTTTTACCAAACAATATGTGGACTGTATAGAACAATTTGCAGTTAATGGGAAACTTTTACTTTGGATGTTGAGGTTAAGCCGTTTTTTCGACTAATTGCACCGTACTAAATTGCCAGGGCGCAGTTCACGCGTAACGTCAACGTGTTGAAGCACAAGCTGAATCAGACCTCTATCTTATGGAGAGAAACTCAATCTGGACTCTGGAGCATGAGAGTCAGAATTTCTGTCTTCACTTTCCATACACTTAAAGGAATTTCTGCATTTGTTATGACTATGCTTTGTTTTCAAATTATTGGCAAAGAAAGAGCTCTATTGCAAGAATCGAGGAAAGAGAAGAGGCATATTTATCATTACGATAGGGGTCCGTTAACTTTGCCCCTCACTGAGAGATTTGATAGTCGTATTATTTTAAAATGTATGCGCTCGTTATGCGCTAATATGCGCCACCGATAAAAACTCTTGCGCCACTATTGAGTTTTAGAAATCCGATAAAACATTGGGGGTGGGGGGGCAAGTGAACGTAGCCCCCCCCTCCCCAGTACGTATTTTGTCATAATCATAGGAGTGACTGTATAAAGTAATGTGCTCACATGCGCACACCGATGATAATTTTTGCACCATTATCTAATTTTTAAAAATGCGAAAATGTATTTGAGAGCGGTTAAGTATATATCACCCCCCCCCCCCCCTTCCACTACCTGCCACCACTATGTATTTTGTCGGTATCTATACCATCTGGTTATACGCTTAATTGCACCAATTGAATTAATTAGCGCAGTCACTGTTAGTCATGACAAATTTTCAAAAAGTGTTGTAGGGGCTAACTTCACGTTTTCAAAAGTTACGTTTTCAACATGTTTTTTTGCCCTACCTTGTACCTTTCACCATGCGCTCAAATGCGCCGTAAGCAGACATGTTTGCGCCTTTTAGGACCCCTTTGCAATATGACGATGGTCAATTTAGGGAAAAATTGCGCAATTAAAGAGCTATTATGATGCTTTCAAGATAACCAGATTCTCTTTACTTCCGCACCCGCGCAAAACGTCCTAATTGTGCGAAAATACCTCTCGGACACATTTTTCATTTTGCAGGAACTTTGTTTGTAAAGTTGTTGATGATTTCCCTGAAATGAAATATTGTATTGAAAATCTCTCAACGGTGTCTTGTAGAGCTCAAAAAGTGGCTACGAGAAAGTGTTTTTTTATTTTTTATACCTGTTCAAATAACATCAAAAAATTTAAAACGAAATCGGTGCAAATTTCGGTTTTTCTGGTATATCTTCGAAAGTAATCGGCTTTTTCTGGTTTACTTTAAAGTGTGATAATAACTCTTTCATTGCACAACTTTCCGCTAATTTGACCGTCGTCGTATCTTTTATGGGTTCCGAGATTCCCATGATAGACATCTGTATCTTGGACACTGTCACAGATGTATATCTGTGACACTGTATACTATATAGTGTTTCTGAAACACTATAACGGCGGAAAGATTTTTGTTTACGGCGCATTTTAGCGCATGATGGAAGCTACGATGTAGTAGAAAAAGCATGTTAAAAAACTTAACTTTTAAAACGTTAAGTTAGCCCCCCCCCCACTTTTTAAAAAGTTTTTATGGCTTAACCGTAATGGCGCTAGCTTTAATTCAAGTGGCGCAATTGAGCGCATAACTAGATGTATCAAGTGGCACAAATAACGGTAGCAAAATGCGTTATGGGGAGTTCCGTTCACTTGGCTCCTCCCAAAATATTTAAGGATAAGCAAAAAACAAGAATGGTGCAAAGATATATTTTTACGGCGCATTTTAGCGCATACTTGGGAGTACAATTTCGTATGAAAGGATGTTAAAAGAAAGTAATTATTAAAAACGTTGTTGGCCCCCACTTTTTGAAAATTTATCACCGCTTAACCGTAATGGCGCTAGCTTTAACTAAAGTAGCGCAATTGAGCGCATAACCAAATGTATCAGGTGATACATAGTCACAAGCGACAAAATACGTACGGGGGGGGGGCTACGTTCACCCCCCCCCCCCCCAATGTTTTTTCGGATTTCTAAAAAACTATAATGGCTCAAGAGTTATTATCGGTGGCGCATATGAGCGCATAACGAGCACATTCATTTTAAAATAATACAACTATCAAATCTCTCAGTGGGGGGGGGGGGGCCAAGTTAACGGACCCTTTAAAATGAATCCGTTATTGAACTATCGAACAACAGAACTTTTAAAACTAGTGCCGAGCGAGCAGAAGGTGAGTTGATCAATTTATTGACGATTCTCGAGATCGTTTATAGCTTTGTATTTATGTCTGTCTGTCAGTGTGCGCTTTGTTTAGGAACGTCCGATCACTTTGAAAATTGGTACACAAAGAAAAATCGCTATTGTTTTTCAGCTACCCAATTGTAAAAGATGCGTGAAGATATCGAAGATCGTTTAGTTGAAATTCAACCCCTATTCATCTGGAAAATAATTTCGAACCTTTAAATTTTGACAACCGGTAAATTAAGATATTGAGGGATCAATTACGACTCGATATAAATAAATTTCTTGTAACCGCTGGTCGATTTGGGCTTAGAAAATGTTGGTACCGCTTCATAATGAAAGAGAACAGAACTAATACGAGAGAAAAAACATAGAAACGAGTACGCAACAGATAATAGTCGAGACACCACAATGTTGCCAGGTCTAAAAACCGCCATAACGAAGCACGAAGGACGGCGTTTCTGATATACCATTTATTTCGACGAAATTATTGTAGTGGGAGCGTTGTCAATTTATTGGAACTTCGTCGTATAGTGAAAGTTACTGACGGTTGACTTTAATTTCACTTTAATACAGTGCGAATATGTTTACTTTCTTAATACGTAAGTAAACATTTGCGTAATTATCGAATTAGCCTGCTCGGATTTGAATAAATTGTTACAACGAAAGCGTTGTGGTCCAAGGCGCATAACGTTAATTGTGTCTATATTTGGAGTGGTTAAACGATTAAAAACAAGCATTTTAATCAAAACTGTGTACCTTTCTTTTGTACACGGTGTCCATTTTTCGAGTGCCACTATGGGGATCTCACTTATCTTAAAAGATAGAAGGTTGGTTAAATGGGGGCAAAGTTGCCAATTTTCGTGCTGAATAAGAATCTGAAAAGAAATTTTAAATATCTTCAATAGTTTTAAAGATATCGCAAAAAACGACAATTTCTGATTTTCGTTTTTAATTTTTTTATGATAAACTAATCGTAGTAGACATTTCTAATTAACACATTAGACGGACACTTTTTAATTGAGATTTCAAATATGGCATCCTGTTCTTAATATCTTTCAATATAACCGAGAAACACGTGGCAACTTTAGTTTTTCTTATGGGCGCCATTTTGAGTTTTCATATTTTGGGATTACGTCTTTTTTTCTCTTTACAACGATATATCACACACATGGTGGTTCAGTATCATATTTTTCCTAAAAATACAATTTTTTGAGAATAGTGCTTCTCTGACAATGCTGCAACCAGACAGATGGATCAAACTGTCAAACTGTTGTTTACAACAAAAGAACGTTTTGTTTTTCCAAAGCACTCTTCTCAAAAAATTAAAAATTGTATTTTTAGAAAAAATGTGATACTGAACCACCATGTGTGAGATATCGTTGTAAAGAGAAAAAAAGACGTAATCCCAAAATGTCAAAATTCAATATGGCGCCCATAAGAAAAACTAAAGTTGCCACGTGTTTCTCCGTCATCTTGAAAGTAATTAAAAACAAGATGCCATATTTGAAATCTCCATTATAAAGTGTCCGAATAATGTGTCAATTAGAAATGTCTACTACAATTAGTTTATCCAAAAAAAAATTAAAAACGAAAATCAGACATTTTCGTTTTTTTGCGATATCTTTTAAACTATTGAAGATATTTCAAATTTCTTTTCAGATTTTTATTCAGCACGGAAATTTGCAACTTTGCCCCAATTTAACCAACTTTCTATGTCTAAAGATAAGGGTGATCCCCATAGTGGCACTCGAAAAATGGACACCGTGTATACGGAGCGTTAAAAGGTTTTCCATTAAATGGCAACCGGTAAAAAGTTTGAAGACAATTAATTCATGCTTTTGGTAGCTGTTAATTCATAAGTTATAAGTTACAAGACGTTCCATCATCCAATTTTCTGAATTACGGCTTTCAGAAAAAAAATTGCCAATGGGAGAGAACTCATCGATAAATGCAGCTTATCTTGATTTTTTTATCTTGTGCCAGGAGTCGATCGTTTTGGGGACTTTGTATAAAAGATTTATGCTGAAAGTCAATTTAGAATTCCATATGGAATAGCACCCAGGGAACCGAAGATCTTATTATATATGTGAAAAGTGAAGTGTGACCACTGAATCTTTCGGTTTTTCTGGAGAGCATTCTGCCCCCCCCCCCCCTCCACCTCGCGGTTATACCTTCTCCCACCGAAATATTTAGTGTTTCTTTATTATAATGTTTAGGTAGATTCGGTGTCCATTACGAAAAACTATATATAATAGTCCTTAGGGCTTAAAGTTTTGAGTAAGAATGTAAAAACGAGTGATCTGGGGGGTATTCACCAGCGAACAGAAGGTATTATTACATGTCCAAGGAAATGAACATTGCATTGCCCCCCCCTGTACAGCGACCCGAAGATCTTATTATATGTATCAGGAAATGAACATTGAATTTTCCTGTTTTCTGGGAGGTATTCCACATCGCCCAGATCACCCATCCTCCTACGAAATATTTGGTTCGTTGGTGTCCATTACCAAATACCAACCAAAACCAAAAGTTTTGTGTAAGAATGTAAAAACGAGGAGTCAGAAGGGTATGCTATACCCTTCAGCGTTCCGAAGATATTATTATATGTGTAATGAAATGAGCATTGAATTTTTTCTTTCTTCTGAGAGTGTAGGGGGGGGGGGAGGTACTCCATACAGCCCAGACCCTCCGGTTGTACACCTTCCCACGATATATATGGTGCTTTTGGCATTTGTATAATAATTTTTAGGAAATTCGGTGTCCTTTACCAAAAACTATAACAAAATTCCTTAGGGATAAATGTTTTGAGAAAAGGTGTGCAACCTAGGGATGATCAGAAGATCTTATTATATGACGTCCCGGTTGTACAATCTCCCTTGAAATATTTTAATGCTTTCGGTGTCCTTTGCCAAAAACTATAACAGAGTCCTTAGGGCTAAACGTTTTGAAGAAGAATGTACAACCGGAGAGCGACCCGAAGATATTATTATATGTGCAAGGAAAATAATATTGAATTTTTATTTTTTTCTGGAGGTATTCCATACTGCCTAGACCCCCCCCCCCCCCTATTGTACATTCTCCCACGAAATATTTGGTGATTTGGCACTTGTATCATAATTTGTAGGAAGATTCGGTGACCTTTACGAAAAACCATAACTGAGTTCTAAGGGCTAAACGTGGAGGAAAAATGTACAACCGGGGGAACTGGAAGGTAGGCCCCCCAACGATACGAAGATCTTATATGTGTAAGGAAATGAACATTGAATTCTTCTTTTTCTCTGGAGGGTAATTCATACAGATAAGGATCATTAAAGGTTTATTCGTTACTGAGCTAGCCGTAGTATTAATATTTCAATTCAAGAAATTGTTACAATAAAATTTTAGCAGTGCCGTAGAGATCATTTTGTACGAGTGCGGTTTCCAATCCCTGTAAATGTAACTAAGCCGTTACATGCTAAATTAGGAAATTGCTATGTCTATGAATCTAGCAGAGCAAGGTCAGCAGAACACAATCAAATATATTGCATAATTAGGTGCTAATTAAGTTCCCTATTCCCGAATTAAATGCTCCTTAAATTATTATGTTCTGCAAGGTGCATATGAACTCATCAGAGCACTACCTCAAAAAACCAAGAAAACGAAAAGTGAACTAACTATAATTAGGTGCTAATTAAGTGCTCTATTCCCGAATTAAATGCTCCTTTTTTTTTAAAATTATTACATGTTCTGCTGGGTTCATATGAACTCAGCAGAACACTACCTTTAAAACGCAAGTAAATGAAAAGTGAACTAACTATAATTAGGTACTAATTAGGTGCTAATTAAGTGCTCTATCCGCGAATTAAATGCTCCTTTTTCTTAAATTATTACATGTTCTACCAGGTTCATATAAACTGACCGTTATGAGGAAATTACTGCCTCCCAAATTCAAAAAGATGTTGTGTACTGTCACTTTTCGTCCCTCATTGCATTTTAATCCCTTAGACCCTTAAACCGACCTAATTAGCATCTAATTATAGTTAGTTCACTTTTCATTTTCTTGGGTTTTAAAGGTAGTGTTCTGCTGAGTTCATATGAACCTGGCAAAACATGTAATAATTTATAAAAAAAGAGCATTTAATCCGGGAATAGGGCACTTAATTAGCATCTAATTAGTACCTAATTATGCAATATGTTTGATTGTGTTCCGCTGACCTTGCTCTGCTAGGTTCATGGACATGAAATTGTTATTATAAGATTTTTGCTTAAATGATAATCAAATAGATTAGGCTACCTACCTCGTTTTCTTTATCTAGAGATCAATCCAAGAACAACAAGTAGAGGATTTTCTTTAATTTTCCTAATTAGATTACATACAAAACGCAAATACAAATATCAAAACAAAACATAAATGGTCATACAAAATATACCTAATATTACATTGTTTAGGACAGGGCTGTGCGAAGTCCTTTATAAAAACGCCTCATCTCAAAGGGCCTTAAGCTCTTACACAAGACTTTATGAGAAGATTGAATTCATAATCGTTTCGGTTCAATTTTTTAAGGGCTTGACAGATTTCATTGGTCCAATCGCTTGCACAGCTCTGTATAGGTACATCAAATCATTACAAATAAGTTGCAAATCCCTTAAGAAATGCCTAGGGAAAACGCATACATTCTTTTAACGACGTCGATAAATAAACTACGAGACTTAGCAGGGTATTAAAAATGAGGCTACAAATTAGTAGAAATATGATACCTCCTTATCCCTGTTGACATTCGGTTGGGGAAGGTCCAACCACGACGTTGCATCCCTATCGTTTCCAACATCCGCAGAGTGATCGTTCCGTTGAAAACTGAATGGCCATGTCTAGAAGAAGATTTTGCGAATAAATAATGGGCGACAATTAATCTGGTTCGTTGTTGTAATTTTAGAATTTGCTTATTTAAAAGGAAACCTGCGGCTGCGCCCAAGTGCCACTTTGCTTAAATAAACATCTTACTGTCATGTCAATGGAATAATTAAACACCGCCGACGCCGCCGCCGCCTTCAACGAACAAATGTTTACAGCTGTTCGAACGGTATTAAAAAAGATCTTTGAAGATTTATAGGACGGTCACGCTTTTAAAAGAGAGACAAGCAAATTTTTTTTGCGGTGAATAGATCACTGATTTTAAATCGTGACTTACCTCAATTTTTCCAATGTTAAATTTAACCCACAATTCAAGAGATCTTAAGTTTTTCAGTTCGCTTTACAGAAGATTTTCAAAAGGGCATTTCCATATTACAGTTTTTCCAGGTGACCTAGGCATAATTGAAAATTTTAACTCTAAAGACTTGACAATTTTGATTGAATTTACAGCTCGAAATTTAACCGCACCAATTCCAAACTCGAGATTTCAATTTGTAATTATAACTTTTTTGAGAGATTCGATTTCGTAGTCTATAGACCTGAGACGGTGTATTTCAAGCCGTGTGCGGACAATTCGCGGCCGGACAATTCGCACCGGAATAATTCGCACCCGGACATTTCGCTCCCAGGATATTTCGCACCCTGGACATTTAGCTCCCGGATAATTCGCACCCGGACCATTCGCACTCGAAAAATTCGCTTCCGGATAATTCGCACCCGGACATTCCGCTCCTGGATAATTCGCACCCGGACAATTGGCATTCGGAAAAATTCGCACTCGAAAGATTCGCTCTCGAATAATTCACATCCGGATAATGCTGTAAACCTTTGGTTTATTAAAATTAAATATTTTTAAGAGGCTACTAGACGATTGCCTTTACAGAATGTATGTAGTAGTGCACATCTTGGTAAACAACTACTTCATGGAAAAATGTTTCAAATAATAGTTATTTGGTCTTTCATTTTCAACACATCGCGATTCTTAAGTATTTCCATTTCTTAAATATAATCACGCTGGTTTTTTTTGAAGTTGTATGAAGAGTCTGATATAGTTAAATCCTGTAATTTAAGAACACATAATTTTTCTCTATTGCGCTTTCGTTTTGAGAAAATAAGAATAGGTAACTGAAACGTCTTTTGTGGAGTAATTAAATACCAAATAGTTATACCTAGTTATAGTATATCTACAATATTATGTGTAATATTCGCTACTTTTGAGACGCTCTTAATATTAAAACAAAATCAACATATAATACCGTACATGCACAAACAAAGTGATAAGTCTAAAGTTAAAAATATTTACATTATAAGATCAAGATGAAAATAGAAAAAGGAAGTAATTTTAAGGCTCCCTTACATAAAGATTTCTTAATGAAGACACATAAAAAATTGTTCTTTATTTCTTTAGTTGAAAAGGGTGACAAAGGAAATGAATTAAATTTATTTTAAACAAAACGAGTATGTATAAATGACAATAGAACAATATGCATTTCATAGATGGCACTAAATTTGGATAAGTAATTAAGATAATATTATAATTAAAGGTAAATTTGAAAAGACCCCAATCACACAAATTGCACTTCATAAAGAAACAATAAGAGAAATATCGTAATGACATCCTTTCTATTATTTCTGGAAGATGAATATTACAAGGTAAAAGTAATTAAGTCCGAAAAATCAGGTTTAAGTACGTATGACCACAACTAATTAAAACTTTAACGCATGTATAGTATTGAACGTTTGACAGAGTGTATTTTAAAATTTATCTGAGCACGGGTTTTGATTTTGTGTATACTTTTTTTTTAATTTTAAAAAATGTTATTTCTGGTGGTAGTGTTGTGGTGGTGTTCAGAAAAGGTAAGTTTCCAGTTTTCTTAGAACCAGTTTTACGTTTCGTTGACCACATATGGCTATATGTTGATTATTGGTGACTGAGTAAAATTACACTAACTGCTTATTTTTTTGCGTTATCTTTGCTACAACTATGGTAGTGAATGAGCTTAGTTTTTTATTGATTTTCTTACTCTTTTATTTATTTTATAGTTTGAACTTGAAGAGATACATGGAAAAATGCTGGCAATTTTTTAAGAGATGGTTAATAATCAAAACAGTAAAGCTTTTAAAAATCTTGAATTATTAAGTACCTATATACTTCCTTTTTAATTTTTGCATGGCATACCTAGTACTAAAGCAAAACCCTTAGCATTGGTAATTGCGCAACAAGGAAGATTGGACATCGTTGGAAAGGCTTTCCTTCTCTGAATTTGGTGAGACTATAATTTTTTAGATTCGATATTTTCGAAATATTTTAAAAGTAAGTTGAGGGCGCGCTGTTGTTTATGTCATTGGAAGGAGGTCGGGCCGATCACTTAATAGAAGCTAATGCGATCGTGCGTCAAAATTATGCAGTTGCAAGTGGTATAAAAAAGAGAAAACTTGTAGGTACCTGCAACGTCGAATGCGCTGGAAATGAAACAACTAAACCAAAAAAATTACATATCCGAATTCAGAGATGGGCGACCTCGAGGGCGACCTTATCAACGATGCATCATTTAAGATTTTAAGGGTTGCACTGTCAGCGATGCGAGACAAAGATATTCGTGAGCAAGTTTTATTTTAGACACTGTTTCCTTCCATGATCAATTTGACGTGCCAAAGCGTTTTTTGAAAATTATTTTAATTTACAGAAATAGCTATGTATGGTTTCTAATGCACCACCGTATATTATTTAGCTTCGGAGAAATAACACCAAAATCTCCCCATAAAAATTGTTATAATAATAAATGGGTAGATTTTGGTGTTATTTCTCCGAAGCTTCTTAAGCACCCCATTGAGAGTCATGGATCTTCACAATTTCAGTATATTATTTAAATAATAGCCATATAATTTATAGCAAGATCAATTTTTTTCACGATATTTATCAACATTTTTTGCTTTTTTCGTTACTTTACAGTTCTTATCTCTTTAATTTTACGGAAACTCTCAAGAATCTATTTGTTTTACGTTCAAATATGATTATAATTTACTTGAGATTCTTTTAAGACAATACATACGTATTTCGTTATGTGTCCTTTAAATGGACGACATCGAAGGTTAGAGAACCAGGAAACTTAACTTGCAGCTATTAACAAATAGTAATTGTTAAAATTTTATTTAGACTTTTATATTCCTATTGCAATATTATTTGTACGTGCTAAAAGGTTTCGAAATGAAAAAAACCTTGATTGTGAATTGGTACAATAAAACTGGGTAAGAAATGTCAGGTGACAGTTTTGCTGATAGACCGATACCAGCGTTTAGCAGCATCCGTCTACTTGTGAACATGAGTGCATGGACAATTTACATCACAGATGAGTGTCTTCCCAGTAAGAAAGGAACATTTTTACCTTTTTTTGTTTTTTTTTAAATAAATTTTCATTCATGGTACCTTTAGCAAGTGTTCTCATGTTTAATACGGACATTACAATAAAATAAGTACTAAATTCCAGATTTTGAGTGATATGGATGCTATTAAAGTGACTTAAAATCTCTACTGCTTTGATATGGTCCATTCCATTTAAAAAGGTACATAGGATTGTACGTATGAATTTTTTCCTCATAAATACTATTAAAAAAATTATTCCTCTACAAATTGTTTGGTTATTGTTTAACCAACATAAATATTTAAGTGACACATTAAAATGTCAAAATCAAGGAAAATATCATCAAAAATGGACTTGTTCCTGAGGCTAAAAGTTGACATTTGATTTATTACAAAAAGTTGATAATGAATACGAGATTTAGGCGGTGCAAATTATACGGGGCGCGTAACAATGGAGTTCGGTACAACGAAAAGGGGAAAGAGATACATAATCTATGAAGGATACATGTACCTCTTTGCTAAGAACCTTAAACTCCAAAACTGCTCATCATGGCTGTGTCGAGCGAGAAGAGCAAAGAAGGATCCATCGGCTCTTATAGTTTAACATGCAATGCCAGGAACTTGGTCAACGATGACAAGGTAAGATTAGTTAAACCGAGCACTGATTTTGGAAGTGCAGATGGTTTCCAGTTTTAAAGCCCTTAATTGCGTATTTTATTAGTTAGGATATCGTCTTTTGACCTTTTGACTTTTTTATACGTAAGTTTCATCGTTGCTTATACCGTTGTCTAATGTTAGTTTTTAGGTTTGGCCCTCCCTTGTAAAAAATTTAGTTTATCAACCTCTTCAAATTTCAATTTTACTTTGGAACCAACCACGGATATGGTCGTTGGCCTTTCCAGTTTTACTGCCCTTTTGGGTTTTTAATTGTTTTCCATCGAAAATGTACGATGCGGTGGGAAATGTGAAAACTCTCTTGACGATAAGTATGCGGGTGCAAAAGTGTCCAGACATCAAAATCTCAGGGGAGCGAAATTCTGGTGTGAATTATTCCGGTGCGAATTATCCGGGTGCGAATTGTCCGGGAGCGAAACGTCCGGGTGCGAAATATCTTTGGTGCGAATTTTCCTTGGTGCGAAATGTCCGGGAGCGGTGGGCTTTATAACGATTTACCTGGTGTCTTAAAAAATATGGCTTGATAGCCATAGATGTTGATACATCTTTAAAAAAAACACTATATAAGCAAGCACGCTTATTATACTAGTTATAATTGGAAATTCTTTTTTTTATATTCACATAATTAACTTCACGTATAATTTAATTTAATTTATACAATGCAAAGGGTTAAGTGGAAGAGCAGGTCTAATGGATTTCCCGTTAGCATCTGAACTTCGCCCTTTTAAATTGCGCACTTGTACATATTATTATTAAGATATTCTTGTTACCTTATATGATTAGGGTGATTTAATAAACGACATGATTATTATTATTATGGGTCCGGGTGCGAAATATCTTTGGTGCGAATTTTCCTTGGTGCGAAATGTCAGGGTGCGAATTGTCCGGGTGCGAAATGTCTGAGAGCGAATTATTCGGGTGCGAATTATCCTGCAACCATTTCAGAGCGGCTCTCTAAACGAACATTAAAAGGCCACCCTTCAAAGCTCCTAAATTGTGCTGAAAACGCTCAAAAACTAACAGCCTCTGGGAAAATCTTAGAAACCCCAGCACTTATAAAAGCGTTTAAGAACTTTTAGGGATCCATAAAAAAAGGCGTATTAAGGATTGTTAAAGGCTCTTAAGCACTTTCACAGGTTTTTAAAGGGCGGAGGCTCTTAAGCCTTTAGAAATTGTTGAAAACTAGTACGTGTATTTAAAGACACTTTAAAGACCAATAAAGCGACTTAAAGGTTATTGCATGCGCTTACAGTTCCATAAAGCCTTTCAAAGGTTTTCAAAATGCAGGATTTTTCGTGCCTGGGGTGGCTCTTACACACTTTAAAACACTCCGTGACACTTTTAGTCTTTAGAAACCTTCAATAATTGTCAATAAGAGTGAATACACAAACTAATGAAACCCCGTTTCGGACATGTCAATTGATTGGATTAATCCACATTGATCAATAAATAAACAAGTTTTGCTTAAGACATGCAGTTTCTTAGGGAAACGGTTTTCCCTAACAACGCAAATACCTATTATTAGTGTGAATACAAGTCATTGGAATATCGTGTCAGATAGCCCAGGTTTTGGAACTATCACTTGCACCTAGGCAGTAGTAACAGTCATGTGGTAAGTCAATGTGTACCGAAATTGCACTTGGACCTCTAGAAATGAAAATAGGTCTGTAATAGAGTTTTGGAACCCAAAAACATTTTACCAGCAGTGTCCAGCGAGCAGAAGGCGAGTTCGGCACAAACCTAGGTCGAGTAAAGGTCCGATGGAATGAGTGTATTTGTGCCGAAATCATTCTTGGATCGCTAGGCATTAAAATTGTTCGTTATTGAACTTTCAAACAAAAGATAGTTTTAAAACCAGTGCCGAGCAAACCAAAAGCGAGTTCGGCTTAAATTGACATACCCCATTAGAGCTTTTCTATGGCCAGATTTGATTTGCGCTGAACTCGCCCTCGACTAGCTCGGCACTGGTTTTGAAACCATCACTTGCTTACAGTTAATAGTTGGTCTCATGCCGAGCAATCCGAAGATTTGGTCACAAACCTAGGCCTAGTACCGAAATCATCCTAGGATCGTCAGGCTTGAAAATGTATCCGTTATTGAACTATCGAACAACAGAACTTTTAAAACTAGTGCCGAGCGAGCAGAAGGTCAGTTCGGCATAAACCCAGGCCTTGGAAAAAGGCCTAATGGAATGAGTCCATTTCTGTCGAAATTATGCTTGGATTACTAGGCATTAAAATAGTGATTCATTATGGTACTTTCAAACAAAAAGCAGTACCGAGCGAGTCGAAGGCGGGCTCGGTACACACCTAGGCAGAGGAAAGGTCTGATGCGGTAAGCCAATTTGTGCCGAAGTTGCCCATGGATCTTTAGGTATTAAAATATATTTGTTATTGAATTATCGAACCAAAGAACGTTTTAAAACCAGTACTGAACGAGTCAAAGGCGAATTCAGCATAAATTTTCATAGCCCGTTAGATCTTTTTTTTTTTTATTGTCTTTATTTTTATAGTGGGCGGAGTGTTAGCAATTTGCTACTCTTCCCACTCAACCCACTATACAATCACAAACAGCCATGCCTTACCTGGGATTCGAACCCAGGACCCTTGTAGCCAAAGTTAGAGCTTCTAACGTAAGCTCATCTGAGCTACGCAGGTCGGCAAATCTTTGCTATGACCAGACTTGTGCCGAACTTCGCCCGGCACTGATTCCCATCATTTGCTTAAAAAGTTAGGTAGTGGTAGGTCTATTTTCATTGCGAGCAATCCGAAGACGAGTTGGGCACGTATCTCGGCACGGTAAATATTTGATGCTTTAAATCAATTGCTGCTGAAATGGCCCTTAAATCGCCAGGCATTAAAATAGGTCAGTTATTGAACTTTCAAACAAAAGAGACTTTAAAATCAGTGGCGAGCGAACCAAGGGCGACTTCGGTACAAACCTAGGGTGATCAAAGGTGTGATGGAATAAGTGTATTTGTGCCTATAATCATTCTTGGATCGATAGGCATTAAAATTGATTCGTTGTTGAACTTTCAAACAAAAGATAGTTTTAAAACCTTTGCCGAGTCAGCCGAGGGCGAGTTCGGCACCGACCTAGGCAGAGTAAAGGTCTGATGCGGTAAGTCAATTTGTGCCGAAATTGCATATGGATCGCTAGGCATTAAAATTGGTCAGTTATAGAACTTTCAAGCAACAGAAACTTGTAAAATTGTAAAGCCAGTTCCGAGCGAGCTGCGGACACCGGGCAGGTTTGGCACAAACCTAGGCCAAGTAATGGCCTGATGGAATGAGAGTGTTTGTGTGTCCGAAATCATCCTTGGGCTGCTAGGCTTTAAAGTAGATTCGTTATTGAACTTTCAAACGAAGATGCGGTGGGCACAAACCTAGGCAGAGTAAAGGTCCGATGGAGCGAGTCTATTTGGGCGGAAATCAGCCTTGGATCGCTATCCAGTAAAAGAGACTCTTTATTGAAATGTCAAACAAAAGAAACTTTGAAATGTAGTGTCAAGCGACCCGAAAAGTCTATTTGAGATCGTCCTTGGATCGCTAGGCATTAAAATAGATTCGGTACTGAACTTTCCAACAAAACGTAGTTTTAAATCCGGTACCTACCGAGCGGACCGAAAGCGAGTTCGGCACAAACCTACGGCAACTACTGTGCTGATACGGTAAGTCAATTTGTGCCGAAAGTTCACTTCGATGGCTAAGCATTAAAGTAGTTCGGTTATTGCACTTTCGTACCAAATAACGTTTTACAATCAATGCCGGGCGAGCCAAAGGCGAGTTCGGCACAAATTGACAACCCCCATTAGAGCTTTGCTATGATCCGATTTGTGCAGAACTCGCCCTCGAACTCGGTCTGGTTTTAGAACTATCATTTGCTAAAAAGATTAATACTTAGTAGGCCTATTTTCACGCCGAGCAATCCGAAGACGAGTTAGGCACAAATGTAGGCGTAGTAAAGGTTTGATGCCGTAAGTCTATTACTGCCTAAATATTCATTGAATCGCTAGGAGGAATTGTTTCGGAGATGTGTTGTATTTTCTGAAAATGTGCCGAAAATTTGAAAATGTTTAAGACATTTTGGAAACACTTTCTAAATTATGCAAAGAAATGTTGAAAAATTACAAGAAAATTTGACATTGTTTCAGGAATTCTTAAAGATTATTGAAAATACTTCAAAAACGTGTAATTTTAAGATACAGAAGAAATGATATTCTGGAAATGTTTAGAAAAATTAAGAAATATTGCAGAAGTGTTGGAAATGGGCAAGAAATGTGTATGAAATTTTGGATATGCTTTCCAATTTCGCAAAATTTGTAAGCTTCATACGCTGTTTCAATGACACATTAACTTTTCTGTGGGAAGTGAAAACCGTTTCCCGATGGAAATGCGCGTGTCAAGAGAAAAAATTTAAATGCAGATTCATGTATGTCGAAACTTCTGATGCGTTGCACATTTTTAGTTTGTGGAACCCGTTTCTCCGTCGGTCTATCTGTTTGTAACGTAACTACAAATTTTTCTTTGTCTTGAGTCATAATAACAAATGAAATGTCCAAATGAATAGTTGCAAATTGATTTTGGTGGGTAAACGTGTAAACGGTGGGTGCCCCATATGTGAATTTTTCGCATTTTACTTCCACTAATGCAATTATTTGTGAAATAACATCAATCAAATATTGGAAATAGAAGCGTTGGAAACTATGGATTTTTCCAAGGTTTCGAGCGAGGTTTCGCGTTTTTATTTGTCAGAGTTCATAGTAAAGTCATGAGATCCCAAATTATTACGTTAAAAGCCGTCTTAATATTGGGCAAGTTTCACGAAAATTGACTTATGAACTAACTATTAAAGCCAAAAATTTGATACTGTTGAAAAGCTCAAAAAAGCTCGAAACATTGAAAGTTTTTTGAGTTCATACAAATTGTTTAGGGACGGAGACATAACAAAAGTGGGACGATTTTGGTTATCATGAAAAGGAATTCGACTCACCAACGTTAAGGGATGCTTATGAATTTGATCTGAAGGTAACGGTTGATCCATAAGGACCGCTCTAAGGTGCGCTATGTAGCTGGTCGCCAATCTCAACGTATCCAATTTGGACAACTTCGTATCGGCAGGTACCCAAGGTAGGGTAGTTTTTAATCTGCAGAAGGCCCTACTCAACACTCTCATTCGCGCCCTTTCTCTCGCGTTCGCCGCGTTTCTTTGGGGATGTTTTAGATCATCAAAGTCGTCGTCCGAATCGCACGAATCTATCTGTCGACGTTTTCGAGGCATTTTAAACAATTAATCGTGCGCGAAACAAAGCGGAACACATTTCGAACCCCACAAAACTAAAACTAAATTAAATCGTCCGTAACTGTCGCAAAGTTAAGGCGGTCTTTAGTCATTTAGACGCTCCACCCTATAGACAAAACGAACCGCCTTGACATGTGTTTATTTTTTCCCAATTTTTTTTGGGTATTTTGAGGATTGGAACATACTTTTCTATTGTCCCACTTCGTTATTGCACATTTTACATTATTCGGTCACTTTAATTGGCCTTTGAAGGGTTTCTGAGTCATTTCAAAACCTTTAATACGTTGGTCTTTAAGAGCGTTTTGGAGTCTTTAAAGGTCTTTACCTGTCTTTGAAGAGAGCAGCAAAGCTAAAGAACTTACAGAGTTTCACTAACCTCCGTATAAACAGCAAAAAACCGATAAAAACACTTTACCTTGGCCATAAGATTGCTTTCCTCAACACAACACAACAAAATACGATCTCATCCACTTACAACGGGATTCAAGGGGTGCAGTCCACCATTAAAGCATTTAAGAAGTCATAGTAAAGGATGTGCAACAGAAAAGCACATTCAAATTTATCCATATAATTGCTTACCCCAACGCGAAACAAAAGTCTAGGGTATGCAGTGGGGGTCCCAGGATTTGGTAAAGGGAGAGGCCCAAACCCGAACTTTGTCCCAACACGGAAAAAAATAAAAGAAATCTCGCATAATGGAAATGAGATCGAACAAAATTGATGAAACAAATGGACAATGGCCCCCCCCCCCCCTTGGACCGCCTTTGAGGGTATGCATGAGGCGGAATCCATCCATCTGCGAGGGAGCACGAGGGGGTACAGTTTCGGGACACCCTTTAGGAAATAAAAAATCACTCCAAAGGCGGAGGAATTCTTCGGAAGATCGCTTCTGCACATCAAAAGTTATAGGTAAAAAACCGTATTGCAATGAAAAAATTATCAAAGTCCTCGTGTGAGATCGAAGGGACTTCAGCGCATTTTTGTGTGGCAGATCAGTATTTTAATAGCCAGTGTTGACTCCACCATCAATAAAAGATCTTGTCGAAGGCTACCACATTCCCTTTGACGGTACCCACTTCCGATGTCCCGTTCATCCGCAATTCGCGTTTGAAGATTTGACTCCGCCATCACTAAGATCGTGTCGGGGGCTACCACATTCCTTTTGTTGGTACCCACTTCCGACGTTTCGTTCACCCGCAATTCGCGTTTGAAGATTTGACTCCACCATCAGTAAGATCGTGTCGGGGGCTACCATATTCTCTTTGTCGGTATCCACTTCCGATGTCCCGTTCCCTTTCAATGCGCGTTTGAAGATTTGACTCCACCATCAGGCAGATCGTGTCGGGGACCCACTTCCGAATCCCCATTTTCTCGCAATTCGCGTTTAAAGATTTGACTCCACCATCAGGAAGATTTACGAAACGTTAAACCGCGTGACAACGGAAGGTAAAAGGCGCCCGAAGTTGACTACCTATCGAAGACGCGCGCGCGCCCTGCAAAAGATCGTTAATTTCGCCCGTAGGACAAAAAACAAAATTCGGCCACGCAGGAGTTGTGCGCGTTTACATCTTTCCGACGGAACAAATTTGAAAAGAATCGCACCAAAACTGTAGTAGAAGATAGGAAAAAACTGAAAAACCTTCACGTTAGTAAATTACGTTCGAGGATGACGCCCAGATGTAGCCAACTCCACATCATGTAGCCCTGGTTTACAAATTACACGGACTTGTAGATACATGTACACCCGTTGCCTTTCTACAAGAGTTATACGCGCCCACATTTGCTGCCATCCAGCCAGCCAGCCAGCCAAAGTGAGATTAAAAGCTACTTTTTACAAATAAATTTGCAAAAATGCGCTAAAAAAAGGAAATTAATATAGGAAACTAATGGCAGAAGATTTGGAATACACTACCAAAGAAAAAAGGATTAGTGAGAACGAAGGAAAAGAACGGAAAAGGACAGGGCGGAGCTTAGAGGAAGAAATTAACAGTAAAAGAGAAAATCGTGAAAGAGAGAGAGGGGAGAGGGGGTGTACATACAAACATAGACAACAAAAGAAAGGATAACAAAATAAAAATAGGTAAGATGATATTTTGAAATGTATCGGGGGTAGCTTTTTTAAAGACGCTCAATTGTAAGAGTTTGTAAGAGATGGTAGAATCATGGATAGAAGAAAATAAAGAACAGGATACCGAGTGAGCATGTATGGAAGAACCAATTTGCGAAAGTATATGAGCAGAAGGAGATATGTATATTAACAGGGGTAAAAAAGGAATGAAGGAGGAAACGAAAGCGGAGGAAGGAATACCGGTCGGACGAGTAGAAGTGGTGGGGAAGAAAATGAGAATGATAACAATATACAACAGGGTAAGAATGAAGGAAATAATAGGAAGTGTGCTAGATGAACGGGGCGAGAAGAGGCTAACATGGGGGGAGGGGGTTAATGCAACAGGAATTAAAGGAAAATGTATAGAAGGAACACAAGGTACAAAATCAAGATCATGTAAGAAAAGAGATGGAGAAACAGAAAGGGTGAAGAGGCTATGGAAGAGGTAGGGGGAGAAGATGAGATAGCAAGAGAGGAGGTCGAGCAGCAATTAAAAATACCAAAGAAAGAGAAAGCGGCAGGGAGAGATGAGATAAGTAACGAGGCCACAGATAGGGTCGAGGAAAGAATGAGAAATGTAATAAACAATGCAGGAGGGTGGTAACCCGAAGAAAGGAAGGATGAGGTAGGTAAAGGTGCCGATTTTCAAAAGAGGGAACAAAGATTATGTGGCAAATTATAGGTGACTACGGTTTATAGAATCTAGCAATGATACTGAGCGAAAGACTGGAAAGAGAAATGGAAGCGAAGAGGATGTTGAAGATAGAGGGGAACACAGATTGGTGGAAAAGATTTGGAAAAAAGGACGTTTTTTTTTAAATTTATTTATTTAGCATTTATTAATTATTCGCTATTAGCTATTATTTAATAAATTTTTGTGTTTTCTGTAATAATTATACTTTCCTTAAAATACCACTTCTACTTAGAAATAACAGTAATCTATTGACAGCATCAGTTGTATCTTCAAAAATACTTTTAAGATTATTAGGAAGATTTAACTCTCTTCTCAGCCTTTCGGTGTGGAGGCACTCAATCAATATATGATACATCGACACATTCACTCCGCATCGAACGCACTCATTTACTCCTACCTTCCCTAGAAGATGGAGATCTTATGGTATGACAGAGTGGAAAGGGAAAAGTACAGAAGAAGATGGAAGATGGTAAAATTGACAGGAGGTTAAAGAACAGGATCAAGAAACTACATGAAGAGACGACAGTGTACGGCATAAAAAAAACAAAAATTGGAAACTGTTGGTTCCAACAAGATGGTGCACCCGCGCACAACGCCCTAAATCCTTCCAGAATACTTCTCGCACTAATTTTCTACAAAATGGAAAACTTGTCCGATATGTTTTCTTGCACGATTAGGGCGTTGTGCGCCGGTGCACCATCCTGTTGAAACCATACATCGTTGTATTCGTAATAACCATTGAATTACCATTGAATAAAAACACTATTACCATTGAATAAAAACACTATTTTTTATTCAATGGTAATAACTCACAAAATGTGGTAGTTGGTGCACAAATCAGCACACAACGAGCGTATTAAGGACTTTTCGATTCTGGTTTGCATGTTTCAACTGAGACGCAATTAAGTAAAACTGAAAAAGAAAATTAAGAGACGCAGGGCAATTAGCATTCTGTTACAAAAATATTGTCCATACCTTCTGGTTAGTTTACAAATAACCTAAATATACGTAAATATCGGTTTCAGTTTGTTATTGTTACTTCCACAAACAAATACAAGATCCGTGCGAAACATCTTTTTCATTGGACGCCTCTCGTCTATTATAACAAAAGGGCTAGTAAAGTAGAACTTGCCTCGTAAAAATAAACAATTTTACCTAACAATTACAAATTAAAGTATTTTTGAGTTTTTTGCAGTTTAAAATAACAAAAGTTTAAGCCCCCGCTAACGGAAGTTTAAATATGGCAGATTGGAGATGTTGCACCTGGATATAACATTTCGTTTTATTAATGGAGCCGTTTAAATTTGTCCCGACAATTTTGCTCTTCTGAAATTAGGTAGATGGAAATTGAGTTAACTAGCGAATGGCAATTCTAACACTATTCAAAAAGTAATCGAGTCAATTCAATGCAATTATAGCATTGAATTTTTAAGTAGGTTGTTCCATCCGTATGAGGGTTTGAGATCTCGGCACTCAGATCTCGTAAAAAACCGCGTTTTCTTTTAATTTAGCAAGTGTCCACACGTAGGATTGGCAAACGAAAAAGAATGTCGAAATGGTTTTGCGCTTTTGCACCAGAAAATTCGTAATTGTTTATACCTTGTTGTTTTTTTTTTTAAATTATTTGTTGATTGATACCTGCTCGATCACTGCACTTCAATACTCATTCCATATATCCCGTATATCTTTAGCATCACTATTTTTCACTGATGCGATGGTGTCTCTAATGGGAATACTGTGTCTTCTTGTTTGTTAATATATTCCCAATTTGTAGGACCTGACTTGAATACATAAATTCAATCAGAATTTAGTATTTGGAAAGATAAGGAAATATCTACGTGAAATCATTTGTTAAAGTTATCCCATTTAAATCCCGCTGTTGCGATAAGAAATTTGTTATCGCTGCCTAAGCTAATTAGTTTCAAGATAATAAGGCTTCGCCAATAAGAAAACAAGCTGTGTAATTTCGAAGACGCAAACTCAAGTAAAACGGAAGCGGAAACTGAGAGATGGAAGCATGTCTTAAATAGCAGAGGAAGACACTTATTGCTATTTGGTGGTGGACGTTAATCGTTGTTTGGTTTTTTGGTAGACGTTGAAACGTAGCCGCTTCTTGTTTTCGCGATTGGCAGTTGTTTTTATTTGAGCTAACCTAGAAAGTAAAATTACGGAAGGGAGGTCCATACGTACTAACCCACGAGAGAAGAATTTAGTAAATAAACCCACGAATCCGAAGTTCTCTTCAACAATTGTATCCAGGTGCCAAATTCCTGACAGAACTTCCTAGCTCCAACCAGATATTAAAAAAAAACGTAGATACATTACGTCAATCATGTCAAAATAAAAAATGCAAAATTTCTCAGATGTGTACATTTTTAAAAGACTGTCTGCTTCCATTGCAACTTGACGTGCACCCCATCAGCGCTTTTCCCAGCGTCATATTCCTAATATGCGTCTTCCTATACCTTCATATTTCCTTCCACAGTAGAACGACCCATGGAACACCTTTGAAGTGGTTTGTGCTAAGAGTAAGTCTAATCCGTGTAACTCTAATGAAATAGGTTTCTTAGGAGATTTCGCTTCAACTATGGTTCACTTACCTACACCACATCTGGATGGTGTGGTTGCATTGTGTAAAATCTTGCCTCCTGTACTGTGAGCTGCACCTTAAGGTGTCATTTATACACCTTCAGTAGAGTACGACCGTTATCATTTCAGGATACTACCGATTGGTTAACTCCTAGAGACGCGCATGCGTCCATTTTAAGTATTCACACCGTCATCAGCTGCGTACCTCTATGTTTCCTAATCCATCTATACCTCAGACGACGGTTGCTCCCACAAGTATTCTTCTTCGGGTAAGTTATGTATTGGACGTGCTCATATTTCCGACCTGTTATGCAGAGAGATAGATGGTGGCAGAACAGAAATAGGAATTTGCGCGTATTATCTAACGCGTCCATATCTTGGCTCTGAAGATGAGGGTTTGGTCAAGCTCAGGAAAAGTAGGAGCGTCGGTGTTCTTAAATTTCACCCGAAACCAGCGTTGCGGCGCCGATGCAGTTCACTGTGTATTGATAAAATGTAACATCCTTACAAGTTTAAATACATAACGACCATCGGGACTCTATGATACCTTTGAATTCTTGGATGTTGATCAGTTTTGTAATATTTGGTCCTGCTGCTCCTTCAGTCTTTTTTAACGTGTGTAGTTTCTCTAGTTCACCGTTCTAGCGTATCTAGTGTCCCCACACACTTTTTGTGTATGTAGTTCTTGTTAGCCTTCCTCTCCTACCATTCTCTCTATCTCTTGTAGTCTTAGACCTTTCATTATCTTTAATCTATATGTCTAGGTTTAGCCTTTCTAATCCACTATCTGTCTACTTCTCAGATTTCCTAGACTTCTCCAGTATTCCCAGGAATACCTTGACCAATCTCCTCGATCTCCTAAATTCTATACCTCCACCTTCCATCGCCGTTTGCGCATTCGTAAGCCGATCAAAACGCATATTCATTGTTTTACGCCCCTAGTTAAAATTCTTATGAATATTTTACGCTCAAGAATTGTAACGGGAGCCCGCTAAAGCGCTTAAACATTTTCAATTTGATTAGTAATTAAGGAACGTAGGTGTAGGAGTGTTTTTATGAGATTTTGTTGGTTGGCTTTTAGGGTGCCTCCAATTTATGGTTTGGAATTGAATTGCGTTAGGGTAGCTAAAGCTTTAATAATGAATTTCCGTCTGCATTAAACTTACGCAATTTTTTTAATAATTCATACTACCCGTGCATAACTTTTATATTGCGGGGGTACATTGCTATTTCTTTGACATATCATCATCATCCCTTAAACTGCCCTTGAATAATAAATTTCCGTATGCTTTAAGTTTTCAAGCTATTCAAACTATTACTTACAACATACTTAGAATGCGGAAGTTGTAACTTTCGTAATACAGTGAACATTTTTATTTCTTTGTTAGATTACGTTTAAATAATGTATAAACAACCGTTAAACTGCCCTTGAATAATCAATTTCCGTATGCTTTAAGCTTGCTCAATTTTTCAAGTAATTCAAACTATCTCTTACAGCGTACTTAGAATGCGGGGGTTGTAACTTTCATAATACAGTGAACCTTTTTATTTCGTTAATAGATTATGTTTAAATAATGTATAAATAACCCTTAAACTGCCCTTGAATAATAAATTTCCGTATGCTTTAAGCTTGCTCAATTTTTCAAGTTATTCAAACCATCACTTACAGCATACTTAGAATGCGGGGGTTGTAACTTTCGTTATATAATGAAAATTTTTATTTCTTTAATAGATTATGTTTAAATAATGTATAAACAACCCTTTAACTGCCCTTGAATAATAAATTTCCGTATGCTTTAAGCTTGCTCAATTTTTCAAGTTATTCAAACCATCACTTACAGCATACTTAGAATGCGGGGGTTGTAACTTTCGTTATATAATGAAAATTTTTATTTCTTTGATATATTATGCTTAAATAATATATAGACAACCCTTAAACTGCCCTTGAATAATAAATTTCCGTATGCCTTAAGCTTGCTCAATTTTTTAAGTAATTCAAACTATCACTTACCGCGTACTTAGAATGCGGGGGTTGTAACTTTCATAATACAGTGAACATTTTTATTACGTTAATAGATTATGTTTAAATAATGTATAAACAACCCTTTAACTGCCCTTGAATAATAAATTTCCGTATGCTTTAAGCTTGCTCAATTTTTCAAGTTATTCAAACTATCACTTACAGCATACTTAGAATGCGGGGGTTGTAACTTTCGTTATATAATGAAAATTTTTATTTCTTTAATAGATTATGTTTAAATAATGTATAAACAAGCCTTTAACTGCCCTTGAATAATAAATTTCTGTATGTTTTAAGCTTGCTCAATTTTTCCAGTAATTCAAACTATCACTTACAGCGTACTTAGAATGCGGGGCTTGTAACTTTCGTAATACAGTGAACATTTTTATTTCGTTAATAAATTATTTTTAAATAATGTATAAATAACCCTTAAACTGCCCTTGAATAACAAATTTCCGTATGCTTTAAGCTTGCTCAATTTTTCAAGTAATTCAAACTATCACTTACAGCATACTTAGAATGCGGGCGTTGTAACTTTCGTAATACAGTGAACATTTTTATTTTTTTAATAGATTATGTTCAAATAATGTCAGAACCCTCAATTGTAATTTGAATTTCCCCTCTATCAAATATATGTAGATCCAGGTATGCGCATAAGGTGATATGATACCGTCACGTTGTTTACTTCAATGTAAACAATTTAATAGTGCACATTGTTCCTATAATAAAAATAATTAAAATGTAAATTTCTATCATTGACAGGTCAGAAATTATAATTAGATTAGTTATACTAATGTTTTACAATAACTCACTTCAATGTAAACAATTCAATAGTGCACATTGTTCCTATAATAAAAATAATTGAAATGTAAATTTCTATCATTGACAAATAATGTATAAACAACCCTTAAACTGCCCTTGAATAATCAATTTTCGCATGCTTTAAGCTTGCTCAATTTTTCAAGTAATTCAAGCTATCACTTACAGCGCACTTAGAATGCAGGGGTTGTAACTTTCGTAATACAGTGAACATTTTTATTTCGTTAATAGATTATGTTTAAATAATGTATAAACAACCCTTAAACTGCCCTTGAATGATACATTTCCGTATGCTTTAGGCTTGCTCAATTTGTCAAGTAATTCAAACTATCACTTACAGCACACTTAACGCCACGATGCTGTGGAACACGGAATACTCATCAAGAAAAGAAGTTCCGATGGTCCCTTTTGAAAGCATCACGAGAATTCTTCTCAGCGCTTTAAGTAAAAACATATCACCGGAGGAATACCTCCCAGTATACGAGGTTTTCATTCGTACGAATATACGAGTCATTTCGTGATAGTGACCAAGGTACAAAGAGAGACAACTAAAGTAAACACTTAAATGGATTGCGCATTGTATGTGCCCGTTTTCACATGATGGCATTTTGTTTGGGCCAGTTTCAAAATTACGATCGAATCAAGTTGGGGGGGGGGGGGCACATCCCGTTGATTTCCGTTAGTCCAAATACAAAATTCCATAGTGTCCCCCTATTTTTTTGAAATTGTACGTTTCTTTTAGTGATCGGTTACGCTTGGTTTGCAACTCGAATACATTCGTTTGCGCCCGTACCGTTTTTTAGTTATTCCAAATACTACACATACTGAACGGTGGGGGCGCAAACGAAGGTATTCGGGGCGCAAACCTAGCGCCAACGAACAATAGAAAAAGAGCATCTTATTTGAAAAGTGGGAGGACAGTATGGAATTTTCTATGTGGACTAATTGGAAAACGCCACAGGCGCAAACGAAACTACTCAAGGTACAAAAGCACAAACGATCACTAAAAACAGTACAAATTTTAAAAATGGGGATGGGCAGTATGGGATTTTGTATTTCGGCGGGGGCACAAACAAAGGTATGCGGGGGCGGCGCAAACGATCTCTAGAAAAAGCGTCAAATATGAAAAATGGTGGGGGGGGGGGAAGTATAGAGTTTTTGCGAGGCTCAAACGATCACTAGAAAATATGTCAAATGTAATAAATGGGAGGGGGCGGAGCAGTATGGTATGTTCTATTTGGAATAACTGAAAAACAGCGGGGCGCAAATGAAGGTACCTACTCATGGAGCATTCTATCCGCAATCAGTCTCTCTGTAATTATTTGTATAATTGGGAGGCAGATATGAATTTGCCCATTCAAAAAGGAAAGTGTTTGCTTAGGACAAGTGGGGGCCAAATTCCTATAGAAATCTCAAAGATCTAAGAGCATTCAAAAAGCTTATACAATTTTTAAGATTCCCTATCTCATCTCTTTAAGGGTTTGTGGGTTTTCTAACAATTTTAAGAACCTCTGAACTTTAAGAATCGTTCAGGATTTTAAGAGCTTTCAAATATGTTCAATAATCCTTAACGGAATTTCCAAAGGTTTCAGTGAGAATGTCCATGAATCCAGCAGAGCAAGGTCAGCAGAACACAATCAGACATATGGCATAATTAGGTGCTAATTAAGTGCCCTATTCCCGAATTAAATGCTCTTTTTTTTAAATTATTACATGTTTTGCCAGGTTCATATGAACTCAGCAGAACACTACCTCAAAAAACCAAGAAAATGAAAAGTGAACTAGCTATAATTAGGTGCTAATTAAGTGCCCTATCCCCGAATTAAATGCTCCTTTTTTTAAATTATTACATGTTCCTCCAGGTTCATATGAACTCAGCAGAGCACTACCTTTAAAACCCAAAAAAATGAAAAGTGAACTAACTATAATTAGGTGCTAATTAGGTGCTAATTAAGTGCCCTATTCCCGAATTAAATGCTCCTTTTTAAAAAAAATTATTACATGTTCTGCCAGGTGCATATGAACCATCAGAGCACTACCTCAAAAAACCAAGAAAATTAAAAGTGAACTAATTATAATTAGGTGCTAATTAGGTGCTAATTAAGTGCCCTATCCCCGAATTAAATGCTCCTTTTTTTAAAAATTATTACATGTTCTGCCAGGTTCATAATTTAAAAATAAGGGGCATTTAATTCGGGAATAGGACACTTAATTAGCACCTAATTAGCACCTAATTATAGTTAGTTCACTTTTCATTTTCTTGGGTTTTTAAGATAGTGCTCTGCTGAGTTCATATGAACCTGGCAGAACGTGTCATAATTTAAAAAAAGGAGCATTTAATTCGGGAACAGGGCACTTAATTAGCACCTAATTAGAGTTAGTTCACTTTTCATTTTCTTGGGTTTTTAAGGTACTGCTCTTCTGAGTTCATATGAACCTGGCAGAAAATGTAATAATGAAAAAAAAAGGATCATTTAATTCGGGAATAGGGCACTTAATTAGCACCTAATTAGCACCTAATTATGCAATATGTTTGATTGTGTTCTGCTGACCTTGGTCTGCTAGGTTAACGGACATCTATGTGGTGCAAGTTTGAACCTTTTAAGCTTCTAAACCGGAATAGAGAACAGATTAGGAAGATCATCGGGTTTCCCACGGGGCACTGGATGGTCAACTGCCACCTGCACAAGATTGGACTTGTAGGGAAGTGATCTGCAATTGTGACGCCTTGATTAGAGACCCTTAATCGCGAAGGAAAGGGAGACCGTGGGGTTTTGATGTGTCCAAGTGCTGCCCTAGTCGGCATCATCCTGTGAATAAACAGATGCCCTAACCATTAAAGTAAGATGTCTAGATATTTTAGACGTTTCTCAAAACCTTCGTCAATCAAGATAATATAGCGTAATAGAATAATTTTCTCACATGCAGCCTTGTTTTAAGGTCAACCATCGTGATAAATCAGACAAATAACACATTATAAGCGTGACGTTCATAGCAATGTTACAATTGCAGTTTTTCTTTCTCCTCACGACAGCCGCTGGCGCCGAAACGATATTCAATATCGAGGGAAAGATAGCGTTGGTAACGGGTGGCGCTCAGGGAATCGGGTACGCGACCATTGATGCTCTTCTGCAGGCGGGAGTTAGGGTAAGCGAGATGTTTGCCGTCAATTGTAACATGAAAATGCACTACAGGGAGTGACATTAGTCGACGAGAACGTCGCGAAAGGAAGAAGTACAGCAAAATCGTTCAACGCGAAGTACGGCTACGGTAGGGTGATATTTTTAGCGGCGGATGTTTCAAACGGAAACATATTCGAAGGTAAAATTCGCCTGAAATTTGGCTGCTGGAAGGGGCCCTGGAATCTAATAGTTCAATAATCCACGAATTTTAACCGAGGGCATTCTATAATATCGCTATTGCTGGTGGAACTGGGATTTACTTATACAAACCAGAGATTAAGCAACAATCCACAGTTTGGGTTCCATTTTCAGGAACCTTGCCAGCAGTTTTCCTACAATGTACAGTTGCTTTATATCTGTAGGGGTATGGTCACCAACCATATACTAAAAAGCATATTGTTCCCTTGCAGATGTCTTTAAGGTTTCCCTGGACCATTGGAGAGGCCTAGACATCGTTGTCAATAACGCCGGAGTTTTCAATGAAAACAACCGAAATGATACAATCAACACTAATATTGTAAGTGAACTGAAGATGAAAAGGTGGTAATATCCGTTGCAGGTTGGCGTTGTGCATGGCACCATGCTGGGATTCAAATACATGAGCACAGCTAAAGGAGGGAGAGGTGGTGTAATAATAAATGTTTCATCGATTGCTGCATTAACCACCGTCTACTATTGCCCCGTCTATTCTGGATCGAAAAGCTTTGTCTTGGAACTCGGTCGTGCCTTAGGAAACCCGATCTATTATGACTACAACATGGTACGCGTTGTTACCGTATGTCTTGGTCTAACGAGCACTTCGCTTACCGCCACGGACCATTTCGTAAGCTCGATCTCAAACGAACTTACTCCACGTCTTAAGGAAGCGGCGCTCGAAACATTTGTAACCTCCCCATCCCAATCGTAGGTATCAATGGAACGACATTTATTTGAATACTGTTCTTAGGTCGAAGAACGTGGGGGATGGGATACGAGACGTACTCGAGGATGGAAGCAGTGGTAGCGTTTGGGTTATCGAAGACGATAAGCCACCATATGAAATTTATTTCCCTGACAGGAAAGCCATGCGCAAGAATTAACCCCTTCTTCAGATCCCCTATTGCGAGGTTTCATTCGCCGCCATTTGGTACAGAATCTGGAATGTTAATATAAATAAGTTACCTTTGGAAGTAAAATTGGCAGTGGTGTCCTTTCTTGAATCCTGAATTTGTCTCCCTAAATAGAATTTCCCGTGAAGGCTGGAGTCTGCAAAAGGCCAGCACTTTCAGTATTATACATAGGTGTCAGTTACTTGAATTGCTCACAGGTAAAATATAAAATTAGTTTTTGTAACAAACGTAATTTGGTCGGAGAACGCGGTTACAACGTCATGGAAGGCCTGATACTGCTGAACCATTTTAATGTAGATCACCATCCGGATTTGTGTTTAACTGAGTATTTCGCTGTACTCGTAAGTACGTATTGGTTATTTTTGGTTTACGGTCACTGCAATTAATTGTTTGAGATTTTGTGGCATACTTAAACTGTAACTGTCAGTGCATTTACTGGGGCCAGCCGTCGGTGGGATATTCCGCGCTTTCTTTGCTTTTTAGCTTCCTCGTCTGGATCATTCTCTTCTAAGACCAACACGTGCAGAATGCCAATTGACCCTGTAGTTGTGAATAGTTTGCATTTGGAAGCGAGCTTAGGCACTTAGGAAATCTGTGAGAACGACCATTTTGCCATCCACTTGATTGATTTTTGCATTCTTTGGCCTCTGCCAGTGAAAATTTCGGTTAGGTTATAAGTGGAATAAAAATGTGTATGTGTTTAAATTGTCAGAGATTAGGTCATCATCGAGTTCACTGCCCTAAACCACGGTAGTTGCTTTGTTATAAATGTGGCGCTACGAGCTTTATTGTAGGCGGCTGTGGTTTATGCTCGGGAAACGGTCCGAGGAACTCTCGGGAGGTTTCTTCAGTACAGACCTTTACAATTTTAAAAATGTCATCTAAACCGAAACTTGATTTTTTTATTAAAATATGTTGGAAATGAATTGCGACCGTATGTCCAAATTAGAATTTTAGATTCTGACACTTCACCCTCTTTTATAAATTCAGAAACTTTACTTTTTGTACCGTAGCAAATACCTTCGCAGACCGTTTTCACTTGAAGCTATCCCTTGATTTTATTGAAGAGAATCGATCGTTCCCCATCCCATTCGGGACATCTGTATCCTTGGGCCACCTCTGTTGCCAAATTTCGATATTGCCTCTAAATTATACGTTGATCTCATTTTCAGGTAGGTCGTAGAAAATAGTACCTAGTCATTATCACTTGCGTGTTTTTATGAATTTATAATAACACTAGCGCTATTATAAAATCCGTAATGCGTGGCGGCCACAACGGTTAGACGAACGACGACGACGGTGAATATGGATATGAATATACATGTAAAAGTGCATTTAAATTGTACAAAGACTGAGTTCTCACTTGGTAAACATAATGGTAAATGGGCTTTGTTAGGACGTGTAGTAAAATTATGTTGATATTGATAGTGTTGTACGGGGATTGATAAGTTATTTTACTTTATTGAATTTATGCAGTGCAGTTCAATGCCTCAAATAAAGCGGTTCATTTATTTAAATTAAATATAATAAATATAAATTATAAATCAAATAGCAAGTTACAACAGGCTTAAAGGTAGAAATTATGCTATTCTATTTATGCGTTCACATGGTAATTAAAATACTAATACGTATTGTTAGTACATACGCAACTTATATCAATGCCATAATTTTCTTATTTATCCAGACTAGCAGTTTACATAAATACAGGGGCTGCAGCAACTGTGTTAGCAGTTAATATATAAAAAAGGTATGTATTAAGCCTTGTTTATGTAATTTTTACATTATTAATAAATTTATTAAATGGGAAAGGTCAAAGCTCCGACTGTTGTTGATCTTTGATTTTTTAGAGAAGCATAAGATTTGGTGCTTCTAGAACTTTCTCTGAAAGGCAATAAACAACCCTGTAATAATTTGAATTATTAAACATAGTCCTCTGCTTTTTTAATTGGGATTAGATTTAAAAGGGTACATTTAATTGTAGGAGGGGCAGAGATTACTTGCATGTTATAATACTACTCGTATAGTAGAATATTGTCCTTAGTAACTTAGTTTGCGCACACGTCATCGGTGTATTATGACGTCATCACTATGTTAGCATCATGCAATCAATGGAAGAGAATACGAATGTAGGACACCCATTACATCAACTACTTCTATTGATCAATTACAAAAAAAAAAAGATTTGGCAGTTAATTGTAACGGGACGTCGTGTCTTTTACATAAAGAAAAAGTTACAAAAGAAATCATTTTCTTTGTTTCTTTGTGTTAATAACGCCCCGAAGTACTTAGCAGTAGAAATCGAGAAGCGACTGCAACCTAGATTTACTCCAAACTCGTGGTCCCAAACCGAATGACCAATTGCTCTCTCGGGAACGCGTCCCTACCCTTGCGATTTTACTAGGACCATCCCCAAAATGGTGCTAATAGGTTGAAGAGGCCTTTCATTGGTCAATTTGGATCCGGTTAAATTTGCAGAGTTTAATTATCAAGGCGGCTAATCGCAATTGATTCAGCGATAAATAATATAATAAACCCTTCAGCCTGGCAACCAAATCCTGTTGAAGCGCGCGAGACGCAATGGATCAAACAGTTATTTGGATTACTGCACTTTCCATCGCCTTGGTGATGGGAGAACATCAGCCCAACTTTAAAGGACAAATTGCTTTGATTACCGGTGCTGCCGACGGTCTTGGCTTCGAGTGCGCCCACCAACTTTTGAGGGATGGACTAAAGGTAATCGATGTCTAAAGTTCAATTTAACTCTCAGACAATGTAACATTAAGGGCGTTACCATCGTCGACACAAATCGGATAAAGGGAAGAGAGGCCGCAATGAAACTGAACGACGCATTTGGACCCGGTAGGGCGATTTTCATTCCGACGAATGTTTCGAATGAGGTCGAATTTGAAGGTAAATTTAGCTGCTTCTTTTTAAGGGTTGTGTGTTGCTATATGGGTAACTGACGCCCAGTTGCACAAAAAAAATAGTCCAGGATTATTGTCTAATCCGGTATTAAGACATTTGATTGGCTTTATATTGTAGTAGGCAGCCAATCAAATCTCAAAATTCTTGTTTAAACTCAGATTTGGCCAATAATGTAGGATTTTGATTATAATTCGCTTTCCTGCAACCGGCCATGACAACAATTAAAACAAAATTCCTGCAAGAAAGCCAAGCGTACAAAGCTTGTTTGTACATAATACTCTCAACGCAGGCGGTACAGTTACAGTTTCCCAATAATCAAGGTTTGCGACAGTATTAAAACTGATATAAAGACACTCGCTGACAACTTCAGGCAACTTTACTTTACACATACAAAACTGATTTGAATAAGATGACAAATTTTCTGTGGCTTTTCGGACGGTAGAAACTTTTAACTTTTAATAACAAAAAATCCTGAACGAAAGGGCTCGTTGTACTACAACGTTTGCTTTTTCAACTCGAGAAAACTTTTTCTAGAATCGGACAACACGCGTTAAACCTCTTAACACCACTTTGGTTAATTTGCTCCAGCACAAATTTATGTTAAAAATGACGAAATGCATCTTTAATTTAACAAAAAGGGCCAACTGCCAACTTTTATCCTCAAAGCTCTCTTTTCCTCTTAATTTTATCACTTTCGCCAAACTGCCTGCTAGAAAATCCGAAAGAGAACTAACGAAACTCGTTTCGTGGCGCCTTGGACGTTCCTTGGACCAAGATCGCTGGACAGAGTTGTTGAAAATCCCTCCTTACAGGGTCGATAACGTGTCAAGCGCATGCGTCAAGGTTATCATCAAGGACGGGAGCAATGGAAGTGTGTGGATTGTGGAGAACGACCTTCCGGCTTATGAGATTATTATGCCCGATAGGGATTCTACGCGTAATATGGATTAGTCTAATATAATTGAGTAGTGCACTTAACACTTTTCTGTCACATTGCATCAACAATTTGTCGAAGAAGTTATGTACTGCCCAATGTCAGGCTCTGACTTGCCCAAATAAAACTTGCTTGCGGTTCCTGCCATGCGCGGAACCACCGCAAAACGTGGCTGGCTACCTCCATTAAACCTACTCGCGTCCACTGTTTCTATAAAGCGGTACATATGCAATTTTACAACGTTCATACTAAAGGTTATTTTTACGAATGGTCTCATGGTGATGATGATTGTAGGGAAAGGGTCAATAAATTGTCCTTTATTGGGAGGTATTCCATATCTTCTACATACCCCCCCCCCCTCCAATCCCAGTGAGGCATTCTCCACCAACACCGTCTGCCTCAGCATTCTGAATACAATTTTCCGTAAAAGACACCACAGAACGAGACAGTGTTTGGGGGGTATGGAATACTCCCACTCTACGAAGAGTTTACTGATACGAATGATGTTATGGTGATAATGATGATTGTGGGAAATTCATTAAATGTTTCCTTACTGGGGGATATCTCAGACCCCCCGGTGCGGAATTTTCCACCAAAACCGTCTGCCCCACCACTCTGTATGCAATTTTCAGTAACACACCACAGAAGGTGGTGCCAGGTGATCTGGAGGGGGTGTGGAGTACCGCTCAGTAGAGAAACATTAAGTGACTTTCCCTACAGTTACCATTGTCACCAGGAGGTCATTCGTATAAATAACCTCTTTGTATGCTTAAATGACCTTTTCGTATAGTGGGGTATTCCATGGTCCCCAGACCCCCCCGGTGTTACATTCTCTCCCAAAACCATCTATCTCGCCATTCTGAGTCTAATTTTCGGTAAAACCCCACAGAACGCAGCATGTCAAAAAATGTTTCTGTACTGGGGGTAAATAATAAATAAAAATGATAAGTTCGTAATGTAAATGAACTTTCACGCACGTTTTATCAAGTATAATTTCTTTCGAACTACTCATTCGATCCACAACTAACTACCCGTTTCGGTTTTTTCTAGTGATTTTCGAAGGTGAACTTCGCCGCGCAAATTAAAATCGCGAAACACACTAAAAACTGAGTGTTCAGGACTCCTTAACTCTTAATGCCCGAAAAGCAATATGATTTTGGACCGCGTACGTGACGATCTCGTGGTCCCGAACCGAATGCCCTACTGATCTCTCCGGAACGCTTCCCTACTCTTACTAACAGCGCCCACAAAATGGTGCTATTAGGTGTCAATTTTGTTCCATTACCCAGAGGCTCTCTGCCATTACCCAATTGACTTCTTTTATGATCCCATAATGAGTAAAGCTTATTTAGCTGTTTCGGCTGTTTTCATTATGATCCAACCGTCCGTAACTTTTGAAATAAAATTATCATGACAGTAGGGAGTCAATTTTAAATAGTACTAAAAAAGGTTTGCAACCCCTGTAATCTAATGCACTGTTACAAGATCGAACCCGAAAGATCATGTTCTCCTAGCCTCTCAAATTCTCATGCTTCCATGTTTCTTTGGTTTCTTCGTTTCATATTATTCATCTGCTAGCTCTGTATTTTGTCTTTCCTCTTCTCCTTTTACTTTTGCTTCTTATGCTGCACATAACTTTGGGGTCAAAAAGACAGTTTCAGCATGCAAGGTTCGCATAGAAATAACTGTGACCTTTGCTAACTTGTCTGATGTTGTTTTGATGGAGATGGAAAGTTTTTGCTTTGAAGAATCCAGTCCGGTGTTTTGATCGGAACTGATTAATGACGTCATGATTAAATATAAATTGCATAATTTCACCGCAGTCATAATTACACCTTTTTTAGCGCATTTCCACAAAAATAAAAAAAAAATGCGCTATTGTGGCCACTTTGTCCGTCCGTCCGTCCGCTCGTTTTGCGACGCTACTAGTTCTTTATCTTAAGAGCTATTGTGCTACTTTTTTCGCTATTTGGTTCGTTATGGTGTCGAGTCTTGTACCAAGGAAGGATTTTTTTCTGTACCGCTTACAAAAAAAGTTATTGTAAAAAAAACAAAAAACCGTTTTTTACATGTTCCATAATTTTACACTTTTGCCGTTTATTAACGATCCTAGAGATCGTTTATAATTTTGCATTGCTATCTGTCGCCTGCCGGTTGGTCTCTCCGTCTGTTCCTTTGTCTGTCTGTCCATCTATCTGTCCGTGTGAACGATAACTTTGTTTAGAAATGTTCGATCGCTTTTACATCTCCGTTAGTTATGAACTGAATTGCATGAAATTCAATATGGGCATAGATTTAGCCATATAATACGCAATGCCAAAAGTTGAATCGAATCGATTCAAAATTCACAGTGCCCTTTTCGCATCTCGACCATTTATAAACCGAATTGCAAACTTTTTTACTTATAAAAGTATTTGAATGAAATTTGATACATAGGCACTTGGAATAAAGGAAAATCAAACGCCAATTTCAAAATTTGGTTTTGCGCATGCGCAGTGCCAACTTTTTTATTTATGGAAGAATTTAAACGAAATTTGATACATAGGCACTTGGGATAAAGGAAAATCAAACGCCAATTTCAAAATTTGGTTTTGCGCATGCGCAGTGCCAACTTTTTTATTTATGGAAGAATTTAAACGAAATTTGATACATAGGCACTTGGGATAAAGGAAAATCAAACGCCAATTTCAAAATTTGGTTTTGCGCATGCGCAGTGCCAACTTTTTTATTTATGGAAGAATTTAAACGAAATTTGATACATAAGCACTTCGAATAAAGGAAAATCAAACGCCAATTTCAAAATTTGGTTTTGCGCATGCGCAGTGCCAACTTTTTTATTTATGGAAGAATTTAAACGAAATTTGATACAGAAGCACTTCGAATAAAGGAAAATCAAACGCCAATTTCAAAATTTGGTTTTGCGCATGCGCAGTGCCAACTTTTTTATTTATGGAAGAATTTAAACGAAATTTGATACATAAGCACTTCGAATAAAGGAAAATCAAACGCCAATTTCAAAATTTGGTTTTGCGCATGCGCAGTGCCAACTTTTTTATTTATGGAAGAATTTAAACGAAATTTGATACATAGGCACTTGGAATAAAGGAAAATCTAGCGCCAATTTCAAAATTTTATTTTGCGCATGCGCCGTGCCAACTTTTTTATCTATGGAACTATTTAAGTGAAATTTGATACTTAGGCGCTTGGAACAAAGGAAAATCTAACATTAGTTTAAAATTTAGGTTTGCGCATGCGCAGTTCCAACTTTCTTATTTAGAAAAGCATTGAAATGAAATTCTTCTCATAAACTGAAATTGAAGTAGCACGACAAAAATGGATTGCCCATGTGCAACGCTATCTTTCATATTTGTGGGCGGATTTTTACGATTTGAACAGAAGTTGCATCTTACAAATGGGAAATGAATGCAAGTGGAAATGCGCTTTATGTAAATCGTTTACGATTACTTTTTAACTTGTTTTCTATTGTCGCGAACCGCAGTGTGTTCAGGCGTATAACGTCCGGTTAGATTTGCAACGATTATTTATCAAGGTTGCTATTACACTACACTTGCAAATTACCGATAATAAATATAATAAGTCTGACAATTAGATCAAGTAAGAGCGCGTGAGACACAATGTATCGAACAGTGTTTTGGATTACTGCTGCACTTTCTATCGCCATGGTATTGGGAGAAAAGCAGCCCAAATTTGAAGGAAAAATTGCTTTGATCACCGGTGCGGCCGATGGTCTTGGTTTCGGGTGCGCCAACCAACTCCTAAAGGATGGACTAAAGGTAATCGCTCTCCAAGGTTCAATTCCACTATCTGACAGTGTAACATTAAGGGCGTTACCATCATCGACATAAATCGGATGAAGGGAAAGGAGGCCGCAATTAAACTGAACGACGCGTTTGGACCTGGTAGGGCGATTTTCATTCCCGCTGATATTTCGAATGACACCGAATTTGAAGGTAAATTTAACCTAAATTTTAAGGGTTGTATTTTGTTATGTGGGTTTATTATTGTGCCAGACGGTGGTATCCAGGATTTTGGTATGGTGAACCATCCTTACTTGCTCCTCCAAGTAAGCGCTCCTTCGTCTTTATGTATGCCTTGCGTTGACAAATAACGTGGTGTGGTGTTTCTTCTTCTTCTTCGCCACAACTCCTGGATAACGGGCTGTCGGTCAGTACCTCATCGTGTTGCGTAATAAGTTCCTCCAGGTTTGGGAATGAATACCAGTTTTTAGGGCAAAACTTCCCCTTAGTAACGAGGTTAGCAGGTCGAGGTCTTGTTGTAGTACAGCAGGAAAGATTACATCCATCCCTGTTCCTCCTGAGAAGTGGTTCCAGAGTAATTGGTCGCCCGCCTCAATTTGAGCGAGGGTTTTTGATCCCAGAAAGTGTGATTAAAGCAAAAGCTTCACGTTCTCCTTTGCGGTCTTTGTAGTTATACTTATAACCCCCTCCAATTTTTTTAACAAACCGATTCTACCCTCTGTTCCTTTCTTAAAGCTCTTTGAAGTTTGTTACCTTTTGTAATTTATTCTTTCTCGCAGTACCTCCCCTACGAGTCACGTTTTGCTATTCTTATGGCCTTATTGTATTCGGTGAGTGTGGTTCGGTTTGAACCCGCACTTTATTTGAGGTTCTCCCTTATTTTGTGGGACAGTTTGTCTCATTTGATAGCCACGCGAAGGTTTGATTCCATGACCTCCAGTTCCCCCGGTTATTGGCTCTTGAGGGACCGTTCTCGAGATTGACTTATAGATTCTCTCTATAGAGGTACCATTGTTTTTTTTTGGGATTTCTATATACAGTTGCAGTTAAATTGTTAAAACGAACAGATCTATGGTCGGATCGCTATCCCAGTAATGGCTCTTCTGACGCATACCATTTGTCTACTGAGCTGCAAGCAGTCTTACATTTGCTATTTCTAGATTATTGTTGACAATGTGATCTAGGAGACAATCACCTCTTCTGGTGATGTCATTGCGGGGCCCATACAGTGTGGTGCGCATTGGAATTACATCAGAAAAGAAGTTGCCATTCTTTCTGCTGACAATGCTTCACCAGTTTGCTAACTTCTATGGTGGTTATGGTTGCTAGGCAGATCCGAGCACAAGCCTCCTCTCGCTCCCATTCCTTTCCACTGTCAGCACTACTGCTACCAGCTCTCTACAACAGAATCCCCATAGGTAGTGGTAGTGGTACTGACTTAATGGGATTTCAGACGAAAATGTACGATGTGCGATTGAATTTGACTGGATCAGTAATAAGCCGCACTTCTTTCAGACCCAGGTCTCGTATTAGCCCTTTGTAGGTCCAAGGTTCTTGTACTACGGCTACATATCAATATGATATTTTGTCATGTATGCACAGAGGGTGAAAGATACCCCCTTACTGGATCAGGTTAATTTATGCTAGTTTTTCCATAAGGAAAATAATAAAAAACCGTGATACTTACTGAAGTGCGGTGGTTGGCACAGTTGGAGTTTGGGTTTGAACGTCACCCTGATGAAGTTTTCATTAGGCCGATGGTTGCAAGTAGCTCCCAGGAATTTTGGCTAATTATTATTATTATCATTATTTGGTCCACAAGGACAATAATAGTTTTTCCCTTGGAATGCCCGCCATCCTGTCCACCACACGCCAATTGCTGGTTATTAGATCACCATTTTGGATTTCGAACAATTTCATGATTTTATTTGTTTCTGCTTGGGCCCGGAGTATCCAGGCGTGTACCCTTAATGGTGTTGGGAGGTTCTTCGCCTTGACGCATAGCAGTTTCGCCCCCTCCCACGGAGCTACTTTCGCTAGCTCCGACCTCAACTGGTCCACCGAAACCTGGTGAACGCGCTCCCCCATCGGCGGCACCACCCAGTGAATTTGGGCGAATTGGACAAAGCGGCGACTCTGTCAAGGATTCAGGCTTTGATTTGCTTGTCGCCTCTTCTAACAGCGTCCCTCCAGATATTCATGGAAAAAAGTCATTTTGAAGCCTGTAGCTGAATCCCTAAAGGTTCTGGTACCCTTTACGGTCTCAGTTTTTCCCTTTTTCGAGCTGCTTTCCTGCTCTGCCATCAGACCGGTGCCGATTTTACGCTCCAGTCTTCAATGCAGACTTTCCCTCCCCCATCTCTCCCTCCACATTCGTCTTGGAGAGGAGATTGAACGTCACCCTGGTGAAGGTCTCATTGGGCCGATGTTTTCAAGTGGCCCCTAAGAAGTTTGGTTTACAAGGACAATCAAAGTTTGTCCCATGGAGTGCTCGCCATCCTGTCCACCACACGCCAATTGCTTGTTGTTACATCAACATTTTGGATTTCGATTCTTTTCAGGACCTTCTCCATTTCTACTTGAGCCCCGGTGATTCAGGCATGGGAGGTTCTTCGCTTTTACAAATCGACATTTCTTCCCCTCCCGCGCTACTCCCGCCCCTGCCACGAAACCTGGTCCTACGCATATGATCAACAACGCTCCCCCTCTATGGCGACACTCCGTGAATTTCTGCGTAATGGAGAAAGCGTCGACTCTGTCAAGGATCTAGGCTTTGGTTCGCCCCATCTCCTCTTCCAACAGCGTCCCTCCAGGTCATCATGGACAAAGGTCATTTTGAAGCTGTTGTTCTGGTATCCTTTACGGTCTCGGGGTTTGGCTTTTTCGAGCTACTTCTCTGCCCAGCCATCAGACTGGTGTCGCTTTTACGCTCCAGTCTTCAGTGCAGACTTGGCAGGTCGGCAGATGCAAGGTCAGGTTGCCTTAAGTCTTCTGGTTCCGAATGGTCTCATTTTTTTAGCTTTCGCCCGCGCTGTTCCGGAGAGTTTTTTAAGCATTCCAGTACCAGATGCTTTTGGAGTAGTTCGTTGTGTTTTCTCCTTGGCCAAATGAGTCCCACGAGTAGGAGGGAGAGAAATGCCTACACGCGCTGAGCCTTCTGCAACCGTGTAAGGCGACCGCTGCTCCGAGGTTGGGGCCGGTAGTTGTTGATCCCCTATTCAGTCACGCATTCCCTCGGTCCGGACCTATGACTCTTAGGATTTAGGTTATTTGCTGAAGTTGTCTCTTCTTGGCCCCCCTGAGCCCTCCATAGTCGTGTATTGTACATCGACATGGTTGACGCACATCGACTACATGACTTTGGCACCGTTTAACACCGCGCACAGTGCACACCCTTGGCCACGACACGTCGGCCGGGAGATACCGCTGGTCCGCGATGCTGTCTTTGGTTGCTGCTTGCTCACTAGTTTTCATTGCATATTATTAAAGAGTACACTTTTTAGCGCACTTCCACAAAAATAAAAAAAAATGCGCTATTGTGACCACTTTGTCCGTCCGTCCGTCCGCCCGTCCGTCCGCTCGTTCGTTGAGACGCTACTAGTTCTTTATCTTAAGAGCTATTGTTCTACTTTTTTCGCTATTTGGTTCGTTATGGTGTCGAGGCTTGCACCAAGGAAGGAATTTTTTTCTGCGTTTATTGCTAAAAAAGTTATTTTAAAAAAACCAAAAAACCGTTTTTTACATGTTCCATAATTTTACACTTTTGCCGTTTATTAACGATCCTAGAGATCGTTTATAATTTTGTATTAGGTACTGTTTGTCGTCTGTCTATTGGTCTGTTCGTCTGTTCCTCTGTCTGTCTGTCCCTCTATCTGTCCGTGTGAACGATAACTTTGTTTAGAAATGTCCGATCGCTTTGAAATCTCCGTTAGTTCGATAGATAGATAGAATCGATTCAAAATTCACAGTACCCTTTTCGCATTTCGACCATTTACAAACCGAATTGCAAACTTTTTTATTTATAAAAGTACTTGAATGAAATTTGATACATAGGCACTTGGAATAAATGAAAATCAAACGCCAGTTTGAAAATTTTATTTTGCGCATGCGCAGTGCTAACTTTTTTATTTATGGAAGCATTTAAATGAAATTTGATACATAGGCGCTTGGAAAATCTAACGTTAGTTTCAAAATTTAGATTTGCGCATGCGCAGTTCCAACTTTCTTATTTAGAAAAGCATTGAAATGAAATTCTTCTTATAAACTGAAATTGAAGCAGCACGTCAAAGATGGATTGCACATGTGCAACGCTATCTTTCATATTTGGGGCCGGATTTTTACGATTTTAACAGAAGTTGCATCTTACAAATGGGAAATGAATGCAAGTGGAAATGCGTTTTTTGTAAATCGTTCACGATTACTTTTTAACTTGTTGATTTCTTGATATCACTTTCTTCAGGCGACTTTTTCCCTTGAACGGCTCTGCCTGCTAGAAAATCCGAAAGAGAACCAACGAAACTCGTTTAATTAACCTTCTGTACCAGGAATCTTACACCACCTGTTCCATCTCTAGTTCTAACACCTCTCCTGATGATTGAATTTTGAAGATCCATTGGGGCGACCCCATTTTATAATAACCTTTTACTCCAACACACATGTTACCTCGACGGTTTGACATGGGAAGAAGTTCGTGACTACAATCGTTTCATTTACAGTTTCAATGCGGCTGAGATATGTGTAATTCTTGTTTTAGTCGCATTCCAAGTTTCAATGAAGCACTGGAAACGTCTAGACATTGTCGTTAATAACGCCGGAATTGTGAACGAAAACAACTGGAGGTTAGCCGTGAATGTAAATGCAGTAAGTTACCAAGGTTTAAACCGTACCCAGCAATTTATAATCCACACCTAAGATAGGCACACTCAAGGGGACCCTTCTCGGATTTAAATACATGAGCAGCGCCAAAGGTGGACGAGGAGGAGTAATATTGAACATGTCATCGCTTGCCGCCATTGTCGCGCCCGATTTCTTCCCAGTGTACACGGCGACTAAAAGTTTTATAATAGGCCTTGGACGTTCCCTGGGTCAAGATCTTTACTACGAGCATAACCGCGTGCGGGTGGTCACGCTGTGCCCCGGTTTCACGAAAACGGACCTGATCGCACCGGAACGATTTGTAAACTCGCTGTCAGACGCATTGAGCCCGTACGTCAAGCAATCGGCTCTGGAAGGCCTGAAGAATTTTCCGACGCAAGCGTAAATTGTTCGCCGGAGAGAGCTGTTGAAAATCGCATCTTTGTAGTGTCGATAACGTGTCGCGCGCATGCGCAAAGGTTATCAAGGACGGGAGCAATGGAAGTGTGTGGATTGTGGAGAACGACCTTCCGGCTTACGAGATTATTATGCCCGATAGAGATTCTATGCGTAAAACGGATTCGTACGATGTAGCAGACTACATTTACTAATCGTTCATTTAATACTTTTCTTTCTTGTTAACAAAGCAATAAATATACCTTAGTCACTAGGTATAAAACGTTCCACACGACCATGTTGGGAATGTGATAATCTTCGTGATTGGGCAACTCATCTATCCTTCTAGTTGTCCCTATTCAGATCCATGTGGTTTATTCTTACCTTTTATTGTATGAAAATGATCGAGCGATGAACTTTGTATTTATATCGACTGCATTCAAACTAGCTCTTCGCTTCAGCAATACGAGTTACGAGTATAATTTGGAAATCTTTAAATGTTCGTTTTTATTTAATATTTGCAAGTTCTGCAATAACTGTTTACAGAGAGTTATTAATTATTAATCAGGAAGCGAAATTTAACGTAATCCTTTTGTTTCTTTTGTTGGTAAGTAGTGGTTGAGTAGGTGTGTGCTTGTATGCAATCAAAAACTAATGTTGCTAATTGTTTCGATTTGTAGAATATATGTTATGCGTCTAGGGGTACAGGGAGGAAAAAAGATAATCTAATAGGTTATCTGACCCCGAATGTATTGATTATGGTGTAGGAACCAATCATCAATAATGAAAAAAACTATCATTATTTTTAGACCACGGCTAAACCGAACCTAGTTAATTTTCGAATTATAGTTGCTTCGAAATATAAATATCACACAACAAACATTACTAATATACGTAACCTCTAGCCTGTAATACCCTTAAAATCTCACTCCAAGAACAGTGGTGGACATCGATATCAATACAAAGGTTATTAAAGGCAATACTGCATATACTGGCGATAACAACATAACGTTTGTATTCCTTTTAGATATCCAAAAAGTGTAAGGAGTAGTCCTGAAAGGATTTACTCACCATACGCGCCCATTTGTAATTGTATAATTTTATGCGATAGTTCTTCAAAAGCGACTTGAAGCTGCGCTGATTGAGGAACGGATCAATCCCTCGGAGTATGTATTCTTGGAAAATCTATTTTAGAAAAAAGAAGAGAATTATAGAAGAATGGATGTATAAATTACCAGAAGTGTTGTGTTGTTGAAGTCTAAGCAACTCAAGGTACAATGAAGAAAAGCGTTAGAGCAGTAGAAGAAGAAACTTGAAACTTGAAACTTTGACATATGCCTGGCGTCGCCGCCTCTCCCAGGATTTAGTCAACTGTCGTGAGGATGCGTCCCTGGTAGACACTATCAGGGACGTTTCTCCACTACTTTGTTGCCATCGCGCTGGGCCGCGACATATGCCAAACAATGTGGTGGATTTTGTGGATTGGGGGGGTTGTGGGGGGGCGGCTAACTGGGTGTTATCCGACCCGAACGGGTACGGCCACAGCTTCGCCACTGGTATTCTGCCTTAGAGGGAACTCTGCTTTCTAGTGACAGCTTCTTCTCCGGGCGTTCATTGGCTTCCGATGTTCCTATCCTTTGGTCTCGTTCCCTTCCCTGTTTTCCCTCGTGTTAGGCTCTTTTTATTGTTGTCCTCTCCCCGCATTACTTTCTGTCCCCTTTTCCTCCTCCCCTTGGCTACTTGTCCCTGTGGCTGATTCTTCCTCCACCTCCAGTATTCTTCTGCTTTCTTTCTTCCTTTGATGTTTGTCTCTGCTATTCTCTTCCCACCTTCCCATGGTAATCCCCGAGACCTCTACCGTTTGGTTTATGGTGGTGTTCCATGTTTGGCAGGGTCGGCCTACCTTCCATTCCGAGGCACATAGAATCTTGGCAGCCCGAATGATATGGTCTTTGTTCCTCCTGTTGGTATGTCCCCAGTATCTCATCTGCCTCATCTTCAGTCTCCTGGCAAACGTCTTTTCCTCTAATAGTTCCCAGAATCGATGTCGAAAGAAAAGGGGCAAACATCGACCTGCAATGTTAAAGCCCCAGAAGTCACAGTTTCTGCACTCAATAGTTCAATTTGTGTGTGTAGACGGTTTAGTGGATGGAAAATCAGAAGAATGCCAGAGCCGGTCCAATTCCATTTAATAAATGTCAGGTAAGCAGTTTTCTTGACCTGTGCGCCTATTACCGACGATTCGTGGTCGGTTTTGCCACAATTTCTGAAGCTCAGACTCGCCTTACTGAAGATGCCAACGTTTTTGATTGGACAAAAGAATGTTCCGCTGCTTTTCAGGAGTTGAATAGGTTGTCCTATGTTGGATACAGAGTTGGACTGGGTCACTGGGTCAACTGGGTCACCTGGGTCACTAAATTAAACTGGGTCACTGGGTCGCTGGGTCACGTCATACTCTTTTCAGTTAGACCCAGTGACCCAGTTTGACCCAGTTTGACCCAGTGACCCAGTTTGACCCAGTGACCCAGTTTGACCCAGTGACCCAGTTTGACCCAGTTGTCCAGTTTGACCCAGTTTGACCCAGTGACCCAGTTTGACCCAGTTTGACCCAGCGACCCAATTTCACCCGGGGACCCAATTCGACCCAGTCACCTAGTTTGATCGAATAACGCAGTTAAGTCAGTGCCCTCGGTTCAAGTGTACAGATTATGAAATAAATGAAATGCTGGTTTGTTGAAAATAATACTCGATTGCTTGACAACTGCCATTTCTGTGATGTTTGCTTTAATACTGCCGTAAAAAACTTTCCATGTCCCGAAATGTATTAGAATAATGTTATTTATTTGCTTCAGGGCTTACCAGATTGCTTACAGGTGTTCATTCACATTTAATTTTTTTCTACTCGTTAGCTTAATCCAAATAAATCTTTTCTCTAAATACTTTCATTGATTACTTGACTACAAACTATAAATAAATGCATTTGATTTTTTTAGGTATTAGTTCTCTTGAATGAAATTGGGCTACGTGCTTGTTGCCGAATATTATTGAGGAAGTTTTTTTAAAAATTAAAGGTTACTTGAAATTGTTTTGGATGATACCTAACAATAATTTAATTACTGGGTCACCGGGTCACGACGGGTCACTGAGTAAAGCTGGGTCAAGATGGGTCACTGGGTCAAGCTGGGTCACCGGGTCAAGATGGGTCACTGGGTCAAGCTGGGTCACCGGGTCAAGCTGGGTCACCGGGTCAAACTGGGTCACCGGGTCAAGCTGGGTCACCGGGTCAAGCTGGGTCACTGGGTCAAACTGGGTCAAGCTGGGTCACCGGGTCAAGCTGGGTCACCGGGTCAACTGGGTCACCGGGTCACTGGGTCACCGGGTCACTGGGTCAGTAAACTAACTGGGTCACCGGGTCACTGGGTCACTCTATGCTTGACCCAGTCCAACTCTGGTTGGATACTTCATTACAGTATTTTCTAAGCCGGAACGCAATTATTGTGTTACCCGACGAGAGCTATTGGCGGCTGTAAAATCGATCGAGCACTTCTACAACGAAGGAAACCTTATGTTAAGGAGGGATCATACAATTACCAAATTTCAAAAATCCAGAAGGCTAAATTGCAAGATGGATCGAAAGAATAAATTTCAAGGTTGCACCTTAACCGGGAGGGGCAAGCGTTACAATAACCCCTCCCGGTTTACTTAGGTCATAGGCAGATCCCTGGTGTGGTGCTAGGTCTCTTACTTGGGCGCTAGGTAGTGCTAGGTATATGCTTTCCGGTGCTAAAATTTCAAGGTCGTACCTTCACCGGGAGGGGCAAGCGTTACAAGAGCCCCTCCCGGTTTACTTAGATCATAGACACATCCCTGGTGTGGTGCTAGGTCTCTTACTAGGGTGTTAGGTAGTGCTAGGTAAATGCTTTCCGGTGCTAAAATTTCAAGGTCGTACCTTCACCGGGGGGGGGGGGGGAGTGTAACGGACACCATCGGACTGCTGATGCATTGTCACCTTGCCCTCTGGTTTGTATTCTTTGTAGTAGGGCAGAACTAAAGATGGCACCTGTGTGTAGATCGACGCTGGTGGCAGATAGCCGTAGTGGCATGTGAACAAGAAACTGTTCCGGATTTGAAACCCATTATTGGGTGGAAGAAAAATGGACGGCCACTCGATTGGCAAGAGGCAGTGCGAAGATTTACCGGGCACATGGGATTCGTTGGTGACAGAACGATATTCTAAAACGTATTCTGGAGAGAGCGATAGGCAAATATAGAGGCCACAGTTGGTGATTCCGAGGAGGAGAGTTCCAGAAGTTGCACGAGGGAATGGTCACTTGGTAAGAAAGACGACTCTGGAAAAATTACCCCAAAGGTGTTGTGGGGAGTTGAAGAGTGGTGCAGCAAATGCACAACTTGTGCAGTCAGCAAGGGTCCGCAGAGCCGACCAGCAGTTCCTATGAGACAGTATAACGTGGGAAGCCCATTTGAGAGAGTAATATCTGTTAAAGAATCGGATTACCAGGAATACCCTACAGGATTGGAGGACGAATATGGTTCAGGCGGAGATACGAAACGTTGCAGTACCTAAGTTAAGCTTGGATTTGATGGTCTCGAAAGTTCGTAACATGCTAGAGATAATCTTGCGCGAGGCCGGTGTGGAAATCGTGGTGTGCGAGACCAGTAGAGTGTTCCTCCTCCAAAAATGGATCGTGTTATAGAGCTGCAACTTGTCCTTTCCTTCATGATCCTCGGCCCGATATCTTGGAGTTCAAGACGAAACAGGTTCTAAGAAGGGGACAATGTAGCGGCCAAGTGAGTCGACAGTGTGGACAAGAGAATTCACTAAGTCAGCTTTTGTAGGGATACTATGAAAATCGCGTAAATTTTACAAGATGACGGGTTTATGCGGGGATTCTGAAAGCTCAGGATACTTTGGTACTTTCCCACCTGTGTCGTTTGATCCTTTCTATTTCACGATGTTTCGGGCAATTCATAACGTAATTAAATGCATCTTGCGCTTTTTTGACCTTTTAAACCCACCGTTGTAGAGTGTTTAAATCTGTGGTAATATGTCATTGCCTTTAGTGAGTACCCTCTTCCTTAGGTTATACGTATAACACATTCCTTCCGTTGTTCTTTGTTTGTCTTTAATTTATTGTCAGTCATCGACACTGGATCTAGACAAGGTTGTAGCGACCCACATATAGCATAATCCTAAAATCCTCCTCGTTATATTGAGCAACATTTATTTTGTTTCTGTTAATTATACCTAGTGATGTTAAATTACACGTTTTTTTAAAGTGCGTAATATTACGTATAAAATTACCAATTGTTTATGTTCTTTATGTATTTTATGTAATTTATGTAATTTATGTAACTTACCATTTTTTTTTAAAAACCGTAATTTTACAGTAAAATTACCTGTCATTTATGTTTTTTATGTTTTTTTTAAATATTCCATAAACCTTTTTCAATTTTGTGAGTGTTTGAAAACAAAAACACTTGTTAAATTATATATTTCGGTGTATTAAATAAAATACCCAAGCAGTGGGTATTTCGCCATCACGCGTCGTTTGGAAGAAGAAGGTCCAGATCGCGAATTACATGCTGTATCATCTTCATTAAACCTAAACTAGATTCAACGGTGAATCGTTTACGTTGGTAGTACCGTTGATGGTCTGTGGTAGTACCGATCAAAATGTATCAAATAGGTAACTTACAAAAATTACGGTTTTTTTAAATAAAAAACGTAAGTTACGTAAATTTCATAAAAGACATAAATTACGTAAAAAACCGACCTCTTGTAAGTTACGCGTAATATAACCGTTTTTTTATGTAACTTATAAATCGTTATTTTACAATCCACATCACTAATTATACCGCATCATTAAATCCGCTGAGAAAATGTATGCAGGTTTGTATGCTAATTAACTAACGCGTTTTTTAACACCGAAGATATCAAGGCTGACACCTCAAGATTTTGTTCCATTCAAAATGATCACTTCGATGGTACTCTTAGCAATTGGTAGTGCGCGATGGATGACATCGGCCCACTCGTTTAGGGTTGCGAATAAAATTGCCTTGGTGACGGGTGGCACCAGAGGCATCGGGTTTGATGTCGCGGGTGAACTTTTGAAAAACGGCGCCAAGGTAAGCTGGAAATGAGACTTTGGCCTTAATGGACATTTGCCTTCAGGGGGTTAGTTTGGTGGCGGTTAACGCCAACAGAGGTCGTGATCAATAATGCTGGCATTTCCAATGAAACGAACTGGAAGGGTGTAATCGACACGAACGTGGTAGGTAAGCACCGAGTTCGGCAATACAGCAATCTAAAAACTGTTTCCTAGTACGGTACTCTGCAGGGAACTCTTCTGGGTTTTCAATACACCATCACGCGGTTCGCGTTGTTAGAGTCTGTCCGGGACCGACCAAGACGCAACTACTCAGTGATGTCGAGACGCTTACCAATACTCTGGCTCCTAACACGTCGGCGTTAACAACCGAATTTCTAAGTCGGTTAGCGTTCCAGTCGTAAGTATCTGCTAGTATCGAAAATCGCGCTAGTTATTCCTCCGTAGGACAAGGCACGTTGCAAAAACTATTTGTGCCGTTATCAAGAATGGAAGTAACGGTAGCATCTGGGTAATCGATGGTGATGGTAATCCGTCCTTTGAGGTGGAGTTTCCTGGAGCGAAGGCTATGAAAAAACCCAACTGAATGTACCTGGAGGCTGTCATGACCGTGTAATAGAATAACACCATCTTCTAAGTTACAAGAGGCACACAGGAATTATTTTTACTCTTCGATTTTGTTTATCTCTAATCCAAACTGTGTTTTTGTAAAACAACTATCTAGCAGTTTACCTCGAACCTTAAAGGTTTGAAGTTCAGATTGAAGTGAGGTGGGGGAAGATGTATAACCAAATTTGCAGCGTATTGTTTTAAAATTGCAGCGCATTGTTCCATTTTTGCTTGCGATTTGTTTCCAATACTGGCGTTTGTTTATGAATAAAGCTTTGGCTTAAGTTGACGAGAATCTGGACGTTTTGGTGGGCTCTCCAGAATCATACGCGAGGCTGTGGTATTGAACCATGCACCCCCAGGTGCAGAGTCTAGAACTACCTTGTTCGTTGCGCTGTTGGTTAATGATGGGCCCTTTTTCGGTTGTGGTGTCGGTGAAATGGAAACATGCGCATCTGGGATCTACCCTTCTGGTGTGGCAGAAGTTGCCGGGGCGTCGGTTGTTCTCGAGTACTTTTCCATACTTCTCGGATTTAGGTAATAAGATGTTTGGAGGTGATTATCTTTGTCCTTGAGACCGTTTTGCGAATGCGGAGATACGGTGGGTCGTTATACCTCCACCTGAATAGTTCTGGGGGCCTGCTGGATTGGAAAAATCTGCATCTGCTGACTTGCTCGCACACCTGGATGTCTAATGCTAGCTGGCTTTACAGTTTCAATTTTTGTTTAATAGGAAGATGGAAATATATACAACGAGAGACAATTGGATCAAACCGGGTCTCAAAGGGTTCTATCGTATCACCCCAAAAGCAGTCCAGTTTTCAATTTTTCTTGGAGGAAGCCTTTTTCAAGGGAGGGTCGTACCATCTGTAACATAAGGTGTAAAGAAAACAACGCTTGCAGCAATAGTACGGGACGCAACGCCAACGCCAAATAGGTGCTCGTGGTTCGTAACACAGCACCCAAATACGGGGGGATGCCCCAGGGAGAGGTGCTTACCAAGTGATCAGTCGGAGATTGTGGGATAGTACCAGAATAAGTAAGCGCTCTTGTTTCCGACACAACGGCCTACAGGGTGATTCCTATAATACCTGCCACCGTTTGGGAGCGTGTAGGTGGTGCGTAGGGGAGTATTTTGATATAGGACACTTGGGGTCGGAAATCTAAAATAAGGGTGCCAGAGCCAAATTTACCTTCTGGAATTTCGCGCCTGTAGGTAGGCAACCCAACCGGCCGGCGGTGCACACGGAGCGATCTCAGGCGGCGATGTGTGGCTGACACTTGATCAGAATTTTGTTTAAACCCACGAAATCCCGTCTGCAACGGCGCGTATCAAGTGAATAAACACTATGGCACGTTTTACTAACACGGAATACGCGGACATGCACTTCATGTACGGATTGGCAAATGGTAACGCACGAGCTGCACGACGAGCGTACGCTGAGCGGTATCCAAACCGTCAGTTACCCTGCAGACAGGTCTTTCAAGAAGTTCACTTCCGACTGTGCGAGACAGGGCAATTGCAGGTAAGCTGACGGAGGCTTAACTTTACACACAGATTCGTGATGCACATCGATACTTGGGTCATTTAAGCACCATTTCGAAAAGTTTGTTTGTTTACACCGACCTCCTCCTATTTCGCAGCCCACTAGCGCCCGTGATCGCGATCGCCCGTTGGTAAATGCCTTAGAGGAGGATGTGTTGGAACGTTTCGAGGCAAACCCGCGTACTAGCACTCGACTTGTAGCAGATCAGGTGGGTTGTAGTCAACACACAGTGTGGAACATCGCCAACAACAACAACTTACACCCCTATAAGTTTAAGAAAGTGCAAGAGTTACGGCCGGGTGACCATGAAAGGAGGCTGGAATTCTGCAACTTAGTCGTCCAGGAAAGAAGCTAATCCGAACTTTCTGAGGAGCGTGCTAGTTACTGACGAGAAAGGATTCTCAAGAGAGGGGACCTTCAATCCTCGTAACAGCCACTACTGGGCGGAGCACAATCCTCATGTAACGTTTACGCGAGGATACCAGGACAAGTTTTCTTTAAACGTTTGGGCTGGCATCCTGGGGGACAACCTACTGGGGCCTTACATCCTCCCTCCGCGTCTAAATGCCCATAATTACCTGATTTTCCTGCGCGAGGTGCTACCAGAACTTTTAATGGATGTTCCAGTGAACTTGTACTGGGACCACTGGTTCCAGCACGATGGGTGCCCTGCTCACTACGGGCGGCAGGTGAGGGAACACTTGGACCAAACCTATCCGGACACGGCCGTGGAGGTGCGGTGGAGTGGCCGCCCGCTCGCCCGACATCACCCCATTAGATTTTTACTTGTGGGACGATACTCCCGTCGAATCCGAAGAGGACTTAATTGCGCGCGTCGTCATGGCCGGAGAGGCTGTTGGCCAGGACATAGGAGTCTTCACGCGAGTTCGAGGGGAGTGGTTGGCTAGATGTAGGAAGTGCATTGAGAACAACGGTGGCCACGTTGAACACTTGTAAACGTTATTGCTTTTGACTGTCGTTTTCCCTCCTTCCCTCCCATGTCGCTTCCTCGCGCTAACTCGCTCTGCATCGCTCCGCGCGAAACGTCGGTCGGTTGGGTTGCCTACATACAGGCGTGAAATTCCAGAAGATAAATTTGGTTCCGGCGCCCTTATTTTGGATTTCCGACCCCAAGTGTCCTATATGAAAAGACTTCCCCTAGGCACCCCCTATACGCTCCCAAACGGTGGCAGGTACTATAGGAATCACCCTGTATATGAATAAGCATATGCTTATACTTAAAAAATTCAAAGTGAATACTCGTAAGTGCCCCTTCATACTAGACTGGTCAACAGCGCTGCACTGCGTCTCGTCCCGCTGCTCAGCAGCGCTGCTAAGTCGCCAAGTGTGAAGGGGCTCTTACGAGTATTTACTTTGAATTTTGTAAGTATAAGCATATGCTCCCTTTTATTGATATGGGCCAACGTCTCGTAGCACCTCAAATATGGAGCCGTAGATCAACCTGCGAAGGACGGGGTATCTTATCGCGCTAAGGCCTGGCAATCTTACGTACACCTAAGTTCTTTGGCTCCACCTCTCTCTATATTCCGATTCAACCTGTTCGGTTGAGTCGGAACAACTGCTAACCTTATCTCCCGAGCGGCGCTTAATCCAATCGTGGACAGAAAAAAGCGCTCGAGCGCCGAGCACTTTAAGTAAACGCTCGAGTATCGAGCAGCAAGCGGCTGCTACGAAAAGTGCTCACGAGCGGACCGCTCGCAAACGCTTTTTCCGCTTGGAGCGCTTTTTCGAGCGGAACGCTCGCGTGCAGTACCCAGCTCTGCTGAAGGTACTATGTGCCCAGCCAAGAAGAGTACACTTTAATAAAAATCCCAAACCTCTAGGGCGGTTCAAAACCGAAGAGATGTGTGACTGAATGGAAGACCAGTCAACATCGGTACCAAGCCCAGGACGTACGTCCATAAGGCGCATATGGGCGTGGAAAACCCGGATTGTCCTAGCTGGGGGCGGCTGAGCGCTAGTCGCCTCCTAATACTGTAACCGGAACATTGTGCATCAGAGACCCTGGCAGAGCCCGGTCGGGGAAAGTTGCACAAGGGGCGGCCGCGGGTCTTGCCTTAACCGCTCAGATCGTGAGGATGGTAAATTCTATAAATGGTCTCCCAATCTCTAAGTGGTTCTATTGTTCCAGTGCCGTGGGGATGCGTAGTCAGGGAGACGTCTGGTCGATAGCCTAAAACAGTCTGTTGAGGGTTCAGAGTCCCCCCGCCAGAATATTAACGTCACCCAGGGCGGTATGGGCCCTCTGCCGCTCGGTCGATTGTTAGCCAATACTCGTAGAAACAAAATGGATGATTCTTCTTTGGAAAACAAATGTTTAGGGATGACGGAAAGGATAGGGGCGAGGGGAGTAGTGCGAGTGATCCGCTATTGCTTTTGATAGGGGAAGAGGATGAGAACGAGGTGTTTGGATATGATCAGTGAGCCGTACGCCATTCCAGAAAGATCGTGTGGTTGAGGAAACCCAGACGGTGCCGCCCACATCTTCGTGGGATGGCCGTTTCGAAGGATGGGCCGCGGATTCGACAGAAACTGATAACCCCCTGTTGAGATTTTGGAGCGCGGCCAAACAACGAAAGAATAGCAAGGGTATCAGCTCCACTCGCCCTGAAGACATTGGAGGCGGTCAAGATCAGATTCCACAAAGCGCTTACGTTCATAGACTCCAACGAAGGAAGAAACCGTGAAAAGTGTTACTGAGGGAAATTGATATGCAACTAAAGAAAGAAAGTGTGCTGGATCAACAGAAGGAAAGAGGCGAGGAGGTGTTGGTAAATCCGCTGAATGGTGACCTAGAAGGTCTAGAGAATAAATGCGTGGAGGAGGAGAAGGAGGAGAAGTATATGCAAATGGAGAGAAGAGCGAATGAAGGCTAGCGCGTAAAAAAGGAATGAACACGGGGAGTTGTTGCAAGCCTTAAGAAGAGTGTGAGAACATTTCAGGTGCAGCAAATGGGAAGCTAAGTATAAGAAACTAGAGGAGAGAGTTAGTGAAATGGAGAGCTGCAGAGGTGACTTGGAGGAGGAAGAGGAACGGATGCTAAAGTTGTTGGGGAGGCTGATGGGTGTAACATGATCAATGGACGCATTAGATACCATAAAGGTCCGCTCAGTTGGGGAAATGGCTGGGATATGGCAGTGTACGTCGGGGAGGATACACAATGGAAGAGGAAAGGGCTAAATAAGTTAAGGCGATCTTCCCCGAATTGTCCACACTAAATGGGGGAGTATGCCCACATGAGTAAGAGAACGGGCATACACAAAAAGTCATAGAGATCAGAGTTCATTGGGAAGCTGGCCATTTAGAATGGTGTAGATTCGCGACTGATGGTGCAAGGGATGTACGGGTCATGAAGGAGTTTGCAGAGGTCGCAAGAGCGAGTGACCGCAAGAAGAGCCTGATCACAGTCTGCGATAGGAAGGACATAGATATTCTACGGGAGGCGGCGATCTATGTAATAGGGGACGGAGCTGACAGAACGAAAATTTGGGGTTGGGGGAACTCGACACGGTAGCGACCAAACATATTACTAACGGTCGTTATCCCAAAGAATGGAAGCCGCATAAACTGGTGTTGATGCCGAAAGGGAACCAGTTCTATCCGCTACTGCTACTGCGCCGTGTGGGGAAATACATGAACTGGCGATTACGGTGGGGGTTCCACAGGGGTCGTTTTAGTGATCGCCGGCATTGCACCGGCGAGGATAGCCAGAGCACGGAGTAGGGAACGGAAGCTGGAGGAATGGGAAGTACACTGGGGTGGTAGAAATTCTTGGGCGCACACCCTAATTACGAGAGTGCAGGGGTTGATCCCAAACATGGGGAGGTAAACTACCTGCTTACATAGTTCCTCACGGGACACGGTGAGCTGGTTAGTTACCTCCTCAAGATAGGGCAAAGAGGGGATGACCTCTGCCTAGACTGTCGAATGGGAGATGACAAGGAGCGTCCTTCCCTCCTTCTCTTCCCTATGGGTCATGTGTAGTTTCTTTCCTTCTGCGTTCCCTAAAGTGCTACACTATAGGTGTAATATTATATGCAAACATCTCCTTAGCGTAAAACTGTAATTGTTGGTGGCATTTCTAAGGTACGCCTTCCATACGATAACTATACAGGTTACATTGCAAAACAGTATGGTAATATAACATTCTAGAGGAAATGAGATGCCTTTTGTTTCTTCATAGCTTTTCGTTCCGGAATTTCAACCTCATAGGGTGGCTGCTCATCTTCGGCAACCCACACGCTACCACTGGCCGCTTGCTTCAGCATCACAATTACGGCTCTGCCGAGATTATCAGGCCTGCGACAAACTCAATGGTACTACCACAAATGTCTTGCTGTGATGACTTACGTTTGTAGAAAAGATTTCTCGACTGATCCATAGGCAACTTCCTTCAGATCTGGGTTGAACTCATTGGAAATGCCGTTCTTGAAAGGCACCTCGGATAGCAAGTCTGTCTTGGTGAGTCCTGGGCAAAGTGTTAAAATACGAACTTTGTTGTGGTCGTAATAAGTCTGGTGGCCAAAAGCTCGCCCCAATCCCAAGACGTAGGCTTTGGTAGCGCTGTACACTGGTGACGCGAATAAATGGTCGATGCCGTAAATTGAAGATAGATTAATCACCACCCCTCCACGTCCCCCTTTTGCAACACTCATGTGTCTCATCCCCAGGAGCGTTCCATGCATTACTCCAATCTGTCAATTTTATTGTAGTACCAACTGAAAATCGCGCTCTCGTACTTACAGCGTTAACATTCGTCAGTGGAACCGGGTTGTTTTCATTAACAACCCCAGCGTTGTTAATAACAATATCCAAACCTCCCCAGTGGACGATTGAGGCTTTGAACGCCTCTACAAAGCACGATCCAATTTACTGTGCCAAAATAGCGAACTTACCCTCAAATTGCTTTTCATTGCTTACGTCCGCTATCAAAGAGATCACCCTTCCCTGGCCGAACTTCTCGCTAAGTGCCGCCACGGCTTCCTTGCCCTTATCCGCATTAACGCCGACCATCGTAACTCCCTAAAACTAGCAAGTGATCGCGTCCAAAACTTTCGCGCTTACCTTAACCCCATTTTTCAAAAGCTCGCTGGTGATGCTCAAGCCGATCCCTCGGGTCCCTCCGGTTACCAGCGCAATTTTTCCATTGCACTCGTAACGTTGCTTCGAATGTGAACTCGCGCAAGCGAGAATCGTTAGGGCGACAATAATGACGGTCTGAACCATCTTCGTGGTGAGATGACGAAGAACTGAAAGTGAAAACTGGAATTGGCGAACTAGGTGACCTTAACGTAGGTCATGACTTCTGAAGAATGTTGTCACAAGACAAATAACAAGTCGAAAATAAATTGCACCATTAACATGCGTTTTTTCAGTAATCGCAAATTAGATATCCAAATCACTAATTACTTTAAGAGTAATGGACCAAACAAGGCCAACCTTTGTATTTAACAGTATAAAAAAATGAATGTGTTGGCCTCGTGATTACTGGGAGGTTATTTGTCAAAGAAAGTTTCATACACAAGAGTTACTGATGGTCTTACTTTATTGTGTGAATCTCTTAAATTAAATAAAAATTCCATTGTGAACGCTCCTTCTTAGAGACACCTTGGTTTCTTTGGCATAAAAACAATGTAAAGTGCAGAACACTTTGCAAAACTCGACAAAAGACTTGATTATTTTCGACTCGACTAGGTGTAAATTCCTCTAGAAGGCTCTTCCAGACTCTTGGAAACTCTGAAACGGGGGGGGGGGGCAGGCAGTATTTAGGCACACCAACTCCCACTGTGTTCTCTCAATAAATGATAGGACCCTGTTTATCCTAAACTGCTTCACCCTCTTCGGTTCCAGATAACTGTCGCCAAGGAACTGACATCTGTCTCTGATCAAAGCGTGTCCCAGTGACAGACCACATGCTCGGCAGTTTAATCTGTCTCGCCATACTCGGTAGTTTCATTTGCCTCGCCGCACAACCTGCACGCGGGCTCTCCTACAAACCTAATCTATCTAGAGTTTGCCTGCAATCAAGCGCCATAGCCGCTGACAGAGTCTTCAATGCCGCCTGACTGTCACTCCATAGGTTCCCCTGTGCACAGGTCATGATGGCCAACTGACACAGGGTGCTATGCTGACAGACTGACTGATGTCAACTCTCGGTCCATCACCATATACACTCATGTCCGTTCTCCTTTCCGTTAGGGATCCATCTGTAACCCACACGACTTTTTGATCCTAGACAGACCGGATCATCCCTTTTTTCAAGGTGGCGGTCGTATCTGAGGACTTCCTCTCAGATCCGCCCGTTTCCAAGACTGATTCGATCCTTCTACTTGTCCCAAACGTCTCGCCGCATGGAAGGCTCCCAGCCTTTACCTCCACATCTAAGTGTAAGGGCTCTACACCTGAAGTTCCTCCATGGTCAAGGTTGGCGTGACTCCAGTGGCTCCGAAACAGGCGATTCTCCGTACTTTTCCTAGGTGCTTCCAGTAGGTTGCCCTGTGAATGGCAGCTCACCATACAAGTGCACCGTACAATACTATTCCATGTCCGGGAAAGTGACTTTAGAACTCTCTGGTCTTAGTAAGACAGCCCGGGTCCCATCCCTTCTTGCGTGAAGGTGATCGGATCTGAGGGCTTCCTCCCAGATGCGCCCATGTCCAAGGCTGCTTCGATCCTTCCACTCGTCCCAATCGTTTAGCCGTGTGGAAGCCTCTTCCTCCACAGCTGTAGTAGTGTAAAGGGTCTAGTCTCAGAAGTTCCTCCATGGCCAAAGTTGGCGTGGTTTACATGGCTCCAGTGATTCTCAAACAGGGAAGCATCTGAACCTTCTCTAGCTGCTTCCTATTGGTTGCCCTGCGCATGGCAGGTTACCATTTAAGTGCACCGTATAGTATTATTGGCCTTATCACATCGATATCTGAAAACTCTCCCAGGGTTGTCCTCCGATAGACATTCCCCACTCCACGTGCACACGAGACTGTGAAGAGCCATCTCCGTAGGCACTAGACATACAAACCCTGAAAGCACGATTGAATGGATGTAGTAGCTAAGGACCAGTAGCCCATTCCTGATGTATGCATCCACCAGTTTCTCCACCGTTTTTTTTTAGAAAAAACGATGATAGACTGATGTTATATGTAGCACGGCCCGGCTTAGGTAGATAACTCTTACCTTTCTCTAGCTTTCGTGGATATACCCTAAAGTCAGGGAGGCTCTACAGAGGCGCAGCAGAGCCGCTAATATCCCGTCCGGTTCTGCACTCTTAAATGGGCTGAACGTGTTGACTGCCCATCTCAGAGTAACCACCCGGGTAGCACCTTTTGATGAGTCCGAAGTGACGTAGTCCGCACAGCGTGGAAAGTGTGTTTACAGGAGACATGTGAGAACACCCTCGGTAGACGTATATCTGCTGTATAGAAGCTCAGTGTCACCACGTTTTGATCCGGATCTATCAAAAGGATCTTACGAAGTTTTTGAACTTTAGGAAGACCCTCCATGTTACCAGAGAAAGTCCATGATCCTCGCTGGGACCTCCGAATATGGCCCTACTTGTGCTGAGCGATCTTGACATCTTCCCAGTGTGCAGGCAGCTTAGTTCGCATGGCCCTATTCCGCGGTGACGACCTCCGTTGCTACCAAACATTTTCCTCTTTATTCTCACTAATCCCTTTTCTTTGGTACTCGATCCCTATTCTTCATCTTCTACCATTAGTTTTCTCCATCTTACTTTCCAGCCCTTTTCTCTTTCCCTTTCCGCAACCTCTCTCATTTCTCTTTGTACTGTACCTTTCTTTCTTCATATGTCAACTCGTTATCTATGTATATCCTGCTCCCTTTTAACCCTCCCATTCCCCTCATACCATCCCTCTTCCTTTCCCATATTATTTCTGTGATTACTACCTTATTTTCCCTTACTTCAAATGTTCTCGCTTCTTTTGCATTCACGTCTTTGTTCTTTATGGATGTTGTTCTTTATTTTTTTCTCTCATTTTTTATCCTTTCTGAAAGTTCTTCCAAAGAGTATATAACGTATACGCTTTGGTTCTTCTTTTTCCTTATCCCATTGCTCCTCTCTTCATTTCCTTCCTTAATCCTTCTATTTCTTCCATCAGGTTGTCTTTCATGTTATCTATTTGCCCCATTGTCCCATTAGCCAATCTTTCTCAACCCCTGAGGGTGCCGGTAGTAATCCCGACGCCGCTTCAAGAGCGGTAAAGAGGGACTGAACGCCCTCCGTCGTAACGGAATTGGCTCCCGCTTACCCGATTATCGACACCAAATGCGAGGAGGGCCCTATAACACAGCGATCACCTTGGTTACCCTAGAGACGTACAAGAGACGCCCCATCCCTGGGCCTAATAAAGGGGACAGTCCTTTCCAACGAGTCCCAGGTCCACCTCCGGGTGCGACACCGTAACAATGGCCACCCTGAGTGAATCCTTCCGCAGCGACTTGCCCATAGGTTCGTGGTGCAACCGCAAACTTGAAGTGCACGAGAACCTCTGGACTTCTTCCCAGGCTGTGCTGTGCCAGACGCTGGAGTGCTTCTCTCCGGTCTGAGAGGCTTCATCCTTGACGTCGGGTTGTTCCCAGACACAGCCTTAGGGCCAGCTTAAACCGAGGTTTTGCTCTTAAGCCCACGCTTCCTGGTCATCGCCCTCTGTGCACCAGTCCTATTCTTCTTGCGGATAGGAGCCCGCCACGGTACTTGAATAAGGTCCTACGTTTGTGCCGCCCCCTTTTTGAAGGCTTGTTGGTCCCTCTTGACGAGGAACCCAAAAAGGTTTGTCTAGCCTCTAGATTATGGTCCATACAGTTCCCATGCACGAGTAATGCGGAAATGCAGTTTCACCTGGACAGAGTCGCCTGCCTAGGACTTGTTTACTAGCCCCTTCGCCCTCGGAGGTCGCCCGTTATTCGAGGGGCACCCTAGTGCCACGCAATGTTCGGCTAAGCACATTGGTCCCTACCAGTCTGGGTTTTAGCCCCAACGAGCCATTTATAATCGTCATTACCCACACCGAAGCACGAGTCACTTAATTAGTTGATTACCTTAAGCAGGGTTGACAATGAAGCATTCAGCTTCTTTCGATGACTGTGAGCTTACAGTCACGGGATAGGAATACGGGTACCCCTCCCCGCGGTTCATAACTAGCTCCTTTGATTTTTCTATTCCTTCATTCTTCTTGCGTTCCGTAAAGTGCTGCACTAAGTGCGTAAGTGGAGAGTCTTTTCTCGATGAAGGTGTTTAGGAGTGCGTATTGTTGTAAATTTGATAATAAAGAGAGTAGGTATACAGGATGAGCAAACCGGAAAATCAGGATTAGTCTGATATATTGTTAGAATGCAAAACAAATTGAGTACTTGGGTTTTTAGGAACAGTCTAAGTTGTGCATTTCGAGTGGGGGGGGGGGGGGGGGGGAGTAAACCATCTCTGATTAGTTATTAAAAAAAGATGGGTCACTTTGAATGGGGCGTTAATTAATTCACATGATTGGTAGGGATTAAGTTATAGGGGGCATTCGGTTTTGGGGTACGGGAGCGTTTGTGGTGGGAAGCGCATTACCCCTAAGACTCATGGTAGCCGAAGGAAGATCAGGGCGCGAAAGACAAGAAACGCTAGGAAGATGGCGGGCCGAATGGGAAGAGATCCCTGGACAAAGATACTAGCAGGATATACAAACAAATCATCGCAAGGAAGCGTGGGAACGTGAGACACAATTTAAAACAGTTTCTAACAAGTCACAGAGACAATGGCGCTTTTCTATATAAAATTAACAAGTATAAATTGTGCACAACTCTTGTGCGGATAAAGTGCATTTTTTTAAACCGAAATAGCTTTTGTTTTGACATCACCAATGGATATATTTCTTGCAGACGTCTCAATCACCCTTTGTGAGTACCCTAATCTGACAATTCCGTTCCTGAGGTATAAGGGAATATACTCGATCACCATAAGAGGTCAAGGAGGAGGGATATGGTTGGTAGAATTTAATTCCTTCCGTTGAGACCTTTCATTGGAGTACCATGAAGGATAAAACTAGTTGCACTCTTCCCTCCCCCTCCACCTCGTACTTTGATAAGAGGACAGAAGGAAGGGCAGTAGTTGGTAGAAAAGAGTTCCTTTCGTTAAGACCTTTAATTAGAATACAATGAGAAATAACATTAATTTTTAACAATTAATTTTAAAAATTAATTTTTTTAATTCTTAAAAAATGCGCTAAAAATAACACAACACAACGATAGATGTAAAAACTGCGAAGATAGAGAAGGTCATGGTGTGTCAGAATGTCATAAATGGGATGATAAAAGAACTAGGATAGCGCTAAATGTAGAAGAAATACTAGTAAACAACACATGCTAGAAAGCGCCGAAAAATGGAACACTATAAAGAGGTATATAGATGAAGAAATAGCAACTAGAGAGTTACAGGCCAGGCAAGATAGCACATGCTAGGTAATGCATAGGAAGAATGCAGTTTTATCCACGTCAAAGGAAATGATTGCTGTGCAAGAGAAAGAAGTAAGTTGCTTAAACGTTTCCTTTGATTCCTTTGACACAAAGTTTAATTTGTTTACGTAGAACGTGTCTAGTTATTTTGCTGTGAATGAAACAAGTTAAAAAGTAATCGTAAACGATTTCCACTTGTATTCATGTCCCATTTGTAAGATGCAACTTCTGTTAAAATCGTAAAAATCCGGCCACAAATATGAAAGATAGCGTTGCACATGGGCAATCCATTGTTGACGTGCTACTCCAATTTCAGTTTATAAGAAGAATTTCATTTCAATGCTTTTCTAAATAAGAAATTTGGAACTGCGCATGCGCAAATCTAAATTTGGAAACTTACGTTAGATTTTCATTTGTTCCAAGCGCCTATGTATCAAATTTCATTTAAATGCTTCCATAAATTAAAAAAGTTGGCAGTGCGCATATACAAAACCAAATTTTGAAACTGGTGTTAGATTTTAATTTATTCCAAGTGCCTATGTATCAAATTTAATTCAAATACTTCTATAAATAAAAAAGTTTGCAATTCGGTTTATAAATGGTCGAGATGCGAAAAGGGCACTGTGAATTTTGAATGGATTCGACTCAACTTTTGGCATTGCGTATTATATGGCTAAAGCTATGCGCATATTGAATTTCATGCAATTCAGTTCATAACTAACGGAGATCTAAAAGCGATCGGACATTTCTAAACAAAGTTATCGTTCACACGGACAGATAGAGGGACAGGTAGACAAAGGAACAGACGGACAGACCAACAGACAGACGACAGACAGCAATACAAAATTATAAACGATCTCTAGGATCGTTAATAAACGGCAAAAGTGTAAAATTATGGAACATGTAAAAAACGGTTTTTTGTTTTTTTTTACAATAACTTCTTTAGCAATAAACGCAGAAAAAATTCCTTCCTTGGTGCAAGCCTTGTGGAAATGCACTAAAAAGGGATTGGCCTTTGTCCTGCAATCTAGAAACTCTGAACTTTAACTTCACATAAGTGGCTAAAGGTCAATTCTGCGGCGCTCATTGTTTGATTTTCCAAAACATTGTCTCTGTAAGGAGTGCCGTATCGAGTATATTTTGGTTGAACATTATTATCCAACGAAGGACATTTTTTATGAGGTATAGTGAATTTTATTAATGTAAAATGAAGGGCTGCATATCTAAAAAAAAATTTCGTGAGCCACATATGGCAATTGTCACGAACACATTTGATGTGTTTTCAGAAAGATACGAATCTATGGGTAATTTGGTCTGGATCTGCAACAAAAATTTGTTGATTTATTTAAAGTTCAAGAAGGTTAATAAGATTATTATTTCTAAGGTAAGCCTTATATAGAATAATTACACATTACAAAATAGTATAATAACATGCCAACCAGAGGGAGCGAGATCCCTATTGTTTCTTCATAGCTGTTCGTACCGGAATATCAATCTCATATGGTAACTGCTCATCTTCGGCAACCCACACGCTACCACTGGCACCACACTGTAGCATCACAGTTACGGCTCTGCCGAGATTATGAGGCCTGCGACAAACTCGGAACTACTACCACGAATTTATTTCGGCAATCACTTACGATTGTAGATAAGATGAGTCGACTAATGCATAGGCAATCTCTATCAGATCAGGAATGAACTCGTTGGAAATACCCATCTTGAAAGGTACCTTAGATAGCAACTCTGTATCGGTGAGTCCAGGGCAAAGTGTTAAAACGCGAACTTTGGTTTGGTCGTAATATGATTCGTGGCCAAAAGCTCGCCCTAAGCCCAAGACGTAGGCTTTGGTAGCGCTGTACACTGGTGACGCGAATAAATGGTCGATGCCGTAAATTGAAGATATATTAATCACCACCCCTCCACGTCCCCCTTTTGCAACACTCATGTGCCTCATCCCCAGGAGCGTTCCATGCATTACTCCAATCTGTCAATTTTACTCTAGCACCAACTGCAAATCGCGATCTCGTACTTACAGCGTTGATATTCGTCAGTCGAACCGGGTTGTTTTCATTAACAACTCCAGCGTTGTTGATAACAATATCCAAACCGCCCCAGTGGGCGATTGACTTTTTGAACGCTTCTGAAAAGCGCGATTCAATTCACCGTGCGAAAAACGTGAAACCTACCCTCCAATTGCTTTTCGTCGCTTACGTCCGCTATCAGCACAATCACCCTCCCCTGTCCAAACTGCGCGCCGAGCGAATCCACGGCTTCCTTACTCCTAGTCGGGTTAATGTGAACCATCGTAACTCCCTACAACTGGTACTGGTGATCGTGTACGAAATTTGCGCGCTTACCTTAACTCCGTTTTCTAAAAGCGCTGAGGTGATTCCCAAACCGATCCCTCGATTTCCTCCGGTTACCAGCGCAAATTTGCCGATGAAATCGTAAGAGTGGTTGGAAGTTGAACTCGCGCAAGCGAGGATTGTTAGAGCGACAACGATGACGGTCTGAAGCATCTTTGTGGTGAGATGTCGAAGAACTGAAAGTGGAAATTGGATATGGCAGACTGTTCCATGACAAAACATAACAAAAGTGGGCCCAATGGCTGTACTAGTTGGCAATGTAATGACCAGAAGAGAGTTTCCGATCCGAAAGACAGGCGAATCGGTCAAATGAACCGAAAAGTTTGCCCCAAAAATGAGGACGAATATTCTGGGGGAGTATTTTCTTTCTCTCTCTTTCTCTATACGTCAATTAGAAGAGCTCATACCTTCAAAAGTATCATCGTAATACGATGTAAGTGATGAATTAGTTAAAATCCTCTAAGCAAGGAATCGCATCAGTTGAATGAGAAAGTCAATAAGTATTAGGAGTTGCCAGAGACGGCGCTAGAGGAGAGTCAACTGGATTGGACCCGCGTGAAGTTAGCCCCCTAACATTAAAATAATGAAACGTCACATAGTTCCTTCGTTTGCACTTTGATTGTACCTTGGATTGCACATTTAGGCACACTTCGATTTTTCGTTTTGCGCATTTTCCTAAAAAAAGGTTCTGAAAAAATAAAAATTTGGGGGATATTTTTACGATTTTAGTCCTTCAACATTAAAATAATGGAGCGCATTTGACTTCGTTTGCCTATGTAAGCACAAATGTTTCCTTTACATAATTTTAGGCCCTAACCTAGGCCCTAACCTTTATTTTATTCATTTTTGCAAATTTATTTGTAAAAATGTAGCTTTTAATCTCACTTTGGCCGGCTGGCAGGCTGGCTGGCTGTTTGGCTGGCTGGCTGGGAGCAAATGCGCGTCATTAGAAGAACGCTTGCGGAAAGGCGAGGAGTGTACATGTACCTACCGGGGTCGTGTAATTAACAACTTCAGAGACGGTGCTACATGATGTGGTGTCGGCGACATCTGGGCGCCATCCCCGAGCGTGGTGTGCTAATCTAGATATTTTTCAGTTTTTTCCTATCTTCTTCTACAGTTTTGGTCCGATTGTTTTCAAATTGGTGTCGTCGGAGAGACCTTATAAACGCGTACAACTCCTGCGTGGCTTGTTTTTTCCCAGGGACGAAATTAACCACCTTTTTCCGGGCGCGCGTCTGCGAGGGGTAATCGGCTTCGGGCAGGTGCGAATTTTGTCACGCGGTTTAAAGTCTCTTAAATATCGAATCGCGGTCTCTCTTTCTCGTGCCGCCAATAGAAGCCCGAGCTATGACAAGTGACTCAAAAATTGAGTACTATTTTGTGAAAAATAAAACCTTATTCGTCGCCCGCCTGCGTCCGTGTAATATATCCAAACAAGCTGTATAGGCTTTTCTTTTTGTTTCGTTGTGTTTTGGAATAAATGTTGGGCAATCAATTAATTATTGTGCTTATTCGAATCCGTTGTGCCACCCGGATAGAGTTTTTCATGTCAATTTCCTTTCGGGCCCAAGAATTAAGTCAGGTGATAATGAAAATTTGTGTAGTTGACTCTTCGGAAATCGATCGAGGCCACCAAGTCTCTCAAATTGAGAAATTTTGTGTCAATATTAGGATTTTTCTTTTAGCAGATGCCGGATGTGTTCAAGGAGAGATGATATAATTCTAAGTATTGTAGCGTACTTAACCCCCAGGTTCTACGCTAACTTCACACTACAAGAATACGGAAATAAAGTCAATCCGGCAACGTTTAAAAAATTGCCACCCGAATGACTATTCCCTCCAAAACTAAACAAGATCCCGCTTAAATTTGGAAAGTGGCACGTGATAAAACATCTAGGCATGGCCCCCTTACGTTAGTTGTAAACAACGCTATGACCTGAAGCACAGCAGGGAAGGAACGTAAAATAAAACACATTGTGAAAAGTTTGTATAATAATGATCGTAATTATTATGATTGTAAAAGCTCGGAAATTTAAGTCTAAAATAAATTACATTGCAGAAATAAACTTTGAAAATGGTAGTTCACCGAATAAAAATAGAAATAGGCTGGGAAAAAAAGAACTTACCAATAAAAAACCAGCCGTCAAATTAATATTAAATTGTGTTGTAAAATTAATTGTTTGTAATAATCTGAATGCGTAACATAAAATTATAACATAACAAAAGTAGCAGGTAAACTTTAAGAGGTAACATATAGGTTAAAAACAAGTTTTGGGAATTATGGGTCAGGTAATCAGGTACCAAGATTCTAAGAAAGGGTGAAATACACAGAATGTGACTCATCTTTGGTGCAATAAAGTCCTTCTGTTAAAAGCAAGATGGAAAATTACATGGCCCTGTAGGTAAATTTAACTAAAAAGAAGATATGTGGAAATTATCAAATCACCACTAATTTATCGCACACAGATTCTAAACTGAAGAGCTTTGAATAGCGTAATCCCGCTCCTGCAAGATGGGTAACCCGCCCCTGGTTTCGAGCCTACAGTTGAATGTCGAAGACAATCACGGAATTAGGTGTCGTAACTCAATTTTGACTACAGTTCTTTACCACCCCCGTAACTGCTTCATTCACGGAGAAAATTGTTAGTAACAAACAACAAGTCAGTACATACACCAACGAATCGGTAATTTCCTCATATTAAAATAAAATGATCAAAACTTATATGAATGTTACTTCAGGGACAAGACCAAGTAATCAACATCAATAAACATAAATTAAACCTTTCAGTATCAATTTTGATTTGTTTTGACCTAGTTGGACGGGTGTTTGGTGAGTGGTGTAGTGCTAGTGACCGCATACCATTGCACACAGCAGTGCATAACAAAATTTGAACAAAATCCGTCGAGCCGCTACTTAGGGAAACGGCCAACGCCAAATGTACATAGGTACGTACTTACGTACACACAAACGGAAAATTTTATTCTTTAAAATTTGCCTAAAATGATCTAAAATGTCAATATTTGATGAAATTTTATCCACAAAACGGCGATCACAATTATATCCACCTAGCTCAAGCGAGTCATGCGAAAAATTTGGGTTGTCCATTGACGGGATGAGTACCAGACTTAAATTAGCAGGACAAATTAGCACAAAACGTGAATAAAATGAAATGTTTAAAATATATATGTTGACACTACAGTGAGAAGCTAGCGGCAAATCCCAAAAAATTTGAAATTCTACCGTGACTCGCACAAAATTGTAAATTAACAGAACAAATTAGCACAAAATGAGACCAAATTAATGCAATAAACAATTTTGAAAATATCAATGCAGCGCGAAGTGGTGAAGTGAGTGTCATCAGAAAAAAATGAATTACTCATTTACGTGATGAGCACAAAATTTTAAATAAGCAGCACAAATTAGCACAAAATGAGCACAAAATTATAAAAAATGAAAATTTTGAAAATATGGATGTTGACACTCCAGCGTGAAGTTGGAGAGTCATCAGAAAAAGTTGAATTGCTCATTAAGCTGAATAGCACAAAATTTTAAATTACCAGCACAAATGAGCACAAAAATATGAGATGCTTGGAACTTAATTTCTTTCAAGTCGACACTCCAACTTCACGGACTCGTAGGGGTATGGGCCTGAACAGTAGGATCGGACATAGTTCGTGAAAAACTGACTAAGAATTGTTTTTTACGGAGTTATCAACGGTTCGCGATTTTTTTAAATATTTTTTTAAGAGATATTATCAACGTTTCCATTTGGTGTACAACTTATTTTCTCAAAAAGCAACCATTTAAAATTGTTACCGCAAGAAGTACCGCAGCGCCTTGTCATATGACCCGAGGCGGCAGACAATCGATTTTGGCACGCTCGGATAGGCCAAAGTAGCACTCCGTCGGTTAAAATTTTGATCACTCTCGTTCAGTGGATTTCGATCTAGCTCCTTTACTGTGGGGGCATATAAACAAGAGGAACAAAGATCATATACTGCAAGTGGCCAAGAATCTACGTACATCGGAATGGAAAGTAGGCGGACTCAAATTCACATGTAACAGCACTATAGACGAAAAGGTGGTGGCCTCGGGGATTCCCATAGAAAGATGGGAAGAGTGGAGCAGAAACAAACACAAAATGAAGAAAGATAGCAAGCGAGTACTGGAAATTGAGGAAGAACCAGACATAAACACACGCAGCCAAGAGGAGGAGAAGGATACAGAAAGAGGGGCAGTGAGAGGACAACAACAAGAAAGGGAGAAACAAGAAGGAAGGAAATGAGACCAAACGATGGAGACATCGGACACTAACAGAACGCCCGATGGAGAGGCCATCACCAGGAAGCAGAGTTCGCTACAATGCAGATATTCCAGTGGCGTGTGCCCGTACCTTTTCGAGTCGGACAACACCCAGTTAGCCGCCCCATCACAACCTCCGCAATCCACAAAATCCACCACATTGTTTGGCATGTGTCGCGGTCCAGCGCAATGGCAACAACAGTGATGTAGGTGCACCGCTGCTAGTTCCTACCAGAGACACATCCCCCCCCGACAGTTGACTAAATTCCGGAACAGGCGACTACGCCAGGCGTATGCCAAAGTATCAAGAGTGTCAATTGGTAAAAAGAAAATTATTTGATGATTGATCTTTTGTCAGTTGACCTTCGGGGAACTTCTTTGACTGAAGAGAACCAAAAGGCACAGAAGCTGCAGACTCTGTTAAAAGCATCCATTCACGGTAACTGTGAAACTTATTGGATCCGCTACAATGACCACAATTACTGCAGAGACAAAAGGTACACACTAGGGAATGCAATCCCGCAGCAGAATCTCAATCCCGGTATTTGAGGGATCGTTAGATGTTCCAGCGGGATCCCGGTATTTGCGGGATCCCGCAAAGATCCCGCAAACCGCAAAATTTTAAATATGGCAAATAAGCAATTTTGTGCGGTTAATTTCTGTATTAAAATAAATCGGTAATTATTACAATATTCAACAAAAAAGTACGTTCAGACTAACTTAAAACCCAAATAAACCTCACCTGTAAAGCACAAAAAATAAACTTCTAAAGTGCCCCAAAAATCCTAGTAGGCAAAATGTTTAACGAAAAAAGTTTAACAATTATTTTAAAAATAACTTCTCCGTTATGCGTTTCATTAACAAAGTAAACAGAGTCGTCCCCTTGGTCGACAAATTCCTCAGTCCCGCAAATCCCGCGGGATCCCACTCCATTTATGTACGGGATTAATCCCGCAAAAATGCTGTGGGATCCCGGTATTTCGGGATCCCGCGATCCCGGTATTGCATTCCCTAGTACATACCGAACATAGTTTTTTTTGTTTTAATTGGAAACCTTTATCTGCACCGGCAGACAATTTCGAATGAAAAACCCATATCAAACCTAATTTTTATTAAAGTGCACTTAAAAAGGTTAAAATACCTTTGATTTGGAATTTTTTGATTTTCTTTAGCTTTAAAGAAAAAATATAAGAGACATTGTAATCAAACTTTTTAAAAAAAAAACTCAAATCGGACAAACAACAAGCATTTTAGGGTACGAAAATATGTAGTAAAACTCACTTACTCACCCTGTTTCATCAAATTCGAGGAGATCAGTGCTAAAAATTAACATGGGAATGTTTTTATATAATAACACTGTTTATTCCTCGGAAATAACAAGATTAAAAGGATGGCAAATAATATTTACCTACTCAAAGAGATAATCTCACCGTGCTACAGAAACTTTATTTTACTGTGCTTTGGCATCACTAGTCTAAATATTTAAGTACCTGTAAATCATCCGTAATTAAAATTTTTCGCAAAGACGAGGAACAAAGTTACACAACTTTCTGTATCAACTCGTGTAGTAAGAGTTGCTATGCTATTGTAGGTTTGCACGAAGATTAAAACACAAATATTGAATGTGATGTCTGTGTAATGAGAGCGTTTATTTTGACTTGCGAAACTTGGCATTTTTTTGTAAATACTTTTGTGGACGATGTTATAAGAGGCCTTATATAACTTTTCGTCCCTCTCGTTTCCCTTTTTTCCCCACCGTCTCACTTCAGCTATTTCCTATTCCCCTTTTTCCGCCTTCTACCACTCTTCCTGTCATCTTCTCTCTCATTACTCTGAACCCCCTTTTTCATTTACCACTTTCTCCACCTCGACTCATCTTTTCTCTCCTATGGTGCTCCAAAATCTTAGATTTGTCGACCTGCGTAGCTGAGATGAGATTACGTTAGTGGCTCTAACTTTGGCTACAAGGGTCCTGGGTTCGAATCCCAGGTAAGGTATGGCTGTTTGTGATTGTATAGTGGGTTGAGTGGGAAGAGTAGCAAAATTGCTAACACTCCGCCCACTATAAAATAAAATATAGATTTAGACATACAATTTAAATTTTCACCGCGCAAGTCTCCTGTTCACATCTTTTTCATTCGACTTACCCCTATGCCACATTCTTTTCCGACTTTCCTTCCTCCTAACTAAAATGTATGTTTTTTCTAAAACCACCCCTCTTCCAAAAATTCACTCCTGCTTTCCACCTTTGTATGTTCCCATAGCAGCGTTTGTTTGGTTTTCGTATGGGTGGCAGTCCCTGGCTACAGACGATTCGAACCCACCACCTGTGAGGTTAGAATCCGAGCCTTAAACCGTTCCTCCTAACTGAGCATGTGCTCTACTCGTATATCTTCCTCTTTCTCTCCACAAATTCTGCACATCCTTTCTTTCTCCACGTCTCCTTCCCTCCTTCCTTGTTTCCGCATCTAAGCTTTGGGATACCCGGACAAGGGACGACTAGTTCACCACCGGCGATATGTCATTTCACATCGCAGTGGAGCGGGAAAACGCCGATCTACGGGTCCTATTGAATAATCTTACGTGGTTTTACAGTTAATAAAGAGATGAAGGATGAGAAGTCTTTACAAAAAAAATTTCTCTCTAGCGCCTTTATTTTGAACCCGATGCAAAAAGTGTAGATGCAGAAGCCTTTTTTGTAGACCTCATCAAGACACATCTTTTTTGTAATTGACATTTTTCACTCTGATGCTTACTTTTAGAGAAATATGAAATTTAGAACAATAAAATAAATAGTATGCTAAAAAATATTTAAAAAAATTTTTCAAGCCGTTATGACTTTTAAAATTTTGACACTCTCAACAACCTTGAAGATGGTTACGGATCAAAACCAAAATAGGACGTTTTCGATTCCCCATACCACCCTATATGCACCCCAAATATAAGTTATAAGATTGAGAAAGTCTGATGTAATGCAATACCAGCATATGATTGATTAATGAATTATGAACAATAGAAATAAATGAAATAGAAACTAAACAAGTATAAATTGTTCACAACTCTTGTGCAGATAAAGCGCATTTTTTAAACCGAAATAGCTTTTGTTTTGACATCACCAATGGATATATTTCTTGCAGACGTCTCAATCGCCCTTTGTGAGTACCCTCCACCGACAATCCGTTCTTGAGGTATAAGGGAATATACCCGATCACGATAAGAGGTCGAGGAGGAGGGCTATGGTTGGTAGAAATTAATTCTCCTTTCGTTTAGACTTTTCATTAGAGAACCATGAAGGATAAAACTAGCTCCCCCCCCCTTCGGACCCCGTCGCTCACTGATCTCGAAAAAAAATCGGACGAGAAAGTTATTGTTTGTACCTACAAACCAATTTACTTCGATGAGACCTTTCATTAGAATACCATGAAGGGTAGGACATGTGTTTATCCTCCCCCCCACCCCAATTTAAAGTTTAACTTGGCACCCCTAAAGGCATGCGTATGCAAAATCTGAGACCAATTGATTGTCGTATGTCAAAGTTATGCACGTTTTACTTTCAAAAACAGCATCTCAGGAAATAATTCGAGGGGGGGAAATTTGATGGCCGTCTGGCACACCTTCAAGGTATATAGGCTACCTTCTACAAAAAATTCCAGGACTCTAGGACCATTCCCCTAGAAGTAATTCGAAACGGCAGAAGTGGGCCCGGACGAACGGACGGACGGACAAAACGCAAACAATAGCACATTTTTTTAATTCTTCATTAATTTTATCTCTCATTGTATTCTAATGAAAGATTTCAACAAAAGGAACCATTTTCTACCTACTACTGCCCTTCATTCTATCCTCTTATCAAAGTACGGGATGAAAGGGGGGGGGGGGAACTAATTTTATCCTTCATGGTACTCTAATGAAAGGTCTCAACGAAAGGAATTAATTTTTACCAACCATAGCCCTCCTCCTCGACCTCTGATCGTGATCGGATATATTCCCTTATACCTCAAGAACGGATTGTCGGAAGAGGGTACTCACAAAGGGCGATTGAGACATCTGCAAAAAATATATCCATTGATGTCAAAACAAAAGCTATGTCGGTTAAAAATGCGCTTTATCTTCACAAGAGTTGGGCACAATTTATACTTGTTTATAATTATTTTCATTTCTTTTTTAATTTATGTAATTTTAGCTTATTAAGTAAATATTTAAACATTTCGCGGCACCCTTATGAAGTGCGTGCGGCACCCACTTTGAGAACCACTGCTCTACAAGATGGGGTTTCAACCAAAACCCAAGCGGTGCTTGTCTTTATTTAGTTTGTAATGCACAAGTAACCTCAGGTTGTTTCTGCAAGAACGAGCTAGGTCCTTTGAAGGCTTCTCTCGCATGGGAACAATGTTCCACCTTGCCCTGTGCTGGGATTGGGTGCTTGAGCTATTGAGTTGCTTACACTTGCAACTCTAACTGGAAAAGCCAGCTCTGGGCCGTAAAACCAATCGGCTTTCTCATCACCTTTCGTTCCAGCATGCCCCATGCGAGCTCTGGTACAATGGGCCAAAATTTGAGGTCTAGCAATGTGGGGACCGTGTCCACTCTCCTATCGTAATGCAGAGTCTCTACTACTACTCGCTATCAGTTTCCCTTTTCCTCCTTTCTCTCCCACCGTCTCAGTTCTGCTATTTCCTATTCCTTTTCTCCCTCCTTCTAGTACTTTTCCTGTCATCTTATTTCTAACTTTCTCCACCTCGGCTCAAATTAGACTTCTGGTCCTCCAAAACCTTAGATTTAGACATGCAATTTAAATTTCGATCGTGCAAGATTCCATTCCATCCCCTAGTACTCATCCCCCTATTCACTTGTCCATTCGATATACCCCTATATCTATTATTTTCCGGTTTTTCTTCCTCATCTGCTATCCCTGATTCCGTGGGGTTCCCTAGAGGGTTTCATATAAATTCTGGGAAGACGATCAGATCCTTTTCTCGAGAAAGGTACCGCACAAAGCGTCGCACCGGGGCATTTGGGGGGTATATATTACTCCCCACCAAAAGAAAATTCAATGATCGTTTCCAAAAAAAAACATCCTAGCAAAGGAAGACTTGATCATTTCCATCATAAATGATATACTGGGGGATATTCCGTACTCCTCAGACCCACACGTGCTACGCCGTCCCCCACAAGAGGTTTACACTCGAGATTTTCATAATAGTGTCAGGGAGATATAAATACTTACTATTATACAAAACGCAGCCCCGTGGGTCTGGAGGGTATGGAATACCTTCCAGTAAATGAAGATTCAAAGATCGTTTTCAAGAAAACTTTCTAGCAAAGGAAGTCTTGATTATTTCCATCATTATATATACTGGGGAGTACAGAATAAAGACACCTCGGTGCTACGCTGTCCCCCCACAAAACGTTGAACCCTCAAGGCTTTCATAATAATTTTTGGAAAGATGAGCAAATCCAAAAAAATATTGCAGAAAACGTAGCATCCGGGACCGCGTGCTATATTTAATACCCCCGGCAGATGTAGACTCAATGATGGTTTTAAAAAAAAAAGTCGTCACTGTTTTAGGTGTGGGACATCTGATGTGACCACCTAGGTTAGTCCAAACTAAGCACACAAGGGCAACGACAGATGGAACCTACTATAAATCAAGCAGCTTCTTATAGTCTTTTTGACATGTCATCTGCTCGTAAATTTACGGGCTTGCAAGCGTAGAGCATTCAGAACAAACTCTTTAGCTTTATATTCGTGGACTGTTATCCCCCTAGAAACTTTATATACAGGGTGTTCCTGCAGGTGATATACAAACGGAAATGGCTAACAATAATGTACTGATACTTGTTGAGTTTAAAAAATATTTAAATGGTAAAGAGGACTTAGGACTAGCAATTACTGTACATAAATAATTATCTTAAATCCGGTCTTCAATAATGACATTATTCGCTTGATGAAAGATTCAGATTCACGCGATTCTTTGCATAGACTTCCTGTCTGAAAATCTAACCTCATACGGCACTTCTTCTGGATCCACCACCCACACGCTACCGCTCTCACCTTTTTCAAGTATTGTTATCGTCCCCTTACCGATATCTTCTACCCTGTAAGCTGCCATACTGTAGATCACGGATATCTAAATGTTCTTACGTTTGAATGGGCGAGTTATCCAAACTTTGCACGCCGCGCTCCCTGATATCTTGCAAAACTCATCCAAGATGTTACTCGCGGAGGAACTTCTGTCTGCGAGGTCAGTATCGGTGAGTCCTGGACAAAGCGTTATTACTCGAATTCCATTATAATCGTAGTAATCTGGATGACTCAACGCACGACTGAAAGCAATAACAAAAGCCTTCGTGCCACTGTAAACTGGAGTAATGGGAGAAGGATCGATACCGCTAACTGAGGCTACGTTAAGTATAACCCCGCCACGTCTACCTAAACTTTTACTCATATATCTGAACCCCAAATAGGTACCTTGCAAGATTCCAACCTGAAAAATCGAAGTTTAATTCTGACTCTTACTTACTAGTTTACTATGTTCGTATTAATAGCTAACTTGGGGTTAACTTCATTTACAATTCCTGCGTTGTTAATCACAATGTCCAAACCTTTCCAGTGTGCAAATGAGAGCTTGAACGCATCTAGAAGTCGCCACACGTTAAATTCTTGGAGTGATGGTATCTGCTTTACCTTCAAGCGCGTTCGAATCACCTACATCAGCAGGGATGAAAATGACCTTCCCATACCCAAATTTCTTGTTCAGCGATTTGGCGGCCGACCTACCTCTACCTGCGTGAGCACTTACGATCGTGATGCCCTAGTGTGTATCAATTTAAATTACTTGCCTTTCCATACTCACGGATTTACCCTAACTCCACTATCCAGCAGTTCAGAGGCAATGCCAAACCCTATACCACGCGAGCCTCCGGTCACCAATACGATTTTTCCCTCAAAGTCCAAAGCTGTGGTCGCAAATGAACCATGGTAGATCACTAACGCGGTCAAAATTATAGGATACCAGCGCGCCATTTTGGGTACATTCAGACATTAACACTTTAGGTGCACAGTTCAGACTCGGTGTTTTGATGCGATGTTTCAAGGTAATTCTACTTTGTATTTTATTGTAATGAGTATGAGAACATGTCGTAGCTTGCGCAACTTAAATGTGCTTATTAAGCGAAGCGTTAAATTTACTAATTATTTCCATTCACTCATGAATTAACAATGAAACCTAAGGTTAAAATACATATTATTTACAAATATACACGCGTAGGCGTTGGACTAGAGCCAAACAACCAGTCACTTGTAGAAGGGTAGTGGATGACTTGCCCAACTTCACTGTTCTCTTGCCGGTTTGGTTGCCGTATTTATATCCTGCCGAACTTTTATTGTGGTAATTTGGCCAATGGCAGGTCGTGTCTCGAAATCCCTGTGGTAAGGGCGCGGCGGGGCTGGATCGAGGTGGTAACACAGGCTAGGATTCTATGGGTCCGTGCAAAGACTAGCTGAAGGGTCAATTTCAATTCCCCATCTTAGCAAGCATTCTATAGCCGGTCCGTGTAGAGCGCAGTTTTGGAAGGCGGCCAATTTTGTTCTAATTGAAAGTCGTGCTCAAAACGCAATTATTATATTATTTATCCCTCGTATCTATTGTTTGGACATTTCAGGGTGACCACAGAGGATACTCCACACCTGAAGCAATGACGACTGAACATGGTCCAATGTCCTCGTTTCGTTATGTAGTAATTTTATAAGGAATTAGATTCCATATTTACCTTTTTGTGAATTCATCCACACTCTAATTCTCCGCTTTCGCACTAGCACCAGACAGTCCGCCAGCAGCCCCAGAACCAGGATCAAAAAACAGCCATCCGAACGACCCATGTACATACAGAAACCTCCACCTGTTTGGGAGAAGTCCAAGCCGCCCGGAAACGCCAAAAAACTGCGAAGAAACTATAAACGAGTTGTACCCAGAGACTATAACAAGTCTCTGGTTGTACCGCATCTTCGCGGGCATGCTCCCAGTGCAGCCTGCCCGCCCGCTGAGATCTCTCCCGTCGCCGGAAATTTTTCCTCACTCGCAAAGATATCAGTCTGTGCCTCGACGAGGTCACCCATTTCTCAAGGGACTAGAAAGACCAGCTCTTGCTCATGAAAAACAGATACGCCACCGCTGCAGAGGGATACCATTAATACGAGGTCCTGACAACCGATAGCATCACCGCCGTACCGTTTGAACGCCGTCAGATCCTACAAGCCGTGGTGTCGCACATGCTTTACGACTCATGGAAGAGAGCGAATCCCAGGGGTATTGGTATTGGTGCCCAAGCAAACTGAGACACGTTTAGCACGTGTGAGGTGACGTGACACGAGATACACAACAAAACCTATAAGAATCTTCAAAAGCTATATTATTTGGTTTGCATAAAAAATATAATGTGTTTCGATGGAAGAAATTTTTAATAAATCTCAGCATTTTTAGTGCTCACTACTAGTTGAAGAGATGATCGAAGAAAGTTGACAAGCTGCTCTTCTTCATTGTTTTCCTATCCGGAAATTCAACTTGATAAGGTGGTTCTTCATTTTCCGATACCCACACGCTTCCACTGTCGCCCTCATTTAGCATCGCCACTACGGCTTTACCAACATTATCAGGCCTGCAAAAGGTTTTGGCATTCACTCTATGGTATTACGTGGTATACTTACGTCTGTTTATATAAAGATTCGAACTGTAATAAGCTCATCTCCTTAAGTCCCGGTATAAATTCATTGGATCTGCTAGCCAATATTGATTCATCCTTTACGAGATCCGTATCGGTGAGTGCTGGACATATTGTCATTACGCGCACTTTGTTGTGGTTACAATAGAGCTGGTTTCCAAATGAGCGTCCCACTCCAATAACGAAGGCTTTACTACCGCTGTAAGCTGGTGTCATGAAGCTAGGTTCTATTCCCATAATTGAAGCCACGTTAATCACAACCCCGCCACGTCCACCTTTAGCTACACTCATGTACCTGAACCCTAATATGGTGCCTTGCATTACTCCCACCTGCAAGTTTATTTGTCAATCCCAACTCCCACACACCGTTAAGTGACTTACCGCGTTAACGTTTATTACTCGAACCGGGTTTGACTCGTCGGACACCCCAGCGTCATTTACAACAATATCCAAAGCCCCCCAGTGGGCAGTTGATACTTTAAACGCTTCTAAAACTGATCGTCCTTAAACATCCCAGAGTTTAAAAACTTACCCTCAAGTTCTCTTTCGTCGCTAACATCGGCTCGGATCCAAATCACTTTTCCACTCCCAAACTCCTCAGTTAGTAACCGAACGGCCTTACTTCCACGCGTTTCGTTAACACTGACCATGGTCACCCTAAAAGTGCACATGAGCGATTGCGTTGCCCGCTCGAGGGTTTACCTTCACTCCGTTGCGTAAAAGCTGGGTGGTGATACCGAAACCGATCCCTCGATTTCCCCCAGTGACCAATGCAATCTTTCCATTAAAATCGTAACTGCACGTTCTAGCGCTCGCAATTAGTGCCAAAAATGGTATGGCGATGCCTTTAATCATGTTGAAATCCTGAAAGTGACGGTTTAGCGTATTATCGTGTTATCAGCATAGCAAAGCCGAGGCAAGTTCAAAAACCACCTTGAGGACATTAACTTTTGAATGACATCATAAGTCATGACACCCAAACCACGGGGTCATTGACTTCTGGTTACCTTAAAAATAAAATATGACATCACAAAATGGGGTCCTGAACGGCGACCGATCTTTGGACTTTGAACGGTGAGCAACCTTTCAACGTCCTCGTCAGGAGGAGAGAGGGTCAACTTTGACGGCACCCGAATTATACATGAAATTGGTTTAGAATATACCTATTTGGCTATGGCTTCCTTTGGTCATGAGTGCTCAGTATGCACTATCCATGACCTAATACCATTCGAAACGCACAAATGCGGATTGGACTTTATAGTCGTTGAGCAAAGTTCAAAGGGTTCTAAGGTCGTTACTTGATGGTTCGTTTCTGAATCGTTCGCCAGCTGGCGGTGATCTTGGAAAAGTAGGTCAAGATGAAGTTCAAAGGGCATTCGCCGCCGTTCTTCCCCGGTAGTGTCTTGAAAGTAGATCAAGGTCGAGCTGAGAGATCTTTAGCTCCCAAAGGTCAATGAACTCTTTTTTTGGTCTTTGTTGTCACATTTAATTTCCAAGGTCATTAAACGCAATTTGCACCTTCACGTTTGAGTTCACGTCTACGTTAGGGTTCGCGTTCAAGTTTAGGTTGGCGCATACCTTTGGTTCAATTGCGTTTAGGTTTGGGATCGATTGGCGTTTCAGTAGGATCAGGGGTTGATAGCAAACTCAAACGCGCGAATCCAAACGTGAAGGTTCAATTGGCGTTAACGTTTAGATCCGATCTGAGTTCGTTTCGCATTTACATTTGGGCTCGATTGCCGTGACAAAAAAATACCCCACTAAAATTTGAGGACTTTGAAATTGATTATGAGATCACAAAAAACGGGGTCGTTGGGGGTGAGAGATTGTAACGATCTATTTTCTGCATTAGTAGAATACACGGTGTATTTACATCGCCGTGGTTATCGATTGTCCACAATCATTTTCCTCTTTCTCTTGTGAGCTGTAACAAAGGGCACTTTGTTTGAACCAACAGCTCGGGCGTTAGTTGAGAACGCATAGAATTTTAATCGCCATCATCCTTATTTTATTAATCTCTGACCATTGACTTCATTGAATTGAGGGTTTTGGAATAATTAGTAAACGAATTTGCTTTTTAACTCCGTAGGAGGATATAATTACGGTTTTTCGTCTTTATCGTAAGTACATTTGCATTTCATTTAATTGAAATGCACCTTTTCTTAAGGCTGTCATCTGATATACAACAACTTTCCATCGACTATTGGTGCTTCAGCTATAATTAGCCCTGTTAGTCATTTTTTGGAATTGGGTCACCAGATCATGAACGAGATTTGATAGCGCGAGTCGATTCTCAACAAAGAGATAATTTTTAGCGTATTAGTATTAACTAGTTTTGTCCTTTCTGGGTTATATGCATTCAAGTAATTTGTTATTATCTTTGCGATCTCGCTTAAGTTATGATCGTGTTAGTCACGCGAATGCTATAGGAGTCCGCCACTTCCTTCCGATGCGGTTGGCCGATTAAGTACCTTGCCTGTGATAGAAGCTTACTATTATTATTATAATGAATTAATTATTTACCCAGATTTAAGGGTTGAGAGGATTTCTTTTGTTTGCAGGTTTTGAGATCCGAGAACTGAGCTCACTTCTTGGCGTCAGCATTATTTATGCTAGGTAAGAGTAGCCTTATATGTTTTACTTGTATTTGGCCGTGTATGTGCGAATTTTTGCCCGGATTCTTAATTTATTTAGTTAATATATTTAACACGCACACGCACACACACAGTCCTCTTCTACTGAGCATTTTGTAGCTTGAGCCTGTTTACTACCATAAAAGTAATGTCACACCCTGCCCACCAAAAAATCCCCTGGCCATGATCTCATCACAAATATAATTCTGAAAAACCTCCCGCCAAAACTAGTAGTTTACCTAACTATATTATTCAACGCCTGCCTAAGGATTGGATACTTTCCCAACACCTGGAAATACGCACATGTGCTAGTCTTTCCTAAACCCGGCAAAAACCATACGCTTCTTGATAGCTATCGTCCCATTAGTCTCCTCCCTACACTATCCAAACTATTCGAAAACATCTTTCATTCCCGTATAAATACCTTCCTAATCGATAATCAGATCCTTCCATCATATCAATACGGCTTCCGAAAGAACTACTCGACCGCACACCAACTGTCACGTATCTCCGAACTCATAGAGAGCGCATTTGACAAGAAACACCACACTGTGGCCCTCTTCCTTGATATTGCTCGTGCCTTCGACCGAGTATGGACTGAAGGACTATTGTACAAGCTGATGAAAATGCACATGCCCGCCTATTTGCTGTGCATAATTAAATCTTTCTTAACGAACCGTACATTCTCCGTACGAATCAACAGTACTCTGTCCAAAATAGGAACCATTGCAGCCGGAGTGCCACAGGGCTCCATCATTGGCCCAACGTTATTCAACATCTATATGTGTGACATACCTGAACCCATAAACTCCACCATCGCCATGTATGCAGATGACACGATTCTCCTTTCTCAACATTTTGACATTCTTACTGCCGCACGCCACCTACAAGAGTATGCTGACACCTTGCTGACGTGGTACGAGAAATGGTGTATACGACTCAATGCTACCAAATGCGAGGCCAAAATATTTACTCTGCGACGCCCAGTCCTACCGCCAAACATCATAATTGATACCCAACAAATTCAATGGTACCCATCGGATAGCGCAGTGAAATATCTAGGCGTTTTTCTAGACAGGAAACTGACATGGGCATACCATATAAATAAGAAACTGAACGAAGCATATACACGACTAGCACTACTGTATCCCATTGTCAACAGGAAATCACCCCTTCAACACGATGTAGGATGTCTAATGTACACATCAATTATCAGGCCAGTCCTCACTTATGCTTGCCAGATATGGGGCGCTGCCTCCCACACACACTTAAGGAAACTTCAAATCCTTCAAAATAAAATAATTCGCATTATCTTTAACGCACCATGGTTTATGCGAAACTCACAACTCCATCGAGAGGCGAACATACCACCTATTAAAGACTTTATCAAAGCCACATCACGAACATACTTCCAGACCATCCGCCAGTGCGAAGGAGCCCGGAGTTATAACACAGGTGCCAAGGGTATCCACACCAGACTCAAACGTCAGCTTCCCCAAGACATCTATTTACACACCACATCCACAGATGACAGCGATCAGTGAAACATGACTAATTTCCTAATAATTATCATGAGTGCAGTCGTAAATCCTAGCTCGGTACTCTTAGTGCGGCATATGCCTTTAGTCTGTAGCATCACATAATACCTTGTTTAATCACTCAACCATGTAAAGCGAATACGCTAATCTGGTTTATAATTTAAATAAAAAAAAAAAGCTTAAGGGTCAATGAGAGGCTCCTCAAATGGTTCACCGAGGCCGCATCGTACTCGCTCATGACCTTTTTAAACGACACTGTGCTCAAACCTTTGTTAGCCAGGTTAGATGTTAAATTAAATTATGTTAATGAAGGTTGGAGTACAGCCACCCCATGTTAATGTTTCCTATGTACATACAATTTATTTATTTTACGAGTTGTTATCTCAATTTATCGTACAGGTATTTTGATGTGTTTTTGTACTGAATTGATTTATCATGTTTTCCACTGCATTTATGATGTTTTGTGTATTTTGTTTTTATGAACTTGTTTAATTATTGCATTTGATTTGATTATCTATTTTTATCACACAATTTGAGATGTTTTATTTATGCGTATTTTCTCTTGCATTTTATTGCTTTAGGTGATTTGTTTAATGTATTTGTGTGGCCTATGCCAGGGTTTTTGTCCCGTAGAAGGTTTCCCTCGCATGGTCTTGTGTGTGCGTAATATATTTATTTGTTCTTGTCATTTTTTACGCACAAAAGTTCTGTCTTTTATTTAATTCCCTTCCCGATTATGTCGCACGTCCTAAATGTTGATATTGAGGATTTATGGCAAATTGGCCAAGAACTTCAACCTGAGCTGCTTCATTAAGAAATCTTTGTTGATTTCTTTTTTTATTGATAACAGATCCCGTTTGTTTGAATTTAGCGACCAAATCTTGAACATTTCCATGGCTTCATTTTTATTTTTTTTGTTAATTATAAAATTGTTGTTAAATTGTCTTAATGAATATTGACTTTATTGGTACCACTGGAAAGCATTTTTCAGTAGCTTTTCAACGATGTGCCACAACTATGGGGTTGCCATTTAGGATTTTTGAAGAGGGAGGGCTGGGGGGTTAAGGGGGTGTCGCTCATAACGTTATTCTAGTTTCCCCCTCGATACCCCGATGGGCGATTTTCAATATCTTCTTTAGTTTGGAAAATATCGCCGACTGCAAGTTTTAAAATTGACACCCTGTATATTATATGATATATATTATGTCAGTTTGGTAAAACTTCGATCCGTCACACAAAAACGCGCTTAAGTAGCTCGACGCATTTGAGTACTTTCCAACTTGAGAGAGAAACTTTATTTACTAAATAAATGCCTGCTTGTTATGGTAACAAGTTGCCTATTTGAGAACAGGAGTATAAATGATTGTTAATTATATTTACCGAATTTTGAACATTTTTTTCTAGAATTTCTTTGCCGAAACCATATTCTTTGAATCGATTTGCTTAATTTAATTTAAATTTGTATCATAAAGTTGTGACGATATTAATTTGTATTGAATAAGGAATGTTGACGAGACAGCCTGTATGTGGGAATTGACAGAAGAAAACTTCGGAGCTAATAGCATAACTGATTATCACAAAATGCACGCAGGCAGTGCGGCCACTGTTAAATATTGTAGATATTTTGTTGGCTGTTTTGTTACTGTTAAATAGATATTTAATAGAGCCGCGTTTTGTTCTATAAATTGCCGCGTTTGTATTTTTTTTCGCCTGCGTTTGTTCGGTAAATGAAGATTGATATTCAGAATAGCTTTAAAAAACCCAAGATAAAGAAGCAGTACGAAAATACGTGGTAGAACCCGCTTACTCACCTTGTTTTGTTGAAGAAGTGTTCGAGGAGACAACTAACAGAAATGGAAATGGGAACCTTCTTAAAACATTGTTTGTTAGGAATGGTGAAATATATCAGCGTTAATGATCTTCTAGTGTCCACGTGCTGTGATTGTTGATACATTTTTTTACGAAACACTAGTCTAAATATTTAAACACCTGTAAATCATAGTGAACATTTACTCAGAGCTACGCAAACTTTTTGAAGAAAATATGTGCCAACTCGTGTAGTAAGAGTTGCTACATTATATTGATGCCATGGATTGAACGAGGAATGGATAAATGTTGAAGTGTTGATAGGAAAAACAATTCACATCCAATACAAAGTTTCGTCTTTTCTTTTCTTCTTCTACTTCAATTGTTTTGCTTTTGCCTCGCCATTTTCCCCACCATCTTCAGCTATTTCCTATTCCCCTTTGCCCACCTTCTACCACTTGTTATTATTCTGAGCACCTCTTTTTCATTTCCCACTTTCTTGCCTTTTTATCCTCCCGCATCCTTATAAAAAGATGCCATTTGAGCTGTGGAACGCCCCCAGCTACATCCCAGCGCTTACTTCGACGACATAATCGTCCGATCAAACTATTTTGCGGCCCATCTGCACTACCTCACCCACTGGGCCCCTAAGCAAATTCAAGAAAAGTGTTTTGGATAGTGATACAAACTTTTATTAACATGTATTTCGATGGAAGAAATTTTTAATTAATTTTTGAGTAATATTTGGTGACTCCTCGATCTGCTAGTCGAATAGTTGATCGATGAAACTGCTCTTCTTCATTGATTTCCTATCCGGAAATTCAACTTCATAAGGTGGCTGATCGTATTCTGATACCCAAACGCTTCCACTATCACCATTATTTAGCATTACCACTACGGCCTTACCCACATTATCAGGTCTGCAAAAGGTTTAATCATTCGTTACATGCTACGACGTGGTGTATGCACTTACGTTTGTTTATATAAAAACTTGGACCCTACATAGCCAATCTCCGTGAGTCCTGGTAGAAATTCATTGGTTGTGGACGTCATAATTGACTCGTCACTTATAAGATCGGTGTTGGTGACCCCTGGACAGACTGTCATTACGCGGACCTTGTTGTGGTTGTAATAAAGCTGACTTCCAAATGAGCGTCCCAGTCCGATAACGAAGGCTTTCGTACCGCTATAAACTGGTATTATTAAGCTAGGGTCTATTCCATAAATTGAAGCCACGTTAACTACAACCCCACCACGTCCACCTTTAGCTACACTCATGTACCTGAACCCTAATATGGTGCCTTGCACTACTCCCACCTGCAAGTTGTTTGTCAATTCCAACTGTCACACCCCGTGAGGTTACTTACTGAGTTAACATTAATTAATCTAACCGGGTGTGGTTCGTCAGACACTCCGGCGTTATTGACAACAATATCCAAAGCCCCCCAGTGGGCAATTGATGCATTAAACGCTTCTAAAATTGATCGTCCGTAAACCTCCTGGAGATTTCAAAACTTACCCTCAAGTTCTCTTTCGTCGCTAACATCAGCTCGGAGCCAGATCACTTTTCCACTCCCAAACTTCTCAGTTAGTAACCGAACGGCCTTACTTCCACGCGTTTCGTTAACACTGACCATGGTAACTCCCTAAAAATACGCATGAGCGATTGCGTTGCCCGCTCGAGGGTTTACCTTCACTCCGTTGCGTAAAAGCTGGGTGGTGATGCCCAAACCGATCCCTCGGTTTCCGCCGGTGACCAAAGCAATCTTTCCATTAAAATCATAACTGCCTGTGCTCGCGCAGGTAATTAGTGCCAAAAATGGTATGGCGATGCTGTTCATCATCCTCGAAATGTATTCCATTGCATAATAGTCTGAAAGCGTATTAACATATTATCTACATCTAGAAAGTCATAGAATTGTCTGGAGGATGTGTGTCACGATTAGTTAAACAAGAACGATTTCTTTTTTCCTTCCTACTTCACTCCAATAATGAATCCCCAATGGTGCTCTAATGTGTAAAGGACTGTGGAAATTGCGGTCTTCAGAGTCTTTGAACTATGACCAACCTTTGGACTTTGAACGTGCACCAACCTTTGAACATTGAACGACGAGCAACCTTTGGACTTTGAACGGTGGGGAAAATTTGACCATTCCCGTCATGAGGAGAGATTATGCAATTATACTCGCACGCCAAAAAAAAGAAGGAATGATCCACCACCAATACCGAAGGAATGTGGAAACTTCTCCCGTTAAAGAGCTTCCTTTAATATTAGAAGATCTCGCCGCTACACGGTGGCACGGAAACATGGGTCGACGCCATTGCCGAACTAACCAAGAGGGAACCGGCAACGTTGTTTCTTTTGCAAATTCTGAAGCCCCGATGTCCACGTATGTCAAAATAAGAAGGAGCAGATGTCAAAAATCAAAACTACCAAGGAGAAAACCGTCTTGCGATGCTATGGCTGTGGGACACTAGGTGTCCGACGTAGGAATTCCAAGGACAGCAATCCAAAAAATTGAGCACACCAAGATGTCTGTTTCGGCGCTCTGAATGCGCAATTTATAGTCTGCTCTCGCCCAGCCGCCCTCTTATCCGTACTAGGGCATAATGGTACAAACTTCTTGGACACCGGCGCCGGCGCCACGAACTACAAAGCCACCAGTTAACCAACACAGAAACGGACGTCGCCCTGGCTGATGGAAAGAGAACACGCTATATCGTAAAGGGAGCTTTAGTGCCCATAGTGCTCGAGGGAAAGGACTTATGGGTAACAATGGTGTTTTTTTACAATGCACCATTTACAAAGGCACTGCTGAGGGTAGACGTCAATGAAAAGGTCATCGACGTGCCGAAAAGATGTTGGCACACGTATGACCGGCCGGTACAACGGATTTCTTTTATAGAAAAAGAGAAGGTGTCTGAAAAAACCCGGACACCGCAATTCAGTTTCTACTGACAGCTACACCAAGAGACGGTACACTGCATGCTCGAGGAGTACCGGCTTCCCATACTACTTATCCCACATCGAGACGACGAAAGTATGGTATACACTCCACTACCAAAGACTGCAATCGATGAGGAAGCCGAAGTAACCTGGGCAGGTGTACCAGAAAAGCCACCCACCGCCGGATGACACTTGTACACCATCACCTTAGAAAACTCCGTTCGATCGTCTCTGGGAAAAGATGCACTTTGGAGACCAGCCAGTAATGTCTTTGGAGGTTTTGCTCGTGGCTTTAAGACCGGACGACGGAAGACATTTTACCCTAGATGAAAGAATGATGCTCGAACAGGTACTGTTCTAAAACGAAGAAGTGTTTTCGGCTCCCACAGAACCATCATGGTCAGCCCATTTCCGAACCACCAAATCAGCTCAATTGATGAAGGAACCTAACATTATCGAGGAATGCGAAAGCGCTTGGTCCACTCTTGTTGTCTTGGTGCCCAAACCAGATGGGATAATTCGCGTCTGTATAGACTACCGCCATCGATGACTTCCTGCACGACGCCAAACATCACAGGTTATATTTCCACAATCGACCTGCAGCGTGGACACTGGCAGATCAAAGTCCACGAAAAAGATTAAAACTAGACAGCATACGTTACCCCCTCTGGAATGTGCGGGTTCCGACGGATGCCTTTCGAGTTACGGAACGCTCCTGCACTAGAGACTTATGGGTAACTTTAAGAGACACTTGGTTCCGTACAATATTCACCTACTTGCTTATTTGGGCGATCTAATCCTGCTGTCGTCAACGTTTGAAGAACACATCAGGGCCGTAAAGACCGTCCTCAAGACTCTCCAGGAACTGGGACTTCGTGCCAATCGAACCGAATGCCACCTTTGCTGCAAGGACGTGAGTGTCTGGGTCATGTTATCTCGGCGAAAGGCATACGCCCCAGCCTAGAAGAGTAGCCGCCATACAAAGTATCGGAGATTCAGCTAGAAGAAGAACGCTGTCTGGAGCTGGTTCATGCTTTCCCCACTTACTTCGTCTAGCCCCGCCTCGTTAATCGATCGAGACCGGAACGTTCCCGAAGACCAGACGACGCCCATAAAAGTCGTTACGCATAAAATTAACAACGCGAGCACCCCTCGCGACTTACCCAGCATCCAGGCGACTGAAACAGTTACAGTTCGAGGGCCTCGTTCCTACACAAATCGTGTATGTTGTGACCGACGTTATCTACTAAACGGATTTTATAAACTACCCCCCTCCATTTCCTTAAGCACATCTCAAAATTTGAATTTAAAGTTGAAATACCTCTCTGAAATCTCCATTAAACATGCTTTTCACTGATCAAGACCGTAGTCTGACAACCAAGCATTTTACAGTATGAAAATATGTAGTGAGCCTCAATTACTCACCCTGTTTTCTTACATGGAGTAGTGCTCGAAGAGACAACTGACACAAATGAACAATGGTACACTGTTTGTTGGTCAATATAACAGCGTTAATTATCTTATCACGTAATTACAACTAATAATTACCGAGAAAGATTGTCTCCACGAGCGGTCTTATCTTCACTGTGCATATTGTTATATTGGCACCACTAGTGCAAATATTGCAATATCTGTAACATCCACAATTAAACTTCCTTGCCAACAATCTTGAACCTCAAAGGTACCAACCCTTTTGAAGCAATTGTGATGGCCAATTAAATCTAAAGGATTGCTCGAGGATTCGACAAAGAAGACAATTATTGATTGTGATGTCTATGTGATAACAGCGTAGCTTGTTTTTCTCCGAAAAAGAACAACAAGCCTACATCCAATGAAAAGAGGGCATACACGTACACTCCACATATTAGTACGCCAAATAGTCGCTATCTCGTATGCTTACTATTTAATTACTCAACTACATATAAATTATTTTTTCTACGAAAGTGTAGAAACACGATTGTTTTTGTAGGTAAATTGATTGTGAAAACAGGTCTTTGAAACACTAGTGCGGCAATAGTATATTAAAGTACAAGTGTCATTTGGCGAAGATTGTCGCACGAGGTAGTTTGCCGCATAAGCCGCGTAGCGGCGAATGCGGTAAAAGCCGAGTGCGACAAGTAGTCAAATGACACGTGTGCTTTATACTATTTTTTCTATTTCGACTTTTAAATAATATATACAAATTATAAATATTGCCTTTAGGCGTTGTTAGGTAATTTTAAACTATCATTCAGTGTATGTTGGTAATAGACACAGTTCATTTATTTTCACGTTGGCTAACCTGATTCCTGTATTTTCAAACTTCAAACTTTTAATTATTTGGTCATAATTCCATTTTGCGGCAGTTATGAATTATGATGAATACGGATGACAAACACGTCTCTTGTACCCCACCAGAGATCCAAGAGATTGCCAATGAAGCGACGTTAAATTTACTACCTGTAAAATCGAAAGTAAAGTACGAGGAGTACAAAATTTTTGAAAACTGGCTGGCCGAGAAGGGGAGTTCAAAAAGTAAGCAAGAATGTACTGTTGGTATATTTACTACGCTAAGTAAAAATAAAAAAAGTTCTACCCTTTGGAGTATATATTCAAAATTAATCGGAATTAATACAATCGGTCAAGTTCCTCGTACGTTATTTACACTTTATAGGTTATGTTTAGTTTTGATTTGACGGATACCGTTGACAGCAAAAAAGCGAGGGATACCAATCCAACAAAATAAAAAAAATAATGCGTTTCTATTTCTTTCGGCATCATTTCTGTCTAGAAACGCACGCAAACTGGGCCAATCAAGTACGGTTTCGGTATTGTTTCCACATCGAAATAGAAAAAAATATTTTCTGCACGCATTTTCTACACGCTAATAAACATATGCGAAGTAACTCTTTGTAATTGTATTGCTTTATTCACAGTTTCGTTATATAAGACAGACAATGGTAGAATTTTCTTTGCCTTCTGCTACAGAAAACGTTCTTGGGACATGATTCTTGGAGTCAGGAATGGTTAAGTATCAATAAAATTGCATCTTGTTATGTGAAATCCGTTACAGTCATTTTACAACGTTCGCTCCGACGGCAAGCTACAGCCACTCCAAGGACGAGAGCAACCTGTAATTAAATTATGCTTATTTATGTTTTAAAAATACAATAAGAAATTCACAAACCTTCATCATTACAAATGTTTCATCAGGCGCTTCTCTCAAAAACTTAGCGATTTGTTCTCTTATGAAAACGCTCCTTTCCGAAACGCTGCTTAGACTTTTGGGGTAGCAATTCATGCGAAACCGCATTAGCCATTTCCGCAACGTCCGGCGGGGTGCACATACCTTCTTCATCTTCAGTTTCGTCAAAATCTATCTTAACACTTCTTCACTACGCCACAAATTGTTTGACTTAAATTTACGATTTTTCAAACAATTATGTTTTGTCATGGCAACCGGCTTACTGGATCATTTACAATTGAAACATCCAACTACGATCAGACTATACGATTTTTTGTCGTTATTTGGCTAGTTGAAATTTCTAATTTCTAGAGAAGAATTTTTCACTTTCGTAGAAAAAATAGTATGAAACACGCATGCCGAAACGGTCATTGAAAAACTCGTATAATAGGAACACTCGCTGCGCTCGTGTTCCTACATTTATACTCGTTTTTCAATAATACCGTTTCTGCACTTCTATTTCAATTTTCTACAACTGTCAAAAAAACCTGTCATTTTCTGACGGATTTCGTAACGCGAAGTACTAGATTTTTAATCGGTTGATTAATAAGTAAGGTTGCTCTTGACAACGTGCGCGAAATCGTCAACAGTGAAAAATAGTATATTGCATAATAAGTGTGCTAAGAAGCCTATTTCGCACGAGTATTTTGCGACACGAGCGAGCGCAGCGAGCGAGTGTTGTAATTAAATCGAGTGCGTAATAGGCATTAGCACTCGAATTATGTACTATACTTTTTCTACGACTTGAATATAATTGATAAAAGATTGATAGATTACGATTGATTTGGTTCTAAATATCCGAACTTCGAACTAAAAATTAGAACTGTCAAGTGTCAAATGTCATGGTCTATTTAAAAGGAATACAAAATACAACGTAACCTCATTTATATTCCATGAATGCACGCCAGCGAGCAAGAATTTTATAAATACTTTTTACTTAGATTGGAAGTGTATTGCAGGGTTTTTACATCCCTATTCCTTACTGCAATGTGAGTTTCATTTTAGCACCATAGATGCAATAGCCAATAGGATACACGATACAAGTGTTGAAGTTGAAGATTACTACCTAACTAGCTCAGATGGTGTTTGTGCTCTTTTTCATTACAGTTTTGAACGATTTCTATTGATGCAGTTGCCAATGTATTAGGTATCTAACTATCGATAATACTAAGGCCTTCAAAACGCTGCGTCTTTTAACGAGTTTTCCCGAGAAGGAAGCATCGGACTACCCAGTATTCTAAAGTGCATTATTCCGTGTTCCATGCAAGTCGTAATTGGCACCATCCATTAATTCTTCGAGTACTTATTGTAGTTTTCTAAAATACAAAATAGTAGCAACAGAGTTTGCTTAATTAGCTAAACGCAGCTTCAAACTAATCTTGAGTAGCCCATTACGATTATGAAAAATAATTGGGCACGGCTAATAAATTACATACAGGCTCCATTCTCATACAAATGGCAATGTTTAAACAAATTATGAGTAATTCTGTTCAAAGAAGTTTACAAAATGTGAAACATAACCTACAACAACAAAATCTGACGTTACTTCATTCATTTGGCAGGGCTGACAACCTACTAAATTAACATTTCACGTTTGACCTTTAACCTGTTACGTAATATATATATATATTAAGTAACAGTTCTAATTTTCATTATGCAACCGTATGATATAATGAACGATTTAGACGTGCAGTACAGGGTGACATTTTGGGTATGTTTACGACATAGGAGTAGAAAAAAGTATTTCGCGCACGGGACAAAGTTGAACTTAAACAGCAATTTAATTAACAATCGGTTCAGTTGTAGAAAAAATATTGTATATAACGCTAGCGCGAAGTTATTTCGCGCATTTGACTGATATTTTAACTCGGCTTCGCCTCGTCAAAATACCTTCAGTCTCAATGCGCGAAATTGAACTTCGCGCTCTTGTTATATAAATAACTATTTGGTAGAGTATCACTGTCGTAGTTATTTGAGGACCACTCCCACTTGACAAGCAATGTTAAAAAACGTTTGGTACGTTAAACGAATGTTGCATTTTGAAACAACTCAATTAAACAAAACATCAACGTTATACCAACGATACTTGAATGGCTTTTCTTTCTAAACCGTGGATACGACGTTGTTGTAATGTTAAAAATTGTAACCTTTTGGACTTGCGTCGCTGGAACGGGACATTATTACGTTAAAATAACATTCAGAAGACTAACGTTATACCAATATTACTTTGACAACGTTTTTATGCAAAACCTTGTTGCGATGTCACTATAATGTTAAGGAATGTGATGTTATTTGCGTACGTTGACGGAACCATACGTAACTACGTTAGTTCAACTTTTAAAAGCTTAACATTACATATTCATTTGTTGATTAACGAGCTCCTAGCGAGTTTATAATTTTGCGGTGTCTGTCCGTCTGTCCGTCCGTTAGCACGATATCTCGATAACGAATGGACCGATTACGATGAAATTTAGTAGATGGATTCTTTATCAAATTTGTAGATCTGAGTTCGTGAATTGGCAATGTAGCCCAAAAAATAAGGAAGGCCCTTTTGACATCTCTGTGAGTTATGAACCGAATTGCATGAAATTCAATATGCGTATAGCTTTAGCCATATAAAACGCAATTCCAAAAATTGAGCCTAATCGATCAGCATTCACTGTGCCCTTTTCGCATCTCGACCATTTATAAACCGAATTGCAAACTTTTTTATTTATGAAGGATTTAAATGAAATTTGATACATAACCACTTGGAATAAAAGCAAATATAACGCTAGTTTCAAAATTTGATTTTGCGCATGCGCAGTGCCAACTTTCTTATTTATGGAGGGATTTAAATGAAATTTGACACATAGCTACT